GGACAGACTTTTAAAGTGATAACTAGAGGTGGTTTTCTTAACATTTCGAATTATTAAGTAATCATTTCTTATCTTAATATAGGTTATGAAATCCATCGTCAAAATTTGTAATTACCACAACAGTTACGGAAGTTGCACACCGGTACATAAAGGAAGTCCTAATGCCATCCACACATACATACACACTCACATCCACATTACATGCACAACCCACATTGATTGCTCTTGAGGAAGATTCCATTTGTTGGACTACAATGTTCGCCTGCACTGTTCTGGAGACGTGGAAGCGTATATAAGCAAGAAGGGACCCATCGTTTAGATTGGCCAGCTTGAAGTCCTGACCTCAGTCCAAATGAGCATTCCTGAGATGTTCTAAAGAGACTAGTAAGATCGGTGCAACCTGCCTCACAAAACATCAGTAAGCTAAAAAGAGTCATTGCAGAAGTATTCCTTAAAACGTTAATAAATAAAAACTAATTAACTAATATAATATATAACTATATATATAGGTGGAGGTAATTGAATATAGTAAAAACATCTTCTTGTCTTTATTGCCGACCTCATCTCCTATCTCTTCTCCTTCTTCACGTTTGGCCGTGTACATCGGTTTTAAAGAATACATCAATATTTAATAAAATAAATTGCCAGATTTTACTTCACACATATTAATTTACAGGAATATACTGTATAATACAGACTACGTCAGACAATTTCTTTAGGTAACGATTTCTCAAGAGTTAATATAGCTAATGAATAAATAATATTGAATGAAGTCAAATAATCGAATTAATTAATCAATTGGTTATATGAATTATTATTATATGTCTTACTCAAGCCTCAATGTCAAATATTTTAGTGTATTTTCGAGAGTATATACAGCACTAAACGCAGTATACAAAGTCGTCAATTTATCTCTAATGTAGCTCAAAAATTATCCCCTTCATCAAAACACGAAATCTGCCTAATTAAAGACTTTTACCAAACCCATATCCTGTCTCTCTTCGTCTCAACGTAAACACAACTTAACAGAAAGTGACAAACGAGTACCTTGCTTAAAATGGAGCAACAAGACTCAAGCTACCTAGTAATACAGAAACTTGTGTTAAATTGCTAAAGTTAAGTCCTGTCAAATTTGCAACCAAAGTGATGCAATTAAACATTTTTTAATTACTAAAACTTGAAGATAATTTCAAAGATTTATGTAAATTATAAAAAATATCAACTTACCCGCCACAGCAAGGCATAGTAACGTAATATATAAATCTTGACCTTGAACAACATGTCTTAAAAATTATCAATAGAATACTATATTATGTTTAGTAGGGACGCATTTAAATACTTAAATAATTTGATAAAAAGTCCCGTAAAAAGCGGTGACTTTTGACCATTCGATTGATTGGAATGATAATCTGATAAGATTGATAAAATTTAATAAATAAATTATTAAATTTGATTTGAATACATATAAAAGTTTATTGTCCTTCACGACCGCGCATTATCAGACCTTGATAATTTCGTAAATAATTTTCATATATTGTTGTTCAATTTAGCTAAAATTTCTTTTAATTTTAACAAACTTTGAATTCACAAATTTATAAAGATCTTCCTTATTTGAAATTTGGTAATTTTAATATTAAAAGTCAACAAATAACAAGATGTACTTCGGTAAGGTAGGTACCGTGAGTGATTCTTTCTAGGCAACTCAAATGAAGATAAACAATGTTGTAAACTTGTGAAAGAGTTCAAAAGATTAAACACAAAAATGGATGTTAAAAAAAAACATCAAATAGTTCGTGAGAAACGAAGAATGAGATGAAGTTTTTCGACACACAGCCATCAAGATAGACCCACAGCTAAAGTTATGCATAGACATACACCAGTGCTTTTTTCTTTAAAATTACACCGAATCAAGTCAAAATCATATAGGTTTTCATATAGGTAACACAATTTACACTTATGAACGTCAAATAAGAAATATACATTAAATGATTATAAATTTACATTTACTGCTAGTTCTCAAATCAAGGGCGTTGAACGGAAGAAAGGAACTGGCAATAAACTCTCCGCCACTCTTCGCCAACGTTAGTTCTATTCCGTGTTACGGTGATTGTTGCAAACTAAGCATAAACGTCAATAAGTACATATAATAAACTAGTGGACCCCACAGACGTTGTCCTGCATGATATTTAAAGCGATTAGGATATTAAGCAAAGTATGAAAGTACCGACTGCAGTGCCATCTGCCGGGCTGATTTGTGAATCTAAACCATTCCCAGATCCCCTTGAACACACACAAAAAATTTCATCAAAATCGGTCCAGTCGTTTGAGAGGAGTTCAGTCACATACACACGCACAGAAGAAATATATATATTAAGATATATCAATTTTCAAGTAGACTACTTGGAATCACTCAATACAAAAGTATTGATAGGACCTAAGGTCGATTATATTAAAATTATTTATATTATATTATATTATTTAGAACTACACAAACTACTTAAATATTTAGAGTTTTTATGACTCTAGGGGTGAGATTCAGAGTTTGAGTCAGACTTAGAGTTGAATGTCATTTTTGAATATCACTCTTAATAGCACAGTAGTAAAAATAAACACTTGGCGATATGAAATCCACACATTTTATAACGATATGCATATACATATATGTGTATATGTGGAGGTAATTGAATATAGTAAAAACATCTTCTTGTCTTTATTGCCGATCTCATCTTATCTCTTCTCCTTCTTCACATTTGGCCGTGTACATCGGTTTTAAAGAATACATCAATATTTAATAAAATAAATTGCCAGATTTTACTTCACACATATTCATTTACAGGAATATACTGTATAATACAGACTACGTCAGACAATTTCTTTAGGTAACGTTTTTCTCAAGAGTTAATATAGCTAATGAATAAATAATATTGAATGAAGTCAAATAATCGAATTAATTAATCAATTGGTTATATGAATTATTATTATACGTCTTACTCAAGCCTCCTTAAGAAAAAAGTTCATCGTACATTTATAGGTACGATAATGAGTGATAGAAACTCAGTGACTCAATCTGACGGCCAATCAAATATTTATCATACTTTATTAGTATTATAATATTAAGTTCTTATCGTTAATATTACTTCCTATCTGTTTTAATATGACGCATTAGTAATTTTCCGGTGTAAACAAGTGATTTATTTTCTATTTTATAGTAACAACCTTCAGTCAGAGGTTATGTGGTATAATTTTAATGTTTTTGATGTATATTTAGTTCATATTTCAAGCACCATCAGCTCACTTATCGACGGGTCCATATGGGGTTGATCTCTCTCTCTAAAAATGGCGAGAGAGCCAATGGCCATGCTACGTGCTCCTGATGAATGGTCGGACTTGAATTCGTGTATGCGTTGATATTAATAATTTAATTCCATCCTCATCGCCACGCTTGCTGCTGATAGAGACTAAATTTTTTTATATTAAACTAGCAGACTCGGCCAAGCTTTGCTTTGGATAAAATTTTTTTATATTACATAGTAGTAAACTATTCAAGTCAAACGGTAGGAGAACACCAGTCATGGGGACCACCATGCTTTTTTGGTGGTAATGCCATTAAATTGTAGCTTATATGAAACGTTGGTACTTTCAACCTGAAGAATTGTGACTGTCAAATAATAAACAAATAATTTGCAATAAAATAATATTACGGCATAATTAAAGATGTAAGCTATCCTATCTTTTAAGTTAGTTCAAACTGCACACGGTATGCAAATTTGATTGAAATCGGTTTGGTAGTTTAGGAGTCCATAGGGGACAAACAACGTGACACGTAATTTTATATATATTAAGATTATTACATTATACAATCGTAAGATCCTTACCACATTTATAAACAAATCTGAATGCATATCGAGTATAAAATGGGTGGAATTCATATGGCCAAATGTTTATTTTTAATACATACCTATTAAGGGTGTGATTCAAAAATGAGATTGAACACTAAGTCTGACTCAAACGCCAAAATTTACCTATTGGATTTTGACATACGGAAAGAAGTGTGGAAGTGCAGAAGACACAGTTCCCGCTAAGTATCGTTTCTGAATCTCACCCTTAGAGGCATGAAACCTCTAAATATTTAAGTAGTTTATGTAGTTCTAAAATAATATTTTAATATAATAGAAGGTTAACGCCTATCAATACTTTTGTATTGATTGATTCCAAGCGAAATTTGCTATATTTGAAAATTGCTATATTCATTATACTTACTGACTTTTATGCTAAGTTTGCAACAATCACACGCAATAGAACTGACGTTGGAATGGTCGCCGCTTCGACCCCTGCCATAACATTTGACACATGAAAAATCTATGAAATGATATATTAAATTCAATGTAACTTTGAAAAAAAAACACACTACCTATGACCTATGTATGTATGCATAACTTTATCTGTGGGTCGATCTTGATGGCTGGGTATCTCATTCTCCGTTTCTCACGAACAATTAGATTTTTTTTAACAACCTTTTTTGTGTATAATGTTTTGTACTTATTCTTCATTTGGGTTGCCTAGAAAGAATCACTTATCAGGTCGGTACCTACCTTACCGAAGTACATCTTGTTATTTGTTGACTTTTAAGATTAAAATTACCAAATTTCAATAAGGAAGATCTTTATAAATTTGAGAATTTAAAGTTTGTTAAAATTAAAATAAATTTTAGATAAATTGAACAACACTATATCAAAATCATTTACGAAATAATCAAGGTCTGATAATGCGCGGTCGTGAAGGACAATAAACTTTTATATGTATTCAAATCAAATTGAATAATTTATTTATTAGATTTTATATAAATCTTATCAGATTATAATCAATCGAATGATCAAAAGTCACCGCTTTTTATGGGATTTTTTTAACGGTCACTTTTTATCAATTTTATCAAATAATTTAAGTATTTAAATGCGTCCCTACTAAACATAATATAGTATTCTATTGATAATTTTTAAGACATGTTGTTCAAGGTGTTAGTACTATGCCTTGCTGTGGCGGGTAAGTTGATATTTTTTTATAATTTACATAAATCTTTGAAATCATCTTTAAGTTTTACTAATAATAATAAAATGTTTCATTGCATCATTTTGGTTGCAAATTTGACAAGACTTAACTTTAGCAATTTAATACAAGTTTCTGTATTACTAGGTAGCTTGAGTCTTGTTGCTCCATTTTAAGCAAGGTACTCGTTTGTCACTTTCTGTTAAGTTGTGTTTACGTTGAGACGAAGAGAGACAGGATATGGGTTTGGTAAAAAATCTTTAATTAGGCAGATTTCGTTTTAATGAAGGGGATAATTTTTGATCTAAATTAGAGATAAATTGACGACTTTGTATACTGCGTTTAGTGCTGTATATACTCTCGAAAATACACTAAAATATTTTACATAAAATATTTCGTATATTTTTAATGTGTCTTGTTTTTAGTAAGCCGTGGAGAATATGAAAGCATTAAACCATCTAACGGAAATTTGAACGTATACTACTCGTATACAAGGTAACGTTTTAATTTATTAAACAATAACATTTAGGTAATAACTTAAAACTTGACTAAATGACCATAGGGTGAGATTCGGAAACAAGTCTACGCTGCGAATCTGGCGCCACCAAACGGACAATCATGAAATTAAAAATGCAGATTATAATATGTTTAAACGTAATTTATGCATTTCTACTTTTGAACTGGAAATTATGTTGTCTTAGGAGTTCTTAAATATTAAATTTCACATGATATTAATTTTATATGGCTTCACATCTTCACTGTAATTATACCAAAAACAAAAGAAATACTTAGCGAAGTTTGACAAAAACAATGTAAACTTGACTTGGCCGAGAATCGGCTTAGCTCGGACTTTGACCGTCTTAGAATAACGTCTCTTAAATCTCAGGCATAGAGTATAGAGTTTCCTTAAGGGTCCCCGGACGGGGCTTTTTCGTTCACCTTTAATGTGTCGTGTAGGTTCGAATACATATTGTAAACTTATGTACAAAATCTTTTCTTAGAGATAACATACGTACTGTAGAGAGATTCAATGGAACGATCCCGTCTATAGAAGAAACTTCGTTAGCCAGCACCCGTAATGTCACAACCATCATAATCCATGGTCATGAAGGAACAGCTTTTACCAGTCTAAATCCTACTGTTAAAGATGGTAAGTATATACTATTAGTTTCGACAAAAATATAATCGCAAAAAGATAGTAAGAATATATACTACGAATACGTTGTAATTGTAGTGGTTTAAAGCAAGATTATATATTAAAATTTAAAGGCCGGCAACGCACCTAACTTGGATGGATGTCCATGACATGCGGCAGCTGCTTTTTTTGGCTTCTCCACAATCTTATTTGTCCTCCTGTGTACTTATAAAAAAATATTTTAACTTCTTCTTCTTTTAACCAATTAAATTTTCTCTTTATAGGGTAATAGCTAGGTATGATCATCTTCCTATGGCTTATAGCCCTTCAGTGAAGCCCCAAGAATTTACTTAATAAAGTCAGTTAGGGCTAATCTGATAGATACAAAAGGTTCTGTGTTAAATTAAGTTTATTTTCCAGCGATGCTCACTGCTTTCGACACAAATGTGATTGTTGTGGACTGGTCCCAATACTCTCTACAGAGTTATTCGAATGCTGTAAGTGCCGTCCCTAGTGTTGGTACTGCCGTGGCTGAACTTATTAGTAATCTCGTCGAAGCAAACATTACCACTCTCAACGATGTCCATTTGGTCGGATTTAATCTTGGAGCGCACATTGCTGGATATGCAGGAAGAACCCTGAACGGCCAAGTTGCAAGAATCACAGGTAATGCCCATTTCCAACATACACGAATTGGTATATTAAAATGATTTCATTTAATTGCACTACTTAAAAGTGCTCGAACACTATTCGTATTAGTTTTCTATTGTTTCTATTTATCTCAATTTTTTTTGATTAATTTTGAAGTGTTTATTGATTAACGTTGAAAAATCTTCAACTAAAATCAAATTTTCGTCGCAGTTATAAAGTACATCTAGTTACTCAACAAAATTTCCACGAAATCTAGTTATCTATCTATTAATCGCCCAAAAATATTTATTTATCTATTTCTTAACAATTATTCTTATTTTTATTTTTTTATTTACTATATATACTTCACACAGGACTTCTTTTCTTACAACCACAACACACACACATTACACAATTAAAATGTGCCTTATTATTTTAAACAAAATGTTATTTTTCTTTCTTTTTGATTATTATTATTTTGTGTGCTTCTGTCTGTGTGTTTCGTTAGTAATAAATGTTTTAAATGCCATACTTTACTAGTCTTGTGTTAATGTATATTTTGTTATTATATTTAAAAACTATTCAATCTATGAATTTGGGAACTAACGATAAGCACGCTTCAGGTCTGGACCCTTCACGTGATCAATGGGGACCAAACTCTCGACGCCTTTCTTCAAGGGACGCGCTGTACGTCGAAGTTATTCACACTGATGCTTACGGCCTGTTTCCGAGGGGTATCGCAGATGCCATTGGCCATGTAGACATCTACCCCAACGGTGGGGATGGTCAACCAGGATGTGTTCTATCAGGACCTTGTAGCCACAACCGTGCCTGGGAACTCTTTGCCGCATCGTTGACAAACAGCCACCTCAGGGCTAACCAATGTTCAAATTTGTCAGATATGAGATGGAACACATGTAGGGGATTCCTAATACCTTTGGGAACGAATGATCTTTTTAAACTTGCGTAAGTATCACAATTACTATTGTTAAAAATTATAATAAATTTAAGGGTTCTCAGTTAATGCAGTGCAATGAAACTGATTTAGTTTTAGAAGGCGGCATATTGATTATGGCTAGCTTATATCTCTAATCTATCTTATCAGCGATTTAAGAACGAGAAAATTTTGTGTGAAACCCACTAAGACATATAATATACCTACTCTTTGTTTATTTACGTATAATCCAGAACTTTTCTCGGACTTTAAACAGCATACATTAAAATAACAGTGGCGCTACATTCTCTAGGCCTTGTCGTTCTGTATCTGTTTCGTCATCATTTTATAGGAAGCTAAATCAGCCTTCAGTTCCATGCCACTTCACGACATTTACCATCACCGTACGCGCAAATTAATTGCGCACGTAGAATGTAAGTCCATCGGTACACAGCCGTGATTCGAAGGCACGACATCAGGGTTGAGAGGTCCACGCTCAAGCCAGTAGGCCAACACGGCACAAACAATATATCGATATTAATATTCTTGATTGGATATAACCTACCAACAAACAACTTTATGATAAAGACAATTTGATTATCTGATCACGATTTTATTAAGCATTAATGATAATTAAAGTACTTAGTGAGTGATCTTATCTATGTTAAACTGCGTATTGTTTGTTGGCGCAAAGTAAAAGATGCTTTTATGATAAAACATTTATTTATATTTCATTTTAACCCCAATTTAATTATTTCAGAAATGGAATATTCCGTATAAACACCAGGAGGAATTACCCTTTCTAGATGAAATAAAATATATGACCGATTATTTAGTGTTTTATTTATAATTAATTTCATTTGTTTTGTGTATTGTTTAAAGAAATAAACTTATAATTATCTTTAAACAGATATTTTATACATTTATAAGCCTAGGCTTCGTATTCATACAGTAGAACCTCTATAAGTCGAACATCAAGGGAGACGCCAAACAATTCGAGTTAGGGCTCCCACACAAAACTGCGAATTCGCATCGCATCGCAAATATCTGCGAATTCGCACGAACGCAACGCAAGAATTTCCGATCTGCTTCGCATCGCACATTCCTGCGATTTTACGTCATCCTTGGTGACACCATTTTAGTCCGCTCTGAGACAAACAATTAAAATGTCAATAAATACATTTTGTTTTACTTTACCTGATAGTCAGTCCCAGCATTTCCAAAGGCATAACAGGAATTCTTCCCTTGTACGATAGTTTTTGAAGGCATGGTGATAATATACTCAAAAGCTCTTCAAATGAAAATATGCTCATTCAAAAATAATCAAAAAAATTATCTTCAGTTCTCAACGCATAGTACTTTTGAATAAAATAGTTCCCATCAGAGTTCATAATCGTAATGAATGGATGAACCCAGAATCTTCTTTTTCTTTTATATCTATTTAACAATAACAGCAGTGCAATAATCTTTTTGCGATCCATCTTACGCTTCTTAAAAACACGTTCAGTACGGCTGGCTTCGAAGGAATGGTCGCCCTACCAAACGGTTTGACGCACTAAATCGTATCGCAGAAATTCGCATCGCAAATTCCTGCGATGCGAATTCGCATCGCATCGCATCGCAGTTTTGTTTGGCCGCATCGCAGTTTTTTGTGGAGTCCTTATAGAGTTTTCGCAGATATTTGCGATGCGATGCGAATTCGCATCGCATCGCAATTTCTACGATACGATTTAATTAAATATATCGCTAATTGATGAAGCAATTATGTACAAAAACATGCACAACTTTCGCTCAAGAACGTTTTATTTTTTAACATAAATATTTATGCCTTTTAAGTGAAGTCTTCTTCAATCATTTTGATGATATATAGAGGCTTCCGACATCCCAGCAGGTGACAACATACACGTTGTAAACTGTTCTAGATAAAATACAGAAATCTCGGCGTTTATATAGAAAGGCCACTATTAGGCTCTGGCAAGAATTCCGTGTGAAAAACGTCCTCCTTTTAGGCTCCTTCGGGGCTTTCGTTATTTAAATAATTTCGGTTGTATACCGATTGATAGCCACTGAAAATGAGATTTAGTATGTATCTTATTGAGAAGACATCGTGTTACAGTGTCTATACAACACGGCTGTGGGTGCCTGCATGTTGTTCCAATATGTGTTTAAAAAGATTACGCCATGGCTATGAAGCCATTAAATCACCTTTCCAGAAGTTATAGATCACTGACGTGTAATGCTTTCAACGGGAAGGTGATTTCATTTTTAAAGGCATGGTGCCTTTATAGTGTGGGAAAGTATTTAGCCATACGTTTTGACAACAATTATAAATAACTGTTCTTATTATGACACTATCATAATAAATATGACATTTGGATGCCTATTTTTATATGGCTAGTTTTGCGGTTTTTATTTTGATGAATCAATCTGAATGTACCACTTTCTTTGTAAACAAACGAATTTAATTTTTTTAAATGTTATGACTGCGTATTAATAATATTTTTATTTGTTTTAAATTATATTTTAAAACAAATAAAACGTAGTTTAAAAACCCGTGACGGTAATAAAGGTTATTCCTAGTTTATGCTGTCATCCAGGCCACAGTCACCAGTTGGTGACCAGCAATTCTATTAACAAAAACAGTTGTCAACTAAAATACGCAATAACCATGCTGGTGGGGTCTCGGTTCGCGCGCGTGCCTCTCTAGTCAATTGCAAGAATGAGGTTAGGTTTGCGGATAAAATTCTACCTTTCTCGAGCCCTGCAATAGTGAAAGTCAAAATAAAATAATTGTTATTAATTTATTAATATTATCTTGGTATCAGCAAAATATTCGTCAGTGGAATTTAGACAGATTTATGTTATTAGACTTAATAGACACGATTAGAATCCCAGGAGCTCACTGTATCGATTTCACTGATTAAAAATAAAGGTCACTGAACTCACTAGTATTATAATCTAGTAAAGAAAAAGCTATCTTTAGGACAGAGTCTCAATAGGATCACAATCGTCTAAAAGGATTTATCGTGTCTATTTCGAGCGTTAATGAATTCTTCTTTAAATATCCTTTCAGCTTTCATAGCTTTACTTTTTACATATTCGACGGAGTTGTTTAAATCTAGTAAAGTTATTAATAAACACATAAGTAGACAGATATTTATGAGTATGTGTGTGTGTATGAAAACTTTATTATTTTAACAACAGAAAAATATACAATAATATAAATTAATTTACTTCTTTAAGATATACAAACGCTTTTTCTGTCTTTAAGTCAATGTCAAATAGTTAGCCGTCCGTCTTCTGGCAGTCTCTCGCTGACGATAGCGGAAAACAAATGAATCGTGGTGATGTGTAAATAATGTAACAAATTCCCGTAAATAAAAAACAATTATAAAGTAATTGTTTCCGGTTCTTACACAACTATCTTATTATATGTATAGAGACATTTTCCACATTAATAATTTAAGTCATATGACTATATATTTAAATATTAATTTGTACTTTCGTGTCCAGGCTGCTATGGGCAGTCCCATAAGCAAACAAAGACAGTTACATGCATCTGAGTTAATATTTAAAGTGAATGTATTAACTTGTTTCATAATGAAACAACAGTTATATAGATAATGTAACAACAGTTATATAATATATACATCTCACACTCTAGTGTGTATAAATAAATAAAAAAGCCTTTAACAAATGAATTACAATAAATGATTAATTATTTATACAAAACAAACAAATAAATTATTATTTACTAACTGACAGACGTTGTCCTGTTCACACATCTTAATCATCTTAAATACATCATTTAAACTTAAAAAAGACACAAAAAACATCTTATTGTAAATGATAAACTTTTCTCGTATCCACTTAAACACTCATCAAAATTGTTACAGCCATTTATTGCATTACGGCTTTGTTGAGCCGAGCATAAATGGCTGTAGCGGCTGTAAGTTGATATTGAAAAGATTAAGATTCGATCGTCTTGGTCGTGGCATTGTTCATGATAATATCGGCACGAAAAGCTAATAGTATCTCGAAATACACACATCAACCGATCAACTTCAAAACTTCTAATTATCACATTTTCAATCATACTTAACCATAGATAACATTACATTTAGCTTTCAGTTGCGTTTTCTTATACCATTTTTAACAAATGAACGGCAATAGTGTAACTCACACGAGTTTCTTTTATATGTGTGTCGTATTTCATATGTGTCCACCTATTATTGTGCAGATAGCGTGCAATGTGGTAAGATCTATTAAAATATTTCTTAGTAGAATCCTCTTCACACGTATAGGCTTCTTCTCAGGAATGCCATTTTTCCTTAGACAAGCCATCTAGAGTCAGTGCATCCCAGCAGTTTTGCAAATGTCCTTCCAGCGCATTTGAGGTCGTCCTTTGGGCTGTTCATCTAATGGTCCTATGCATGATGTGACACGTGATAGTTACACTTCTAACTGTAATATAAATTTACATCTATGCACCCCAGACCAGCATCTATGTAAACGCCTAAAATTTTAACCTCATTTTCGTATTAAAATAATACAAAAATAATTATATATTATAACAATAATTGGAATTGGAATTCAATTATAGCGTACATCAAGCGAAATGTATGATCTTTGAGCAAACCACGTGTTAGCTATATCGGTCATAGAATGCCAATTAATTAGTCCAGTTTGAATGTCGGGACACGTGCGTCCAAAGGCTTTTAGCGGTGGGTTCATTTGAAATAGATGGAACAAATTACTTTAGCGTGTCTAGACTATATTGCATACCTTCGCATTGTATAAATATACGTGGAGAGAAACACCCATTGTAAAAAAGCTAAAACAGCTATTTCTATTTTTTTTTAAACCTTGGTTATGATTCAACAGAACATTTATTATCCATAGCCATTTGAGTAAGACTTTTAATTAAATCTTTCACATACTTTCAATTCACACACCCTTACACATATTCTCACACCACTCTTGCTTTAGTTTTATTTTTAAAATGTTTGTTACTTAATTTAGTCGTAGACTACAGCCATCTCTTTGAATATTTTCTATGCGCATTGACTTATGAGACTTCTAAAGTCCTATTATAGGCACCAGCTCCTCCAAAGGTGGTCAATACCTGCAGTGTAACCAGTAAAATAAAATATTGTGAAGAGGCAAATAAACTTTATTCATATTATTATTAAATAAAAATCAGTGCTTGCTATATTATCTTACCTATTAACAATCGTTTTAAATTCTATATCGAAATTTAGAGTTGAGTTATGGTTAGTTACAAATTATAAATTGTGCTTGTGTTATATACGTAGTCTCGTCACGTAACTTGGTCAGATTCTGCATGGTGAACAAAAGTTTACGCGCACATATTTTTAGTGGGAAAAAACCTTAAAATCACTTCTCGTGTCTAAAGTAAGATCGGGTAACTTATTTAGGGGACATTTAAAATCATTGAAGTTTAATTTAATTGCACCGTTTTAATAAAGCGCTCATATTTCTCATTGAACACAATTGAACAGAAAGACACAAAAACGTGTTTTTGAGTTAAGGATTTAGTAGAAAATTTATAGTTCATATATATATAGATAGATATTATCTATACACTATGCAACATTCTGTATATTGAGAGATTTAATTTTAGAAGGTACCTATGGAATTTAGAATCAGTCAAGTCATTGTTATGGACAGACTCTTTAAATTAATGTATTTTCGAGTTAAAAAATGGATCTGGAAAATGAAATGAATGGAGTCCAGATAAAGTTAAGAGATAACGTTTATTAAGGTTAACCTGCTGTATGTTTAAATCGAAACTAAATCTAGGCTTTACTCCTGCACGTATGAGATAGGATATTATCCTACGATTTAGTGGACCCGGTGCTTCATAAAACGGTACTAAGTAAACAGAAATTATTCCCAATATCTTTCGGGTGAAATGACAATGTTATTTTTTAATTCCAATTGCCTTTTATTTAATTTGTACTTAATTAAAAACAAAATGTATATTCCTAATTAGAAAGTGATTAAGGGAGCGTTCAAGTATTACGTAATTTGGGGGGGTAATATTATTTTCGACTTTCCAGTACTTTAGACCATATAATGGTAACTTTTAGGTAAAAACTTGGGTTGGGTGCGATAATAGTGCGTTGGAATCTGATGATACTGATTATGCAGGAGTCCTCGGGGACCTTGATTGGAACACCTCCAAGTAATTTTAGCTGCCGGAAATGCGTCAAAGTATTTTTAAAATTTTTTTAAAGTTTTGTGAAATGTATTGAAATTTGTAAACAATCCACCATTATCTACTTTTCTATTGGTTATAAGAGATGTGTCATTCTCGTTTTCTGTTGGTTATAAGTGATGTGACATTCTCGGTAAATTAATCGGATCGATTATTTTCTCATTTGTTAATTTTATAGTTGAACCTAATTTAATCATTACTTGTCAAATGTACTTACATTACATTAACTTCATGTTTCAATTAGTGTATGGTTCCGAAAATTTTTAAATTATTCAAAAAGTACCCAAAACCGAATCAGAGCACCCCACTATCCACGTGGTCTTGTCTGCCTTACCCCTAGAGTGTATATAAATAATCGGAGGCGCGGAGGAAGAGCAGCCCCCACCCGCTGTAACAAAGCACAGGCATTATGAAAGCTGTAGCGGCTGAGGCTGGTCGCCAAAGGCGACCAAAAAGCCGAGGTTGCGGAGGCTTGAATAAACTGCCTGTGCTTTGGTACGCAAGGGTGGAGGGGCTGCATTTCCCGTAGCGCCGGAGCTGTCCAAAAAAACAAATATTATTTAGATCGGTTAGGTTAGGTTAGTATATGAATATTTGGTCGCCGAGTTGCCGAGGGCTGAATAAACAATTATTATTTAGATCGGAGCTGTCCAAAAAAACAAATATTATTTAGATCGGTTAGGTTAGGTTAGTATATGAATATTTGGTCGCCGAAGGCGACCAAGAAGCCGAGTTGCCGAGGGCTGAATAAACAATTATTATTTAGATCGGAGCTGTCCAAAAAACTAATATTATTTAGATCGGTTAGGTTAGGTTAGTATATGTATATTTGGTCGCCGAAGGCGACCAAGAAGCCGAGTTGGAGTAGATAAATAGGTGAGATTTTTAAAAAAAATTTTTTGTTTCCGGCGCGCAAAATTTGAAGGGGGTGATTACTACACCCCTCCCCCCCTTCCTCACCACCCCAGCAACCCCAAATTTGGGCGCATCGTTATCGAATCGTTACCAAAAACTTTTACTATTGGGTACAAAAAAACGTTACGGCGCTTTCCATGGGGGGGTCAATAATCTCCAAAAATTGCGTGACGTAATACTTGAACGCTCCCTAAGTGTAAACCTAGCTAGTTTTAGCAAGCATGGTGTTCATATAAATTATGTTTTCATTTAATAATATACTCACCTAATCTTAGTCAGGTATTTTCAAACATCGCAAACATTACCATTAAACTATGATATAATAATTAATGACATTCCTTGGTTAAGGAATTCCAATTGTATAACTGCAACCTACGGGTCCTGAATACAACGCCTGAGAACCTATATCCGAACTAAATCCCGTCTCTCCGAGTACAGCAGACATTGAAAACAAAAGGTTGAAATTAAGGCTTAAAATTTTCAGTTCAATTAATCAGCTCAAAAATTAATTTAACATAAAATACAACTATTCTGATGTTTTAATTCACTTAAAATTATTTATCATATATAATAGACTTTGGTGAAATTATTTTTTCTGGACCATCTATTTTACAATTTTTAAACAAAATACGATGGAAGATGTACATTGTACAGTACATTTTTATCGAGCAAGTGTTAGTACTAATTAAAAATCACTTTTCTTCTACAATAGAAAGTAATAAATATACTTATTTTATATTTATCCTACTTTAAATTTAAATTTGAAATACCTTTTTGAGATCAGCGCCATCTATATTATATTATAGACAACTTCTGACATTTTAGTTAGTTTCTATTTATTCCAACTTTAAAATCTTGTCAAATATGTAACTTTAATTATCACTACTGATATTTGAATGAAGAATTTCATAAATGTTTACATCTAATCTTTTATTACAATTTCAATATTTAGTCTAAATTATAGAATTTAACATCGATTTGGACTTTTAATAAAAGGAAATGGTAATCAGCTGTTGTCAAGTCTGACGGGAGCTATCTGTCACGTTTTTAATACATTAAAATCTAAAGATTTTACAGGGTAATTTTTTAGATATCTGTTAATGATTTTATTTTTAAGTACGCCATCTAGTTTGTTGATTTGTGAATATGACGACTTTTAAATAATTATTTTATTGTCGGCTGTATGTGTAGAATGTCGCTTTCACGTTGCATTCTGAATTGTTATTTTGTATAATAAAAGCCATTTTATTTGATCTACTGATACATTATCAATTTACTTTTCATGATTATACGAAACGATATACTATATAAAGCTAAAGATTCTGTTTGGTTGTTCGCGCTAATCTCAGGAACTACTGGTATGAACAGAATTTTTTTGCATTGGATTTACAATCTATTAAGAAAGGCTTCATGCAATCAATCTATGATGAGGGAACGCGGGAGTATACGTATAATAGAAACTAGCATCGGAACTCTGGAAAAAATTATATACCTCAACCTTCCACTGGTTTTGAAATAATATAAAGTTTAGACATATGTTGCCGCTGACATTTTTTCAGGCATTATCGAGCTCTACAACTTTTGTCTAGAGCTCTATCATATATTTCTCATTGTTAGGACAGCGTTCGTTAGTAACGTTTTCGTTCGACTGTTTTTTCTCAGACAACACACTTGACTTAATGTGGAACCCCCTAGATGAGGCAGAGGGCGTCCACAGTGAGCCTCTATCGCGTTCAGTCTTGAGCCTCGTATTTCACGGCGCTCCAACTCTTTCCGGCTCTCTTCGCCTCATCTGCAACCGTACGACGCCAGGTTTGCTGCGGATTCTCCTCCTTGCGGGTATTAATGAAGCCCCTGCTTGGGGATATGATTGGAATCTCTTCGGAGTGTATGGTCTATCCATTTCCACTCGTCGCCTGATTTGCAGGCTAATCGGGGTTTCTCTACAGCGCTCCCAAAGTTGCTCGTTAGAGATCTTTTTGGGCCAGTCGAGTCGTCTTGTTCGACGACGAGTTGAACAGACTGAACACAAATACCACGAAAATGGTATAGCCTAAGACACTGACAAATAACTCGGCTCTCTATTGATAAACGAATATTGAAAATTGACTCAGTAAACTTTTTTTCAACCAATAATTTTTGATAACTCTTAATTAGCCCTTTACCTCCGACTCCTATTGGTACCGCACTTCACTCGATTCCACGTAAAATTGATTTCCGGAATTACACAATTTAAGAGAAATGTGTTTTGGTTTTAATTTATCAATAAAAACACTTATTCTTCTATTCTTATTTATTTCTATTGTAAACTATTTAGGCTATAGTTACTTTACTTTATCCCCGTACCTTTTTAATATATTAAAATAAAACTTTTGTATAAATTAAGATCTATTAAACATTTTTAATGCTTGCATAAATAACGTATAAAAAACCTGTAATTTACCACTAATTATTCATGTTTAGAGTTGTCCAACAGAATACCAATACCAATGAATTATGTCAAATGCCTAATACATACCTGTGTACATCGTTGACCTATATTGCGATACAATTGGCCTCATTCAAGTATCGAGATGTCAGATTTCCATTTGCTTTCATGACAGGCAATGTGAGCTCTTGACGCTAAGAGCCTTGAGGGCGTCTCTAATTAGAGATTAATTGAATAAGGGAGCGAAAAGGCTTTGCTACTAACGTGTTAAAACAGAGGGAAGTAATTTTAACGCAACGCACCCGCGAACTAGTTATTACTAATTAATTAGTCATTCCGCAACAGTTTTTCACTTTTCATATTATACCGGTTTGTATTGGTATTTGGTAGGTATAAAGTCAGTCGAACGCCACGCGTTGTTGCGTGCACACGTTGTGTATAACGCGATGTTCCGTGCCGTATCTGTTGGTTGGAAAAAGTACTGGTGGGGAACAGGTAAGAATTACTTAGATATTACTAAATGTAAAATATTTTCTTATTAAAATATCTTTTATTTTAACCTGAACTCGAAAATACAACTCGACAGTTTTGCTTATCTCGGTCATCGAGCATTTCTTTTAAATGGAAAGTAGTATAAATTCGCTGGAAATGTACCTGTATTTTATTTAATGTTAAAGAATGCGGCTGTTACGGTCATTGGTTTTGGCAGCAAAAAGCATTGTTGTGCCGGCTTAGAATTTGTGTGTGTATTTGTGTACGTTCCCACTCGGCTACTTCCGGAGCACGTGAGTTTGACAGGTAATGCAAAACCGTATTTGATAACGGTCAATGCCATAGATAAGATAACAATTTTTAGTTATCACCGTTTCGTCCTTCAAATAATAAAAACATTGCAGTTAAAAGAGAACAATGTAGAGACCGCTTTACACATCCCGAAAGCTGCGTTAATATATAAACCTTCTGAGCAAGCAATCGTTTAAAGAACATCCGACCAATAATAATTAATATACATAGTAAACAAGAATAAAGATCACGATTTATTTGAATTTATGAATAGAAATTAAATATATAACATAAATGACGGGCACAGTAGTTCCACATCGATGAACACAAGCAATTATATTATATACGTGGCCTCGAGAGCTTAACCCCTTATCAGGATTTTTATTTACCTTATTTTTATTTTATTTAACTTTGGATTAGTTAAAGTAAGTTAAATTTTGTCAGTATGATAAACAAAACACATTACTTAACGCCAACGTTAATTCTTGGTGCAATTTATCTTATACCGGAAACAATTTATAATAACTTTATAGATTGTTAAAATATTTAAATATGTAGGTACACATCTTTATCTGATTTACATAACACGACGTTTTGATTTCTTTTCAGCGACTTTCTGATAATTCGTTTTATAATTCTTTCGTACATACAATTATTAGCCATAAAGTATTTTAATTTATATTTATAATTATGAAAAGGTTGACTTTAGTTACGAATAAATCTGGCCAGGGCCAAAAAAAATAAATAAACAGCTTACTGTTCTATATCGGAGATTACAAAGAAGAAAAGGCAACAACGGCCAACTATCTTATTACTTCAATTTTTAATTTTATTAATAATATTAACACCGTTAATAATTGTTAAGTTTTTAGGTTTTTGCTTCCCCTTTTTTTTCCCCCCCCCCCTTTTCTTCCCCCCCTTTAAAAGATGTTCAGCCAGTTGATCAAATCGGGCAAATGACTTGAAACGAAAACTTTTTTTTTTTTTCTAGGCTACTGACGGCTTTCTGTTGGCTGGGACAATTACACCACGCTTCACCCCACCAAAACACCAAAAAAAAAAAAAATTTTTTTTTTTTTTTTTTTTTTTCTTTTTTTTTTTTTTTTTTTTTTTTCCCTTTTTTTTTTAAAGATTAAAACCGAAATTTTAGCGATTATCATGAAGAAAATGCCGGTATTATTAAGGATTCCGTTTTCATGTAGCATTTATATTTATTACGAAAATATATTGAGAGAAGATATGTATATGGAGATTAGTAAATAAAAAAGTTTATTGTTTTATTGCGTACAAAGAAGAAAATACAATTAGCAATTAAAATATTAACACAGAAGCTGGAATTGGGCACTAGGCACTTCGAATATTTCCTTTAGCAAATTAAGTTTGAAAATAACTCACTTTAGGGTAGGTCGTATTAATTATATATGGGTTATTTTACTATAGTAAAACTCCTGATGCATGTGCGAAACCCTTGCGAGGCACTTGTTATATACCTATAAACTGTGCTAGTATCGTAACATCATTCTAATAGTTCCATAATTGATTCTTCTTGGTCTTATTGATTCATTGTAATGTGTTATGACGCAATCGGTTTCAATTAACTCACTTGTCTACTGTATGTTGATTTAAAATCCCGCAGTGTTTCGGTTTATACGTGGGTATATATGAAGTCGTGGTTGTTAATAAGTCTGAAAACGTATATATATATATATAAATATATAATATATAGTAAATAAGTATAAGTATAAAATTTATCCAAATAATAGTCTTGCATATGACACGGTAAGTATTGGTATGATTTTGGTATAAAGATTTAAGACACTGATGAATATTGCGAGTAATATCCAGCAAGTAAGAATTGACAAAATAGTGGGTTAGACAGTCTTGACATCTACTAACACTATTACAATATATGTTAGCGTAACAAAATAGTAATTTCTTAATGAAAAAATGGAGCGCTTCTTAGGCATATTTTTAACCACAAATATAACATAATTACGGACGACACACGTAACCGCACATTACGACGGTAATTTTGACGAAAGTCTAGAACGTAATAATTTATTACCACTCTTTTCGCGGAAATAGTATGAACTATGACCTTGGTGAAACAGAGATATATCATTACTTCTCTTTACTTGTTTTTAGACTGTCGCAATAACTTTAATGATTATTTGGTAGAATTACAATCTTAACTTAAACTATCTTTATGGTTGTTGCTATCTATTTCAGGAAAGTAAAATTAGTTTATTAGTAAAACTAGTATTGGTAACATTGTGCACAAAATAATTTTCGTAGAATAAAGATATCTACGTGCTTTTTTGTAATAAATTTGGCACTATTGACGACAAAAGGTGAATACAAAGGTTAAATTAAGTATAATTTTCGTCTATTACTTAATTATTCAGAAGTTTATAAATATTTATAAAAACTATTAAGATTACGTATACTATATAAATAAATGTATACTTTTGCATGTATATATATCACATATAAATATTTTATACACTCTTCTGCTGTCTATGACCAAGGAAACTAGTAAATTATAAAATAAGATTATTAATTTTTTTATTCGAAAAAAACTAAGGTACAAATATTTTTTTTGTATATTGTTACTTCGTTTTTAGAAGCTTTCAAGAACAGATTACTTTTATCAGCATGTGTTACCAACTTATAACTATGCAATTAAACTAAATATATGCTTTTATATAAACCTATTTTCTTGCATATAATTTAACTACAAATGCGCACTTGACTCGCTGACCTACATAAACACAGATATTTAAATCGTAGAGTTACCTGCTATGTTTCGGTGCGGTGGTGGCTCAACATTTCAATCGCAGTTTAAAAAATATCTAAAAACAACTTTATTTTTTATCTTTTTAAACTTCGGGTCCTGGTGCTATCGCGCCGCTTCAGAACATTCAGAATCTAAACTATGCGCTCTGTATGACCAAAGACAATTTACCTACATTAATTGGTTTGACAGATGTCAAATCTAATACGTTGATTAGCAGTCATCCTTAGACCTTAGTGCTTCTACGACTGAATTACCCTAAAACCGCCGCTTGGGTATACGAAAATATGTCATTATTAGGAGCTCACTGTCTTCGATTTTCCTATTTAGTTGATTTGCTTTATTGAAAATAAATCTGTACAATACGCATTCTAGTTAATAATAATAATAATAAAAGCCTTTATTGCTGTAATTACTTATACCTATTAGTACATACAAATGTGAAATACAAAAAATTAACACTAAAAATATAAATACTAATAATTAAGCGGCAAGCCGGTTGCTTGGTTTCTGTTCTACAGCTTGTCCTTGGACATAGGCCTCCTCTAAGGGCTTCCACTCTTCTCTGAATCTTTTTATATGTTAACGCATTCTAGTTATATGAGTTCAAATTGAATCTCATTAATTAATGTAAGGCACTTGTGTGACATAGAGCATACATTTATAATTACGTATACAGTGTGGGGCAAGACATCGAGCGGTTTCGTGTATTAAAGTTATTGATAAAAAATGTTGACCAATACTATTAGTAGAGGAACCACAAATATAATAACGGCACAGTCATAGTTATTTGAAGTCCTGTATCCCTCAGTGAGAGTCATGGGGTAAATCTATTTTCTTCGGGAAAATATGAAGAAGAAGACGATAGAAGTAGGTGGTAATATTTTCTAATAGATCGTACAAATACTTTCTTTACGTTTTTGCTTATCATAAAATATTTATTGAAAAGGATTAAATAAACTTTAAGTATTAAATAATGTATAAAGTTGTTTGATGTATTACTACGACATAAAAGAAACCCGACCTTGAAGTGAGTTCTTGGAAAAACAACGGTGGAATAATTATTGGAATTTTAATGGCAACAGTTTTGAGCCAAAACAAAACCATGATCAGTGAGCTGTGTTGCTTTTAGTGTGCGACTCTATCCTCGATATCTTACCCGCTCTACTGGTAGTAAATGTAAATTTACAATTAATTTAACTTCTTTCTGACAATTCATAAGTGTACTTGTTTACCTACATGAATAAATATATTTTGAGTTTTAGTTTGATGTCCGTGAAATTCGTTGTGCATCAATGGATGTTGAGGTAACCATCGTAAGGAAGCTGGCATGTATTAGACCCAAAAATATACGACTTGGAGCATGATTTCTTTATACTAGTAAGACAGAAGTCTGCTCCTCTCTTGGTGGAAATTTATGTATATACTAGATGACCCCGTGAACTTTGTTTCACCAACATATATTTGTGTTAAAATTTTTAAAACAGACCAAAGAGATCGGACCTACAGCATACTACATACTATGATTTATGAAACATATTTCTGAAGGCATCTACAAATAAATGACAACCAAGTGCTAAACGTCAAATTGACCAACTAAGAACAGTTTTTATTGGAAAAATTGATTGTCGTTTTAAGTATTTTTCTTTAATTGTTATTTACGTTTTCCCCGTTTAAACTTTCCCTGATCTTCTACAAACATTTTAAGAATCCGAATCGGTCCAGCCGTTCTCTAGTTTTAGTAAGACTGACGAACAACATTTTATTTTTCCGCAAATGATTTTAAAAAAAGTATTGTAATAAGTGTTAGTATAATTGAGAATAATTTTATACAGTTAGCAGAAAGTTTCTTATTGTAAATTACGTTTTCAAATCACACTATACTACCCCCTTCACAAATTGGTCGCCTTCCGGTGAAGGGTTGAGACAGCTATGGCTAAAGCTAAGGTCACGCCTACCTAAAAAAATTCCCATTCCATTCTTAAATAGATTTATAGTTTATGGATCCCTCTTGTCCATAAAATAAAATTATCAATGATTCATGCTATTGAAAATATTCAAAACGCATAGAATAACCGATGCTTTGATCTAAATTAATCTCTATTTTTTTATCAATTTGGAATGCATTTTAACATCACGAGTGCATTTTGTTATCTATTACAGATCACTGTCACATAACGCTGCCCTATAGATAAGAAAATATAGATAAGATAAATTAAGTACGGTAATAGAGTCAGAGCAAGATTTATAAGTTCAAAGTAATCATAGACAAAAGAAATTAAATTCTTAATTTTCCTATAAATTATCACGAAAAAGACAGTTGAGACCCAGACCTAAAAGGTGGTAGCGCCACTGGTATACTTGTATTAATAAATCAAAATTATAGATTATTAGATATCCTTGGTAACAGTGGTAAGTGAAAAAAATGAACACAAGAACTGAGTGTCTTATCCTTAATAGAGACTGTAGTAGTGTAACTACGACATCGTAATGTTCCATGATGTCTCAGTGAAGAGACAATGTATTAAAAAAATATATCCTTGGTACATACACATTCTTTTTTCATTAAACTTCATAAGAGACATAAAATTTTTAGAACGGGAAGTGAATTTAGAAAATTAACAAATGAATTATTTTATTTTGAATGCAAAAAATTTTTGCTTCATTATTTTGCACATTTATTTAGTATTTTCTTACTTCATAGCTATAGCCGTTTCTGAAGGCCAATTTCAAAGACAATAAATAACAATGAGTTACCAAAATAATCTTAGTTATTTGTATACTTACTTGTCATCGCCAGGAACGTTATGGTATATATATTATTATTTTAAAAATAACATTGCGTACCTAATTATAATATACTTCATATGTAAATCCGGCTTAAAAACGCTTCCGCAAATGACGGCTCATTAAAAGTAACATCTGGCCTTTGGTTTTACGAATTAATTGATATGTTCAGAATAAAAAGGTTATTCAAGGCTGATAATTCAAAGTCACCATATCGCAACAACTATCAGCACTATAGAAAATGCGTCTCTACTCTATGACTGTGGGTCATAATTAATTAATGATAAAAAACAATATTTTATACTAATACAATATTTAAATAGGTACAGGATAGATAAAATACATTTTAGGAGGCGCGAAATTTCTATAGTCTATTCTAAAGTATTGTAGTTTATACTCTGTGGTATAATCCAATTTTGGCGCCACTAATACTTTGAACTAGGAATGTGTTCATTAAATTTAGGTGAGTTTTAAATTTAGAATACAATCTATGTCACCAAGAGTTGTGAGTGTATCGTCTTAGCAGTATACATAATATTATTTTATATCCAAGGTGTTATGAAAATTGGTTGGAATTTTGTCATACGTACAATCATAGCTTTTAAGCGTATATGTAATGCTAGTTTTGTTATATAGAAAATAAATTCGGTTGTTATTCATATAAAACGAGAAAAAAACTTATCACTGGCTTGCGTAATGAACAAAACGTTCGGAGCTGCAAAATTCAAATGGATTTTACTCCGTTAAAACAACTTCTTTAAAGATTAGTACTAGAGAGTACATACTAGATATTAGTACTAGAGAGACATTTGATAGATATGATAATTTATTATAGGGAAAATTAATAAGACTAAGTCTAAAGTTATCGTAACAACGTAATAACATACACGGTACGTAATGCTTTAAACGACACAATGACTGACACGCAAGGTTAATATACTTATAATACAGTAAAATTACCAAATCATAGGACAAAAAGTCATTTTCCTTCTGAAACAAGGAAAAACCAGTCTATTGTGTAACAAGTATAGACGAAGATTTAAATTGAAATGTTTTGTATATATATTTTATTTATGTTTTATCTATGTGGTCATGGTGAAATATCCGGTTTTGGCGATAGAGATATTAAAGGTGAGGTGCATGGTACATACATGGTGAATACATGGGTATTATATTATGGTAATATATTTAATATATAAACAGCATTTTCTACACAATTTTTTTTTATTATTGAATAAACATTACGGTGCTCGCTTCTTGGTCGCTCAGCTGGTGACATTGTATACCTTACGCATATATGGGCAGAGGTAATTGAGTCCAAGGGGGAGGCGCTAGCGGTTAGTTTGGATATAGCGGTAGCCTTCGACCGGGTTTGGCATAAAGCGCTTCCCTCGAAGCTTCCAGCCTATGTGCTCCCCAAGAAATAATACGACTGGATCTCCAGCTTTCTGGAGCATGTTCCGACCTTAAACCCGTGAACGCCCACAATGCTGTGTCCTATCTCTTCTGCATATCAATGATATGTCGCAACTTAGCAACATTCATTGCTATGCGGATAGCACTGGCAGTCCAGGTGTTTCTTGAGCAGCTGCCGTATCGGGCCAGACACAAGTCCGGAGTCGAAACTCTGCTACGTGGAGTCTAGGACTGGGGTCGACTAAAACTAGACTAATTTAAACCAAAGAAGACACGAGTTTGCGGATTTTCCGCTTAAAAAACTCCCTTTGTCGCTACTCTTCTCTTTGAAGAAAATCTCCTTAAAGCCACAGCCAGCATCGGAGTACTGAGCGTTGACATATCGAATGATGTTCAGTTTCGCGGTCATTTGGAGGGCAATGCTAAATTAGCCTTAAGCTTGGTGTGCTCAGCAAGGCGAGACGGTACGTCACTCGACATGTGGGGTCTCTCTGCATCTGATACCGCATTTAGCACGGAGAATGTTCAGAGGAGTTGTTCGGATTAATACCTGCAGCTGAGTTTCATCATCGGACGTCGAGGCAGAATACGAAATTCCACCAGTAGGACCTCGACGTCCGTTGTTCCATAACTGAGCGTTTTTATGGCAGTTATTGTCGCGCACCACCAGAATGTGGAACCAGCTGCCAATCGATGTATTTCCGAACCAATTCGTATGTCAATACGACTTCCACTTAGGGTTCTTTAAGAAAAGAACGTACCAATTCTTAAAAGGCCGGCAACTCACTTGCGAGCCCTCTGGCAATGTAAGTGTCTGTGGGCGGCACTATAACTTAACAGATGATTCTCCTTCTCCTCCTGCCAACTAAGAGTACAAAAACACCTAAGGGCTTTAACCTCGGTGCCTAAAAATTCTATTATAATTATATCTTTATTCCTATTCTTTTGACTTTGATATTTATTACATAATTATTTCGTATAATGGTAATTACTGTTTACGATAGTATACATACAGAGTAGTCTTTATAACATCATTCGCTGTAACTAAAAACTCTCTATAACGATAAAAAATGCTATATATAAAAGTATTAAAAAAAAGCTTTTCATTCGGGTTTCCTAAAAGAGATCGTTTATTGCCTATAACCCGCTCGTAGAACATTATTTTTTAAAATCTGAAATAAAAGAATAACTACAATAGAAAAAAAAGGGTCCGTGTACTTATGTACGCGCGTAAGAAGTTATACTTCTTTGGCAATATTAAAAATAGTTTGGCTTTGTTCCACCTCCAGTTTTTGATGTTTCACAGCAATAAGATGAAAACTCTTTTTTTGTATACAATTTAGTGCAGTTACACTGATTCATCAATTGTTTTTTGTCTCTTTTCCTTATATTTGCTAGATAAAATCAGAAAAATTACATGTTTTGATTAAACAATGTGGTTAATTTTTTAATCAAAACATTACTCGATAATAATAATAATACATACGGATAGTTAACCTCAATTGTATTGAAGCACTTAGGAAGGTTGATGAGCACAGTTTTTTCACAAATATTAATTAGTATTGGTTTAAATATTCAATTTAAATCACTTCTGATTATAATTCAAAAAGCATCGCTAAATTTCTTTGAAAAAATAATTAAAACTCCTTTATTTGTTTAAAAGGTAAATGACAAATGTCATTATGGTCATTCAAAATTGTTGGCATACGAACTTCACGAACATATTCTATTTCTTTTTACTTGTAGATTATCTTATTCCTATCTCGCTCGCGCACGCTATAATCACACTCCTAATTTTGTGTCACGGGTGCGCGCGCATTGTAAAATTTCACTCTCATAAATTTTTCATAACGCGCCTAAAGAAGTATAACTTCAAAAAAAATTGTTCAATAATATCTTGTTTTTTTTTCAGGAGTACTCCCTGACAGAACTAATCGAATAGAAGACATTTATCTTCGAGTCTTTAATGGGTAAGTACTTGAATATTGTACAATAGTTAATTTGCCATGTAAATTTAACGTTTTATTCAAAATTGCTCTTTGTTCACTACGCAATTTGAATTACGTGAACCACAATTCATGACAATATCATTTTTTCTCTATTAAAATCATAACACAATTGTTATGTACCAGTATAAGACTTACTTATATAATTTTGGCGCGATATTGCCATCGATTATAATTTATTTCCATACTCTATATTAGTATTTTACAGTAGTATCAAAACGTTATCTATATTTAATAATAAGATATAATATGGTAATCTCTACAAGATAATCTTAACAATTTGAAAACTTCCGGCTTTATTTTATTCAATCAGATAGTGTTTTGTGAAATTATTCGTTGTTACTTATAACTGCATCAGTTTAAAACCGTAATACTAGTATTTGATTTGACTTTAACGTTGTTAATTTATAAGTCCTGTGATTTAATATGCAGCTGACAGTAACGTTATTGCTTCGATATATACTATATACATTATACATATATAATAGCAATTGTTTTCATATTAGTTTAAACAATAATATGTTCATAATATAGTTACAATTTATAGAATATAGAATCCATGATGTCTCGTGGCTCGAACCTCGATCGATCTCTTTGACAGTGAAAAATCTTACGTATTAATCTCTAATACTTTACCATATCATAAAGTGGTGAAGACTTAGACTTAGTATAGGCCTGGATATATTGAGCAGTTACATTTTCACGTATTGTTAAATAATTGGCCACGAGATAAAGACATTCTACGATCCGTTTATGACAGACAAATGCAAAATATAATAAACGTATATCTAAAATTATTATTGTAAAATACTGTTACTATCAAGTCCCCAGACGACTCAACGAAACGTCACAAACAAACCACATCTTACTATATTTCCAGCACAACATGCGAGGAATATGTCGACATGCCATTGGAACAAGCGCATCGTGTGTTGGACGTCAAAGGCTTTGATAAAAACAAACGGACGGTCTTATACGTACACGGATTCATCGAAACCGCACAACAAGAGAGCGTACAGGTTATTTATTCACTATTACTTTCTTAATGAATATACTCGCATTTTTCTTATTTATTCGCCATTATAGCCTGCCAGAGTTCTTTCGTATCATTTTTTCTAGTAGGTAAATTGTAATTTAGTTAACAAGCGACTTACACCGTCCTGTTTAATGGATAAATGACTAGTTTTAAAACCATCTTAATTTGTATAGGACTTCTTTTAAATATAATGAAATGGAAAATTTAATAATTCGCATGTGCAATTGTTACGAATTGACTCTAATAACTCCCCGAAGTGGGATGGTCGAGTCGGAGTAGGGAATAGATTATAAAAGAGCAAATTGTAACAAATGCGCACGGGCAATTTCTTTGTTCAAGTTTGAAGTTATACAGTTTACGTAAAATCAAGTCGTCATTAGAGTTTTTAATTTCCTATCCTAAGAACTAGATCAACTAGCCCTTACACCATGTTATCGAAAAACCTTTAGCCATACTAAAGTCTTGACTCAATTTTAATTTATGTTGAATAATCTTTAGATTTTCCTTGCAGGTCATGGTTAGCGCCCACTTAGATGCAAGGCCGGACACAAACATTATACTCGTAGACTGGTCCAACATGTCGCATGGATCTTATTTGGTCAATGCAGCGAGAAACACTAAAAAGGTAATGCGAGAAACACTAAGGAGTAATTAGCATATTTGAGCCCATATTTTAATTCGACCTATCTTCATGTGGATTCAGCAAATCTCATTCCTGAGGTCGTAAATTCGAACCCCGGCTGTTCACCAATGGACTTTCTATGTGCGCAATTAACACTCTCTTGTACGATAAAGAGAAGTCAGAATGCCGACACAAAAAGTCAACAGCGTGGGTCATGTACAGAAAGCTGTTTACTAGATACTACCTACCTTTGAAATAAACAATTTATCACGAAACAGGTACATAAATCTGAGGCCCAGATCAAAAAAAAGGCTGTAGCGCCACTGTTTTTATTAGGCTCTATCTCGTTGAGTGCCGTCAAATATGTTTTGAAATAAAACGTTTTTAATGATTATTCTTTGATAAAAAACTCATTATAATTTACGAAATTCTTGTTACCTTATACATATTGCAGCATATTGTACATATGCTGCAAAGTGTAGTTTAAAGCTTCAAAATATTGTATCTAAAGTATTTTTCTGCAGTTCGCATTTAACAGCTCCCCTTTTCCAGGAGTGCTAAAGAAAATAAAAATAAAATAAATCCCAAGTGTTTCCTAAAACATCTGTACCTTACATTTATTACAGAAAATAAAAAAACTTGTTTTTAGATTACATGATATAATGTTTTTTTCTTAAACCAGAAGAGTTTTTAAAGTTAAGTACGTGTTATAAAAACAAGTTATAACAAGTAATAAAAAAATATATAATAGCTATTTCTTGCACATTATTATGTTTTTGTCGCTTTGTTTCGTTCAACAGACTGAAAAGAATAACAAATACACAAACATAATTTTGTTTACTATATTAATGCGTCAAAAAAGCTGCGGCTGTGACGATCGAGCGAAACCCTTGGGTTTGAATATTAGCGAAATTGTTTTGATTTTCAAGGCACATAATAATGACAATATTCAGATGTTACGGGACTTCGCCGACGTGTATGGCTTCTCGGGTCAGGAGACTTCTGACCGTAAGAAATCCGAGATTAGGACTTACACACAAACACACGAATAGGTAAAATGAAATAGATAGTAAAACAACGATAAAAGTTTGGAAAACTTGTTTGCGAACTATACATAGTATCTAAAATCTATTTATCATAAAGTGAGACAATTTGCCTATACGAATATGTATAACAAAGCTTTCTAAAAGTTTGTGCTACGTATAGCCATCTTAATTGTATGTGTAAGGGCAGCTTATTCTGTCACATTTGTTTTAGATGAGTAAATTCCGAATCAAAAAGTAATCCAGTGACGCTACAACCTACTATTATATCAGTCATAGCTTCAGAAAGCATCCATTTTCTTAATAACTTTTGTGCCTGACGGATGTCGTCGATTTTTGGATTTAAGGCAGGATAGCATGTGCTATCCTGACGATATTTTCTTTCACCATAGGAACATGTGTTAATTGCCAACATAGAAACAGAAAGTATATCTCTTTTTTATATGTAGAACAAGGGGTAAGGGCAAGGGGGTAGGAGGCTCCCCTGATGTAAAGTGATACTGCCAACGGACACACCGCCGAAGGCTCACAAGTGCGTTGCTGGCCTGTTCATTTGGTACGCTCTTTTCTTGGAAGATCGAAAGTTGAATTGGTTCGGAAATACACCAGTGGGAAGCTGTTTCCACATAGCGGTGTTGCGAGGGAAAAAACTTGCTTAAAAATTAAAACAGAGCTCTGGGTTCACACAACGTATTGGCTCATGTTTCATCTATTGTATTGTCTTCAGGTAGGAGCAGCAGTGGCTGAACAGGTCCACAAATTAATAGAAGACGGTGTACCGGTGGAGAAGCTGCATTTGATCGGTCACTCTCTAGGCAGTCATGTCGCGGGCTATATTGCACGAGAGCTGAAAAATAGATATGGAAACACTGTCAAAAGGTAATGGTTATGTAAATTTATATATTAACTTCTTGTTATAAGACTTTAAAATTATTTATTTTCTAAAACTCGGTATATACGGTATCTGTTTATCATAATACATAAAATTATATTGCCAGTAATAAATTACAAGTAAATATCTTCGCCATTTTGAAATTTATCGATGTAGTAAAAGCCTAAAGATGTTAGATATCGGAATATCAAAAATATAAATTTGTTACTTTTAGGTAATTTACTCGTATCTAGTACCACAAAACATACGAATGGCGCCAAAACACAAGTCTGGGCATGCCCTACAGCGCAGGACGCTACCACAGATTATTAAAAATTTGTATTTCGCATTACTTTATTAAATATTGAAATTTCTTTCTTAAATTCGCCATGAATCAAATCAAAATATGTGTAAGTTAATTAGTATATGAAAACAAAATACGTAAGATCGATCGAGATCGTATTTTTTTTATAATACTTATTATAATACAATTTCAGGGTGACTGCCTTAGATCCAGCATTCCCTGGATTTTACCCCGACGGGATTTTAATGGAACATATAGCGGAAAAAGATGCCGAGTTCGTTGATGTAATACACACAGACGCGGGAATGTATGGAGCTCCAGTGAGGACAGGATCTGTGGACTTCTGGCCTAATGGTGGGAAGAGTATACAACCTGGCTGCCCGAGATTTGCACCTGTACCTCTCTCAGAAGATAGTAAGTGTACATCTTCATTGTTTAGCTATAAACATGACGACAGCATTGTACTTAAATCATTACCAGTATTACCAAGATTATATTCCTTGAATCTATAAATAATGCAAGACAATTTACTCCGAGGAACTCATTTTCAAAACAATAATTGTAACTTATAATGTCACAGAGTAGAAGAATATATGAAGCATAGACAAGTTTAATTAGGAGTAAGAGTGCGTTTTCCAATTACAGCACTAGAGCGCATTTCGGTTTTGAGCATTAGCTCAACGTTGAATGTTCCAACTACACAACCTTCCACAATTGAGACTCTCAAAACGAATGCTCTCGCAGCTTCTCCAAACAATACCAACACAGTGACAGAAATTGACCAGTATTTTTCTTTAAGTTGGCATTTATCGAAATTTTCTTAGTAAATATTATTTATTGTTGAAAAATTTGTAAGGCTTTCGTTTCGTCTAGATTTTGAAAATAATTAAAGTTATTTCAAACTGCTAAAAAAAAAAAAATTTGTATGGATGATAAATAGTTACTTTTTTTATATTCCACATTTAAAATATGAATACAATTTTATTTTAAAATTCGGATCTGTAAACAAATTTATTTTACAGGATTATACTTTAGAAAAAATTGCAATGGTTTTGAAAAAGTATATAATTTTTTTAGAAATCATTAAAAATATTACTCAAAAGTAAATATTAAATTCTTACATGAAACTAAATATTTTACTGTTAATTTAGCTTGTTAAAACCTTATATTCTTTAAAGGTTTTCTATTATTTCAATAAAAAAAATGTTAATGAAATAATTTGATGATTAAAATAAGCGTAAAAAGTTTTCAACCAATTATTATTGTTTACCACATTATTTATACATTAATGAGGTTGCTAACTCAATTCATACAAATTCAACATTTTTTTTACAACACTGACTTAGCGCACTCTGCTGATGCATTTGAAAACTAATTCACGTTCCAATTAAGCTTCAGCATTATGCGGCATTGTGCGGCACTGAGTCGCAAAATGCTCTGTAATTGGAAAACGCACAGAGTGACATTTACATGGCGCGAAGTTAAAATTGATATTTAACAATTGACACAAAGATAAGATTAATAAACATGACTGATACTCGCACTATTTGTACCATAAGCATCACTTCTACTAAATAAGCTACTTCTTCTAGAATTTAATGAATTTTATTTTTTAAGATTATATTGAATATTACGTAATTGCTGCTTCTGATACTATTTAACTACAGAGTTTATTGCCAGTTTTTCTCGTGCATTCTACTCCTTATGAGTATGGTAGTGAATGAGAATTAAGAAAATATGTGTTTTTACTCACGTTCATTAGATACCTACATAAATAAATGTATAATATTTTGAATTTTGATTTGAAGCCCGTATTCCAAAAAGTATCGAATTTTTTTTTCAATTATTATTGCCCTGTCAGCTAGCCTAAAGACCATTAGACCATATCAACTTGTTCTTTAAAAAAAGCACCTCAAGGCACAAGTTTTGCTTAAATCTATCAAATATTTCAATCTTCATATCCGATATTATGTGTGCCAATATTACCATGGGTCATGTATTTCCAGACCTGTGCAGTCATTGGCGATCATGGAGGTTTTACGCTGAGTCCGTTCGAAATCCCGAAGCCTTTCCTGCGTCACCAGCGGAGTCCTATCACAAGTTTAGAGAAAACACGTCTCCTGAAGCAGGAATGATATATATGGGAGCTAACTGTGATACAAGGTAACTATTTCTGTACTGGACTGTATAATTAGAAAGACTCGTACTCGTGAACGGGTGCTACTTGTGTTGGATGGTCGGACTTGAATACTTGTACGTATTAAGTACTAGCGACCCCACCCGGCGACATACGGGCAAATGTGCCCCGTAAACCTTGAAAAATTCTATATAATTCTAGATATTGGTGATAAACGCATTGAATTCGGTGCGGTTTTGAGTTTTTATATTTTTTCTCAATAAAAAAAAATGGGGTAAATACCGTTAGATTATACCAAATCCATATATTCTTAAGACAAACCTTCAAATTATGATAATCCATTATCTATGATCTTTTAAGTCCTCGCTATCTTTCATCGAAGAATAATACGTTAATTAATTATCTGTTGACTTCATATGTATGAAATTATTTTCGCAATATTCAATTATGTTTTTTATTTCAGTGCCCGAGGATCGTTTTATTTAACAACGAATTCAAAATCACCTTTCGGCAAGGGCTTGGACGGTATTTATTATAAGAAAAATAAGAAGAACAACGATAAAAAGAAATGAATCATACTGCTTCAATATTTTCTTCTGTGATGGTTCGATTATTAATCTCATAAGTAATTTGAATCCAGTGTTGTAAACAAAGTTTTTCTCTAGACTGTAAAATCAGCCAGAGTAAAAATACCAAAGACAATAAAAAAAATTGTTCTTGATAAAACCAAAGACAATTAAAGCAATTGTCTTTGGTAAAGAAAGAGATGTTGTTTGATTGCATGCGTTTGATTTCATTGTTATCATTTATATTATGTAGATAAGTACGTAAAGGTAGAAATTCGCATAAGACTATTTTTTTAAATATATAAATTGTCAACACACCCATAAAAACTAGAAGAAAACTTTATTTTATACATGACAGATCTAAATTTAATATTTCTTTAATAGGTTAGTTTTTTTATATTTTATAACTGTTCATTAACTTTATGTTAAATATAGTTAAAAAATATTGTGAAATATGCTTCTAATCTACGTTAATTCTACTTCTTGCCAATACATCACAATTAGATCACAAAAAAATTACTATGATAATTTGGAGTTGCTCAAATGAAATGCAGTTTGACGATACATATTTTCATCAAATTGCATTGTAAAAAAGTGAAGTTGTGAAGTAATTACTTAATTGTGTAATTACTTAATTGCAGATATATCTTTTATATAAAGGTATGGTTAAGAGCTACACATTTACAGTGACATCTATCGCGGCATTATTGTAACTTTCATATTGTATAATTTTTAAAAATCATTCAGAAATTAACACAGTTCATTTGTAATTTTTTACGCAAAAAAATATATATATTAGCGACATCTATCGCATAGTGATGATACTTCTACAAGCTGTAACTTTTAGTATTTAAAAGTATTCTATATTGCTCGCACGTAAACATTCCTAGGAGTTTCATAGATGTCTTGTTTTTTATGTGTTTGTCATATGAATTATTGAAAGTTGAAAATATACGACTGTTGTAAATAGAATACATCACAATATTGTGTAAATATTATTATAGTAGAATAATTTAATGCGCACAATACAACGATAAAATTCAATTCAATTTAATGGACATCACAATAGGGACCTTGTCTCCACAATTTTATAAGTCTATATAAGATAATTTGTGTTGTAAATCTAATTCAGTACTTAATTTACTTTACGGAGGTAAGCAAACATTCATTTGTAAGCTGAAATTAAAAAAAAACAAATAGTTGTATTTCCTAAGCCGACATAATTATTAGATTTGAAGTTAAGGAAAGACACAGATTTGTAAATATTTACTCCCTTATTCATAAAAATTAAATCAATCTGTGAATTTTTAACTTAACTATTTTGTCTTTTTCTGTCAAACTTTGTTTACGCTGTGATGAAAAGAGACGGATAATTTAGTAAAAAATTGAAATTTTATTTCTTTTTTATGAAAAAAAGGCTAATTACAAAAATTATAATCTAGGTTAAGGTGAAGCCTAGATATCAAATACCTTTATTAAAATAACGCCACTCTTACGAGGCTGGTCTACATTAAATATAATTATTCAATAAATTAAATAGTATTGATACATTTAATTTTACATTCACAACCACAACAATTGATTTGTTGTAAGTAATCTATATTGATTATTTTAATCTATGGTGCAGGCAAATACTTAAAGTACAAGGCGACGTAAAAATAACTATTTACTCAACTCGTGAAAATATGACGAAAAAAAAGGATAAAATGCATATTTCGGTGCTTTTATCAAATTGTGGCTTTAAAGCACTGGAATTGCAATGTAATTAACAGAACGGGCTAAAATGGCTCTGATGTAAGAATAATAAAACATAACTAAATCAATGAGTTTTATTGCATTTCTGAATTAAATAATACAAATAAAATATACAAGCTATTTTATAGTTAAAATTATTAATTAATATTTTTTTCTTTAGATTAATATCATTTCGTTTATAGTTATTGGCTTATTGTTATAATACATTTAATTTTTGGATTTAAGCTTGGTTTATCTTGGGTATCTTCTACGTAATTTCAGTAGTGGTATTAACAAACCAATTAGTGTCTTCATTATCCCATGAATAGTCATCATCAGAAAGCATGCTCCTTTTCGCCTGATGTAGTATTAAATATAAGCTGAACACCATTACACCAGTTAGTAGGAATCTGAAATAAATTATTAATAACAGATGGATATTATTGTAAAAAAACAATTTTACAGTGACATCTATATTATACTATAATTAACGATTTATATTGTAAGTATAAATATTCATGAAAAAGATTACGTATATTATTAATCACAAAGAATTTATTATATTAATTAAATCATATTAATCACAAAGAAATAATCTCGCTCACAGAAAACATCTGAACATCGCTTAATGTTTGGATTTCTGCAGATAACATTTTTATCTTTTTTGCTTGAAGAAGGGTTTAATACATAAGTACTGGCAATATAATTAAATAAACAAAAAAGCAGAAATGTTAGTGTTATGCTACTAATTTTTGGAGAAAAATTGGATACATGCAATTGTTAGTCATTTTCTCTAAATACCCGCCAAGTTCTATATTTAAATGTCATAATGTTTATTTAAAAATGATAACTAAATTGAGAATTATAAATTCTCTGCTAGCTTTAAAATAAACAAAATTTTGACTGGCGAAAAGCCATGCTTGCAAAACAAAAAAAAAATTTACAAGTCAAATTTTGAGCATTTTCTGTAACAAAGAGAGAACTTGAAAACTATTTAGAGCTGAAGCTTCCCTGTGGTTATTACCCCTTTTTATGAGGGAGGAACACCTCTATGTGTTTATGGGTTAACACAGTAGTAGAAATACAAAACTCACTGTCCATTGTGATTGTATAATCCACAAAACAAATAAGGTACTCTTTCCTAGAGTATAATTAGTCAATATACTCTATGTATTCTCTTCTGAAAGGTATAGCTGTTGTAACGGGTACTGAACTGTATGTCGTTGTTGTCATGTTACGTTTTGTTGCGGTATAAATAGCGTTAAAGAATTTAAACGACCAAAATGCAGAGAATATTAGCGCTCCAAATATAACCACACTGTAAGTATATGAAATAGTTGGTTATTATTCGGAATAGTTTAACTCTTGTTTGTTCATATTAAGGGTTTTGAATCAAAGGCGTCTCTAGTTCATGTAGCGTCTATCAATACGTAAGCGAGTGTTCAAAATGAAAAGGAAGGTACAGGGGCACCCGCGCCGGTTCATCGAGGCTGGATCCAGCCAGAAAATGACGCGGCCGGCAAACAGCGCTGTATGAGGGCGCCCTGTAGGTATTATAAGTAAAGGCGCTACCGACTTGACTCGGAGATTCGTATTATTATACGGGAATTTAAAATACATTTATATTTAATAATTAAGAAAACAGGGGTGTATCTTTGTTAGCAGCCAAGAATCGATTGCCTCTGCTCCCGCTTGGTATTTTCGTAAGCCTTCCTTTTGATTACCTAGCGTATTAGATAGGCAAAGGTAATCAATATACCTTACATTACACTACCCAACTGTGTCTTAATTAATTAAGAAACACAGTTTAGACATTAGATTTAAATTATTTTCCTTTATTGTTACAGTTACAGAAATACAAAATAAACTAATTATTTGATTGATTTTTTCTACAATTTTTTACCGACAATAATTGTACTCAATACCTTCGCCTAGCCATGAGCGTTAAGCTTAAGGTGGTCTAGTTTTATTATGGCATTCCTATTCCCCTTGTACTTAGTAAAACGTATGATACCGTGAATGTTTTAAAGCCATAGTTTGCTTCAAAAATGTTTTAAAAATACGAAAGTGTGTACTGTGTACTTACTAAAGAAATAAATAATACTTACAGACCAGCACCCATTTCTAAAAATCCAACAACCAGTGCACACAACAGATGTTCTTTCACCATTAAATCTAGAATAGTTCGCATATTTTGATTCGTATTTATTAACTTTTGTTTTAGTGTTTATTTTAACATACCATTGTTCTCTTTATTGTTGTTGAACTCATCTTTGATTGTTTGTGTGCGTAATATTGAAAAGTGATGCCCAAATAAATAAATGGTGTAATCTGTGGCTGTAGTTAATTTTTTTTAGTATTTCGTGAAATATTCTTCATTATCTATTGAAGAGTGCTTCCGTATAAAAGTATATATCTCATAATAACGTTTCCAATTAATATTTAAATTACTATTATTAATAATAGGTATTTTGATAAAAATGCTTTATGTTAAATAACGTATAATATTAACATACAATTAAATATTTTTAGAATTAATATATTGATATAAGAAACGAAATCATCGAAGTAGCATTTTAATCTCTATCCACCTTCGTTATATTATTGTTCTTTATACATCTTTAATCTTCTTAACACCAAATTGACCTTGTCACCGCCTAAAAATAATAATTTTGTTATCGATTATTTGTTTTCGTAAAAATATCGATACGTGATAATATTAAGACCCCTGGCCAATCGTCAGCGGCTACTATAGTGCACATTGAATATAGATAATACAAATTAAAATATTTACCAAATCCAGTTAAATTTGTAATTGGAATTTCATTATTAACACGGTCCATTGCGAGTAAATGTTTGCCGCCCAGAAGTAATGTTACCATCAGCGCACCAAAGATGAGGAAGCTGTAATAATTTCAATCAACCAAATTACGCATTCCAAACTATCAATAAAAAAAAATGGTGCGTGTACTTATGTACGCGCGTAAGAAGTTAGACTTCTTTGGCTTTCTTTATTTTTTTTAAATATTAAATAATTAATAATAAATATTTAGCGTTAATAATTTAACAATATTTAATATTTAGTGTATTATTCAAATATTAATTAATATTAATTATTTTTATTATATTATTAATTCAATTTAATAACTACGTATGTTTCATAACCTTTTAACTAAGTAACAATAGGTCTTTGTGAAAAAGCATTGCTAAATTTCTTTGAAAAAATAATTAAAACTACTTTATTTGTAATTAAGGTACTACAAATGTCATTATGGTCATTCAAAATTCTTGGCATAGCTGCTAAAGTCACGCATATTCTATTTCTTTTTACTTGTAGATTGTCTTATTCCCATCTCGCTCGCGCACGCTCGGCGCCCATACTGATAATTTTGTGTCACGGTGCGCGCGCATCGTAAAATTTCACTCTCATAAATTTTTCATAACGCGCCTAAAGAAAAAAAAAAAAACTAAAAACTATTATAAACTTCAAAAACAATCATAAAAGCTAAATCTAAGATAAGGTATTTATTCTTATCTCTGTCAAATTGTGTTTACCCTGTGATGAAAAGACACAGGTGACTGATGAGTAGGTACTTTAAAACGGAGCTATTACTAATGAAAGATGTTTGTAATATTAAAGAGTTCATTTTATTATGATATTGTTGAAGTTTTTATTCTTTTACCGTGCCTCTGCCCTTTAGCTGCCCACCGAAGTATTTCCGAACCAATTCGACTTAGGGTCGTTCAAAAGCGGAGCGTATCAATTTTTAAAAGGCCGCCTTTGAGGGTCCTCGGGCAATGTACCTAAGTGTCAATGAGTGGCGATATCACTTAACATCACATGAGCCTCCTGCCCGTTTGCTCTGTTAGGTATATAAAAAAACTTCGTAGTGATAGCGATGCCGATTCGAATAGTTTGTAACACCAACTTTTATAAATATATAATTATTATTATTTATTTTCCTTTTCATTTAATTTTTTGTTTGTTTATGAGAAATAGCTTGAAATATCAATCTCTAGTAGTAAAAATTGTATTGGGATTGAGTATGGATTTTTTTTCTTGAATGGGATCTCGCTTTTGGGCTTAAGGGCCTTTACAGCTCAGCTCGGGCTGTTTTAGCGAGCGTAGCTCGGCCTGGGCGTTTTCCTGCGACTAGCGCCTGGGCGTCTCCTGCGACCTCGGACCTCGGCTTGGGCCGTCGTGTCGCGGGGTGGTCAATTGCCTGAAGGGCAGGACGGCACTGGAGTGAGCGATGTACGAAGTAAATGACCTCTCCTTCCCCGGTGAAGGTGGTTTTTTACCCTAATCTGATTTAGAGTTGTAGATAATTTGGGTTTTCCTATTCAAGCCAAGCAAATCCTTATTAGTTTAACGGATTAACGAGTACAGTTTCAGTCTAAGTAACCAAGAGCTCCAATGAGTTTTACACACCGAGGGGTTTTAAATTAAATTTGAGACTGTGTTTCTTTTTCACTGTATTAATTTAAATAAACCCAAATGTATTACTAATTCCTTAATTGGACGTTTCGTGTGTATATATAACCAATCGGGTCAAATTGTTTTTAAAGCAAGGAAAAATTAATGTTTAAAAACTACGTTACCGGGATTGTAACGGCTAACTTAATTATTTTATTTATTTTTTAATTTACTTAATATTACAAACAATACATAAATTAGATTTTGTGACATCAATAACGTCCTCAAAATTCGTTTCATTATTCCCCAGTTATATGTATATTTTTTTGTAATATGAACCTTTCCTTTAAAGAAGTAATTATAGATTTTAGTTTTGTAACGTCTCGGTAGCTCATCAACAAATCCTGGGATTAACTGGTTTGCTACGCATGTCACCACGCCAATTCAAAAAATATAAAATAAACTAAAAATTATACTTACGTCCCTGCTATCATCCTCTCAACACAAAACACTGAATACTTTGTGTATTATAACTGCAACCAAGTGTTTAAATGTTATGACTTTAACATCCTTCCCTTTTATACACACGAGATTGTAATAGGATGTTAAAATAAACATTTAAATATTTTTACCACGAACAAAAATGTACAAGGTGTTTTAGGTGATAACGAATTACTTATAAATATTTAGGAATGCTTAGGTTTATTGGAAATAAAAGGCGAATTTATATTCTTATATTGCTATAATATCAAAAATAAAATCCCGCTAAAAAAATAATTGCGTAATTATTTTATTAGCGGGAAGAAGCGTTTCTTAACCGTTTCCTAAGTTCTGTACCAGAACTGGATGTATTTGCGTCTGGTTTGAGAATACTAAGACGAATGTAAGATTTATTTATTTATTTTTATAAAATGTGTAAGTAGTTTAAAGTAGTATGTATACTCTGATTTTTAATTCCGTAGAATTCTGACATTTCATAAGTGTTGCTACTAAAAACGTTCTCTACCGAAAAGGGGATAAATTTGACTTATTTGAGGGCAATGTTTTTATGTTTTACCTACAAAAAGGTAAATCTAATTATTTACTTACTCAAGTAACCTAAAACAAAAATAAGAAATATTTCAATATCACGGACAATATATTGAATTAACTTTTATAACTTTATTTTATTCTTTAGCTAGCATCACTGCCTACTTATTCCAGGTTTAGTAAACCTTTAAAAAAATAAAATGTTATCTTTACTTGTGCGTTTTTTACTGTTTGTGATGAAAAGGAACTTAATTACTACTCGCCGTTTAACTCAACACCGCACTTAATGAAATGGATACATTAACTTACAATAATAACTGTATGTATAGACTCAGATGTTCAGACTCGTATTAAATTGAATGTGCCCGGCCAAAAAGGTTTGCCATCACTGAAATGTCAAAAAATGATAGCTGTCAGAATTCTACGGAATTAAAATCAGAGTATAAGTTAGTATAAGCACAAAAAAAAAGTTAGTATAAATTATAATTATTGTTTGACATAAACGAGCGAGTGAGTTCTAAAAAAACGTAGTAAATCCTCCGTGGTCTTATCTGTTAAATGGCTTTTGTCAAATATTCGAATATGTCGACATGTCATTTCCAGTTTCTAAATGCACCAACACATGGGTTTTCCCTACATGGATATTTACTATTTGAAAGATTATTTACCACTTGGACTATTTACTACTCGAGATTCCGTTATGATTGGAATATTAGAAAATTTCCAAACATCTGTTGTTCCATCTATATTTACATTGGTGGTAATAGCATCGATTCATCTTCAAATATATCGAGAATTCTTCTGCTCGTCACATTCTCTGGTGGAACTGTAGTTCTAACAGGTGCTAAGCCAGATTCCAATCTCGGTGTACCAACTCTAACCTCGGGCGTAATAGTATCAATTACATTACCACTGCCTTCATTAACCACTTTCAACTCATTACCACCTGAACCGCTACCGAAATCATCTTTTACATCACCACTACCGTCATAACCACCCTCTTCATCATACTTAGGAGTAGTTGTGGTTGTAGTAATTGCACTACTGGTGGTATTACCAAAAAAGCTGCCTTCCATTAAGGCATATTTAGTTGCCCAATACGTTCCGAAAGCTATCAAACACGTCACTAGCAAACTGAAAAAGTAATGTTATAAAATATATGTAACACAGTTATTATTAATAATTTATTTTGCTTTCATATGTCCTGTACGGGAGACGTACACGTTAACGCGTCCGTTGAATTATAATTTTATAGGCAAGAAGGTGTTCGAATTCAAAAAAATTAATTATAATTTTTCACCCTGACGCATTAGATTTTAAAAACAACCGGCGGGGCTATCCTGCGTAGAAGAGTATTTCTGTTTGATGTGTTATTTTATTCAACACTTCTTTGTAAAACAGTATAATTATAATTTAATAAATTGTGCGTGTACTAGGTGTACACACGTAAGAAGTGAAACTTCTTTATGATCTTATTTTTCGAAAAATTATCTACTATATGCAACTTTACAGAAATTCGTTAAATTAGATAAAGTTTAACAAAAGGCTTTTATTATCATAGACATGAATACAAATATTTCATTTTACCTTATTACTACGAAGATTATTATAGAATTTCCCATACGTCGATAAAGAAGTTTCATTCCAACGCCGATAAAGAAGTTTGACTTCAAAAAGCAACATGGCGCTAGCTGTCGCGTAACGAAAAATGTTACCTAAATTTTTTTCCAACCTCGATAAAGAAGTTTCACTTCAATAATTTAACATTATCCTGATCACAATTTACATATGTTTATAATAAATCATAATTTTGTTCCATATGTTTTTTCTTAATAACTTTGTCATATGTGCACTTCTTGCTTACATTACTCTAATTTAATATTTTATTTGGTTGCCCGAAAGAGAGCGATAAGGCCACCAGTTGCTCTTCTTTTAATTTAATTGTCTATTGTATTATATGTCTGTATGCAACGAAGTGTTAATAAATAAATAATAAAAAGAGGAACAGACGTCCTTATCGATTTCAAGCTTATTCTAGGTAACTAAAGGCGGTTTAATACATTGGAATGAAAAATGTAATGTTATTCTTACACTGTTACAGTTTTTAGATTATGAGACTGAGACAGCCTAAAATACTTACAATGCAAATGTCATGGTTCTAACAAAGTGTGGTAGCCGAAGATATGTTAATGTGTTTGAACTATCTGATTAAAGGAAGTACTCTCTGGTATTGAACATAACATCAATACGCATAAGGGCGTTGATACATTTTCAATTTCGTAAAATATATTTTTGTATAAAATCAAAATATTTTCTCTTCCTACGTAAGCGACAATCACATAATTAATTTATTTATGTACTAGCGGAACCCACAGACATGGTCCTGCATGATATATCAAGCGATTAGGATATTAAATAAAGTATGAAAGTACCGACTGTAGCGCCATCCGCCGGGCTGCTTTGTGAATCTTAACCATCCAGGGCTCAACCCAAACGCACAAAAAAAAATCATTCAAATTGGTCCAGCCGTTTAAGAGGAGTTCAGTGACATACACACGTACAGTAGAATTATATATAATATGAAAGCTATCCTATCTTTTAAGTTAGATCAAACTGCACACGGTGTGCAAATTTGATTGAAATCGATTAAGTAGTTTAGGAGTCTTAACGGACAAACAACGTGACGCGTAATTTATATTATTAAGATATTAGTTCTACTAATTGTCTTCTCTGTGCACGTGTGTTACAAAAGTGTGTGTGTTTACACAATATCTATCAAATTCTAGGCTTAAGCAAACTGAAAATATCAACATATTCATGTGTATAACATAATTTCAAAAGACCAATAACAAGATGGAACAAGGCCTTAAAATCAGAAGAACGAACGACCATTTCCGGTTAAATATTGTCCAAATATAAAAGCGTGAGAAAATTGTACTGTAAATATTATTTCGTCACTGTGCGATCCACCAGAGGTCGTTCCCCACCATTTAGTTTATTCAGGAAGAAATAAGAAAAATGTCCTTAAATCATTTATTTGATACTAAGACTTAAACTATATACAAGCGTGTGAATTAAATTAAATAATTCATCATAACTTCGGGGCAATGGTAGTTGTTAATGGATGATGAGTTGTGGTTGCGTTGTTGTCGGCCATGCTTAATAAATATTTTGTCGTCCAATAGGCGCCAAACGCAAGGATTCCCGTGACGATTATACTGTTGAAAATATATAAAAATGTTATGGTATAGGCCTGATTTGTTTAATTAATTTAGCTTGGAGACAAAAAAGAATGTCAGCAACACAAATATACCAGCAAGAAGTAAAGGCAGTAAAGAGAAACAGGCAGAAGAATACACGAATCATGATTTCTAAATAATGTATAATTACTTGTCTCTCGTATCCCTAACTTATGTTAGGGATGCTTATACAATAGAGATTTAAGATAGATCTTAGGAATTTTGTTATGCATCAAATATTAAGTTGAAAGCACTTTACTTCGGTATTATGTTAAGGGGAAGAAATAAACATAGGTGTAATGAATTCAATTAAAAAATTACTTACAATCCAAAAGGCATTTTAACTCTACTAGCAAGACTACGCTTGATTAATGTTTTAATAATAGCATAATCACTAATTTGTCTTCTTATATATTGTTTTAGCAAATGATTCTGATACAACAACGATCACAGGCCAAACGGCTTGCGTTCCAGTGTACTGCTATAGTTTAGCATCACTTATAACTCAGACTTCTCCTTAAATTTAATCCTTTTAATATCTGTTTTAGTTATTATAATTGACTTGATTCATCGTAATCAAACTAATACTAATTGCCTACATTCATTAAGGAATGTTACGCCACTTTCATTTATTTCCAAAACGATAAAAGAGTGATAAGGGCAACACATAATATATTAAATAGCTAGTTACGGATTATAGATATTTACTAGTGGACCCCACAGACGTTGTCCTGCATGATATTTAAAGCGATTAGGATATTAAGCAAAGTATGAAAGTACCGACTGCAGTGCCATCTGCCGGGCTGATATGTGAATCTAAACCATTCCCAGATCCCCTTGAACACACACAAAAAATTTCATCAAAATCGGTCCAGTCGTTTGAGAGGAGTTCAGTCACATACACACGCACAGAAGAAATATATATATTAAGATGAATAACGGTTCTAAAATATAATATTAGCTATCAAAATATACTAATTTTATAACTGTTAAATATTTTATATAAAAACTATAGGGAAATTAGAATTTTGTAGCATCTACGTTCTGTGTATTTAGATACAATGGGCGCTATTTCAAACAAAATTTAGTTACACAATTTTAGTGTAGATGGCGCTAAATTCTGCTTCAACAATTATAAAACACGCTATTTAAACAATTTAGTTTTGAGTTATATACTACATTTTCAATTTGTTTGGCATCGCTTCTCGGCCTTTTGGCTAAGATCAAAGTGTAGTATCTGTTCTTTTCAGCTTAATATCTGAAAGTTCCCGCATAGCGGGACCAGTATATTAAACTGATTTTTGGAAACTGATGGGATGTTCGGGGCTCGCTCCACTCCTGTCACGGGTCGGCCCGGCATTGCAGTGCCGCCGGGATCGGCCTAAATAATAATGTATAGACTAAGAAGATTTACAGAGTAATACAATAATTAGTAAAATTACTGTTTAAGTAATTTTGTGTTATCGTCAACGTCAATGCTGTTGCCGAGCCGAGCCGAAAACATTTCAGTTATCACTTATCACTAGTGTTGCTAGTTGCTACTTTCTCATTGTGATTAGGTATATTTAATTTGTTAATTAGCATTTTTATTTGTTGTTTATTAAATTGTAATTTAATATAATAATTTTGTATAAAAAAGGACACGGAATGGGCTTATTTTTAATATTTAAATAAAATGTAGGTTTTAGGCCTAACTCAGGGATATTTTAAAGCCTAATATATTTGATGGTGCTGCGGTTTACACGGGAAACGAGCTGCCCAGTTATCCGATATTCATTAAATACTTACAGGCAAGAGGCAGCACAGTTTCCCGCAGCTGTCACTTCCTATTGATACGTTTAACGATCTTAACCATTTTTTCGCAGAAATATTCTAGATGCGACCTGGGGTTCTTTAATAGTTTTGTTAACTGCTCCAGAGTTTTTCTATGCGTAGATTTTGAGCGTCTTTTAAATTTTTTTTTTAAATATTTTGTCAAAGTTGTAGGTTCTGGTAGTAACTGTCATCCCACACCTTAATCGCCTATTACCTAAGTTAAATGTAGTTAAGTCCATCCGCATTCTTAGACAAAAACTATAATTTATGATGGATGTCGACTGCCACTTTTGTTTCATAGAAACATTTTCAGGTTTTAATGTCCATTCAATACTTTTTTTAAGCGCTTGTATATGCGCATTGCGCACGATAAGGATACTTTTTTTCGGTGAATTACAGGTGGTTACATTTGCAATGTATAGATATAATATGAAAAATATTGTATTGTCTTTTATTGACAAAACTTTTACACATTTAAAGAAAAACTTTTTAACCGGATTAAAGTTATGTATTATTATAAATTTACAATTATTTAATACATAACTTTAATCCGGTTAAAAAGTTTTTTCTTTAAATGAAAAATATTTTTATTCGACTTGATGCTGAACTTTGAGCATATTTTATATCAGTTACATAATTTTTCATATGTTAATAATAAATATGTATTATTAGAGCAGTTATTATTTATCAATTATCTTTTTCTTCATTTAATTTAACTAGTTAGTGTTTCATTGGGCAAAAAAGATTTGTCTTATTACAATTATATCTAAATAATAAATCTACCTATTAATTTCTATATTATTTAGTGATATCGATAAGACTCTGAAATCCATGTAATTCAATATGTTTTGTATCGTCAAAATTACATGGAATTTTCATATAGATATTTGATGATTGTGGTTTTATACACACATTGCATGTTATAGCTCATAGTAGGCAATAGCTTTAACACAAAAGTCATCCGCGCTCATACTTTGTAAATATTATCGTAATTAATCAATCTGCTTTTCCCACAGTCGTTTTTGATAATTATAATCAATAGCGTATATATTTATATCTGCACGAACATGGTATTCACGATTTATCTTCACAATAATCACAGAAAAAACTATAACGCGACGAAGTTGAAATGATCTTTCTCAAATGTTAATGAAACACGGGTCATTTGGAGTATTTTAAACACGTAATTCATAGGATAATATCATATTATGATATTAGAGAATTACCAAAAGAAATACCTAATTATATATGTATATAAAACAGCAAGACATTTAATATTCAAATTTAAATTGTATGAACTCATTTTTACATAATAATAACGTAAAGGAAATCTAAAAATGTGAGAATACTTGCTAAAATACATAAAACTCCGATAGTGAAGTATATTTTATCAAAAGGCCTCGTTAGAGTTGATATCTGCGCGGCATGCTCCAAAACTTCGCTCAGTCTATGCGTTCTGCTCTGCTTTAGTCTTTTGCACTCTAAACAAACCTGAAAATAACAGCTCTCTGGGATTTCAGTATATACAAGATAACAAGTCAGATTTGTAGTGATATAATTAACTAAAACTTGAAGTACGTGATAAATAAATGAAATAGGAAAAATTCTCACCAACAATAACCCAGTTGTCACCAATAAAACTGCACCAGCGAATAAGAAATAGGCGTGAACAAATGTGTAGAGCTTGTCTTCGACCACCAGAGTTATTAGTAAGCCAATCGGAATTATTATTTGGGACCATATTGCACCACCAACGAGGGTCTGTTCATCTCTATTCTTAGGTCTTAATTCTAATTCAGTCCCAGCCCAAAGGCCACCAGCACCAATAACACAACCCAAGCTGCAGCATTTTAAAATTATACTCGGAACATTGCCTACCATGTCACATAGCAAGAAAAGCTGTTCGAGAAAGAGAATTGAAATTTTTATACTCCATAATTTATAATACTCTTGTAAATACAAGAATTGTAATGACAAATGTCGTCTAGTGACAATTGCGTTGAAGCATCGTGGAGATGATCACGAAGTTTAGGTCTAGGGTGTAACAGATCGATCAATTACCGAAGTTAAGCTCTACTTTCCTTAGCTGGAATCTTGATGGGTACATTTAACCTTAGGTTGAATTTATGCAGCCCTCAAATATTTTTTAAATTTCTCTACCAGTTGCAACATTGCGCTGTATGTGTAAAATTAAACAAGTACAGTAAAATATAATAAAATAATAGTCAAAAACCGTTCAGTACTTTTAAGTTTTGGGATTACACGTACGTGTGCAGGACATAAAGAAAATTAAATAAAGGTTGCGTGTACTTATGTACGCGCGTAAGAAGTTATACTTCTTTGGCATTATTAAAAATAGTTTTTGATTGCATGCAAATAATTAATTACAATTAAATAATCAAAGACTGGAAAAGGAGTCATTATAGTCAATAAAGGTCAGTTTAATTTATATAAATAAATATTTATTATTATTCTCTTACATTAAGTGTAACATAAATTCTATTATTATTCGAATGTTGTTTTTAAATTATGTCCAAATCCCGTAGCATCTTCCGTGGGCAACTTCATTCTGTTAATTTTGTGTCACGGTGCGCGCGCATCGTAAAATTTCACACTCATCAATTTTTCAAAACGCGCCTAAAGAAGTATAACTTCAAAAATCTTCTGATCGCTCAAAGTTATTTTTGGCTATTTCATGTACTGTATAGGTGACTATTGTATGCAAGCAAGTCAGAAAGGCTAAAAAATATATATATTAAGCTTAAACAAAATTTTAATACTCTATCTAAATGTGTCTAATTGCCCTCTTCTTTTTTATTAATATTAATTTTTCAATTAGACTTATTTACTTTTTATAAATATCGTTCAGTAAAATGTAGTCTTGTGCGAATCCAGCGCAAACAAAATTATAAATATAGGTTTTCAAAAAAGCGGACATTACATAGATACGTATCTCATATATTTAGAGATAATTCTCGGTAGTTAAATGAAAATCGCCTATAATCATGTATTTAATATCATTATACTAACTGTATTTAACTAGAATAAACTGATATTAATTTGAAAAAATATCTCCGGACAGTTTAGAAAAATATCTCCATAATCGGTGGTTGGATAGGTGGATCATTATGGTTATTAAAAAATATTCGTATTTTATTTATTCGATTACTTTTCTTCATGTTATTATGGCTGTTGAGCCATCAAAGGATTATGTGAGTGATCTGACAATACTGTTATTTTATTATATAAATTTGCTTTCGTGTGCCACCTTCGTGGCGTAGCTGATAGCGTATGATGTGTAACGCAGGTTCCGAAACCCAGCGTAGGTTTGTTGGTAAAAGTAGCCTACTTGCCAATAATACAATAAAGCAGAAATAGACTCGTTCTTCTTACATAATGTGTAAAAATTATTTTTATAAACTCATTATTTGATTTGATTTAGAGCAGTGTTGGCCTAGTGGCTTCTGCGGCTTCTCATACCAGAGATCGTAGGTTCGATCCCCGGCTGTGCACCAATGGACTTTCTTTCTATGTGCGCATTTAACATTTGCTCGAACGGTGAAGGAAAATATCGTGAGGAAACCGACATGTCTTAGACCCAAAAAGTCGACGGCGTGTGTCAGGCACTGTAGGCTGATCACCTACTTGCCTATTAGATTTAAAAAATGATCATGAAACAGATTCAGAAATCTGAGGCCAAGGCCTAAGTAGGTTGTAGCGCCACTGATGTATGTACTTGAATTGATACAGCATAACTTAAAAGTTGATTCCTATTCTAAGGTAGAAGACGAAGAAGATTCTAACAGATGGTGAAAATGTGAAGCAAAGTATTAAAATAATTTATTAATTTTTTAGGGTACATTCTCAGTACACGTGAATGACCTAAAGCTGTGTAAGGGTCCAAAACGCAGAGACTGTTGCGATATCAAGGCTAAAATGCTCAACGATGTCGACTTATCATATGACATTGTGATCAAAGAGGACGTCATTCCGACCAGGGTATTGGCTTTGCGATAACTTTAATGAATGTCATCACAAAATATAACTGAAGATCATATTTTAAATGTACATATCTCGTAATAATGTAGTCAATAAAATTGATAAATTGAGTTTACATATCAGGATCGCTTTTGGAAGTTACAGACTTACGCCTGTCGACAGTCGATCGATCTCCTATCTGCATCCCAATAACCAAACCCTACGAAAACAATCCATTTTTGGCGACGGATAAAATGCTCTTTGTCGTTCTATTTTACCGAGTTTTCACTCATATTTGATAATCAATGTAAACCAAATAAAGTAAATAAAACCGTACAAATAACATTAAAATATACATGTGTATGTTTAAAACATAACAAACAGTTTTTTTTAATTATTTAAAAAACTGGTGTAAGTTAAAATCTGTTAAAATAATTAACTGTTGAAATCGAGCTTTCGTCAACTGTCATTTTCATACAAAGGATAGATCCACAGACACCGATACGACCTCCCATGGATAGCTTGTATCGACAGATGCCTATCAACCCGAATGTTGTAACAAGTTTGTGGTTATTGGCACACTTGTTACAACATTTGGATTAAGATTACTAACTCAGATGGTGGATTATGGATTGAGATAGGTTATTGGGTTCGGGCGCAAGAGCGCAGTTTCACGTCAAAGGTTAAGTTTGTATCTTAACTCAATTTACATCTACCTCAAACTAATGTTTTTATTAAGATCTTGTAGTTTAGAGTGATTTTGTGCTCGAAAGTTTTACGCTTTTTGGGACTGTTATCATTCTCGCTTTTGTGGTTCTAGCTAATAACCGACCTCTTACAGACTTCAACAATATGTTAAGGTATGTTTACAGGGGAAAATATTTGCAAGTCTCAATGGAAAGAACGTCATCCGTTTTCAGATGAAAAAGCCTTGCGATCATCTATTCATAAAGCCACTTTTTCAAGCAATACTAAATGTGACAGATAATTGCGTCTTTCGAAAAGTGAGTTAATAATTAATTCAATTATACTTGTTTAATAGACAGTAGATAATAGTAATTTAGAAGGGTAAGGAAAAAAGCGCAATGCACTTGCCAGCCTTTAGGTTTGTGCTCATGGGCATCACTTAATATCGATTTTGCCCGTTTGGAGTGTGCTGTAATACTGTTAATATATTATATTTATTTGTATTATTATTGAAATTATCTCTGTGTAATTTATGTAATATTTATCAATAAAAAACTTGTTAATTGAAGTAGCCCGTGTCAATCCAGTAGCTCTACAACCACCCATCCAATCCACCCAACCAACCACAAGCAATCTTTTTTTATGTCCCTGGAGGCAAACGAAAATGAGAGAGAAAAGTAGTCGAAAAGTAATGAAAAATCTGGCATATTTAGGATTTGAAGATTCTAAAATTCAACGGCCCAAAAAAAATTTAACGGCCTGACACCCAGTGGTCCCACTTGTTAGTTTTGTAAAGGTGCTTTATTCGCAGTATTTGGTCAAGAACTAGAATTAATATTACGACTAAAAGTTGTTCGTTTACATACGCTAGTAAAATTTTATTAAAATGTATTGTTACTTTCAGGGTAATCATCACTTACAATTGAATTTAGACACAGTTGCTCAAAAATACTACGGTGGCATGTTCTTGTATGGAAATATGACGTTTAAATCAGTGTTTTATAATGATGCTTGTAATTTGTCCTGTACAATTGTGCAAGTGCAACTAGTCCCGAAGACGAATACAACTTTGACAAAAAAATAAATTCGAACTTTAATTTATCATATTCTACGTCTTTAATTTAATATCACATTCTTTTTGTCTATCTAATACTGTAAAAAAGATTGTGAAAGGTGTTCTATATCTTAAAATAAAATACACACAATATGAATCTTTAAAACTTTATTTAAAATACTTTTAATTGAACAGCCGTACTTCGATTTCAATAAATTATCTATCAATGTCACTAAAACCTTTTAGGTCTGGGCCTCAGATTTGTGTATCTGTTTATTGATATATTTTTTTGGTAGGTGATCAGACCGAATGCCTAGATTTATGTACGATGTTTTCCTTCGCCATACAAACAAGTGTTTAATGCGCACGTAGACAGAAAATCAAATGGTACACAGCCGGGGATCGAATCTACGAACCCAGAGATGGGATTCGCATTAAACCATTAGGCCAACACGGGTCTCTATTAAATGAACTAATTGTTTATTAATAATTTTAATGTATGATGAAAATAAGTCACAAAATATATGCTTCATTTAGTTAGCAACTGTATTAAGTAAGCATACCAAAAATAGTACCTACTACATGTTATGGAACCGTTAACTCATGAACGAATCTAAGTACGGCAGTTTATCATAACTACACTTAAAACTATACAACATTGTACTAAATTTGTCATGGGTATTAATGCTCATTTATTTTAGCTGAGCCCTTAAATCAAAGCCGCTAAAAATATATATTGCCAAGTAACATTATAAAAGAGTGTTTTGAATCCTTGCATGAAGTAAATGTCACACCGAAAGGGTAAACCTCAAGTTTAAAATGCTGTCGCTCCCGAAATGGACACTCCTTTTATCCCATCTCTGAGAAAATAAAGTGCAACTCAGTCAAGTATTAACCTAAATCCGAATTTGAAAAACAATAAAATAATGCGTTTCGCGTGATTTTACAGAAAGTTTTTTCTTAATTTAGTCCGGATTATCAGCCAGTAATAATTAACGTTTTCATACAATGTTCGTGTTGGATCTCTTTGGTGATTTAAATATATGTGTAACAACAATTTCCACATTCCAAAACTAAATTATGAAATTATTTTAATCTAGGGAGTAAAACTTTGTTAACACGGAACTTTTTGAATTGATGTGATAAAATATTTGTAGCTATAATATTTGTAGCTATAATATTTGTAAGAATAATAAAATACTGATAATTTTCTTAATCAAAAGGACAACTCTCATCATGATCTAATTGAACGCAATACATTCCTCTCGATCTGAAACAAAATAAATTTATTAATCCTAAAAAACTATTTATACTTATATTATAGGGTAGTGATTTTTAATTCTATATTATGTAACAAATAGAACTGGTCCTATTTCATAAATTGTTTCAACAATAGAATGCCATATATATATATTAGTAATAAAGTCAAAAATATTTAAAAATATATCTCGAAACTTATAAATTAATTATTAATTAAAAAATCGTCTCCTGTAAAAATAAAACTTACTACAGCGAAGATTGAATATCTTTACGAATCTTACGTGGGTGGTATATCATCTCCAAGGCGTAACGGTTTTGCATCGGCCACCAGCAGCGATGTACCCTGCTTCGGACAGGAAGAGTCGCAAGGCACTCCCATCATATTAACACGCCTGCGTATACTAGCCGCAAAGTAACAGGAACTCATGAAATGACTACATCTTGCTACACCTGCAGAAATATGATATTGTCAAATGGTATTCGAAAACTCCTATAAACTGGATTAGTGTTTTGAAAAATATATTGACCTTTTAATAAATATTAGAAAGAGGAAATATGTTTATGTAAGTTTGTAACGAATAAACTCGACTACTGGACGGATTTACTTAAATATTTTTAATTTAATTATTTAATATTTTATTGCCAATATCAGCACTTAATACAATAATTAAATAACAAAGTGGACAGGCGGCAATATTGTATTGCTTTCGGGCGATTTCTTCCAAGCTACCTTTTAAGAAGAAATTAAATTAAATTACGTGAGGGCTCTACCATAACTAAAACATAAAGAAAAAAAAAAGGGTCCGTGTACTTATGTACGCGCGTAAGAAGTTATACTTCTTTGGCAATATTAAAAATAGTTTGGCTTTGTTCCACCTCCAGTTTTTGATGTTTCACAGCGATAAGATGAAAACTCTTTTTTTGTATTCAATTTAGTGCAGTTACACTGATTCATCAATTGTTTTTTGTCTCTTTTCCTTATATTTGCTAGATAAAATCAGAAAAATTACACGTTTTGATTAAACAATGTGGTTAATTTTTTAATCAAAACATTACTCGATAATAATAATAATACATACGGATAGTTAACCTCAATTGTATTGAAGCACTTAGGAAGGTTGATGAGCACAGTTTTTTCACCAAATATTAATTAGTATTGGTTTAAATATTCAATTTAAATCACTTCTGATTATAATTCAAAAAGCATCGCTAAATTTCTTTGAAAAAATAATTAAAACTCCTTTATTTGTTTAAAAGGTAAATGACAAATGTCATTATGGTCATTCAAAATTGTTGGCATACGAACTTCACGCCCCTTCATTCCCTAATTTTCTTTTTTACTTGTAGATTGTCTTATTCCTATCTCGCTCGCGCACGCTATACATCACACTCCTCAATTTTCTGTAACAAAGTGCGCAAATTGTATAAATTCTAAATAAACTATTTATTATAAATTAGTGATAAATTCCTATAACGGAAGTATAACTTCAAAACCATTAAAAAAATTGTAGTTGACACATGAATCATGTACGAAGGTGTTAGTTATAAAATTATGTTAGGAGTAGAGTTTAAAATAGATCAGAGGAACTAAATGAAATTAAGTTAAACAAATCTTTACTGCTGAGGTAAATATAATGAAATAACTAAATAATACATTTGTAAGATCGAAAAATATTTTTACGAAACTATAAAAGTATATTATCGCCAGAGGCATATTAGTTAAACGGTTTTGAATAGGCAACTAGTAGCGATGTCCCTGCTGCTCAACCTAAAGATTACTTGAGGCACCAATAGACATTTTATGTGTAAAACGCTTGTTTAACACTAGCTACACAGTAACAGGATCTCATTGTGAAATGACTGACATTTTGGTAATGAATAATTATTGATATTGTCAAATGGTTTTGTGAAACCCCTATAAGACTGGATTACTTGTTTAAAAAAAAATTCAGGGCATTGTTCAATCAATCATAATATTTAAATGTGTAAGACAGTGAGAATTCGATGTTTAACACTCCACGACAAGTAGCAGTCGTGTTGCAGAGCCCGTTCTATTTGAAGTTCTTGGCTGTCACATAGATTAGACCTGAATGCCCTTTGTATGTTGAATGAATTATTATTTATATTATAAATTTTTGTGAAGCCTTATTTAATTACATGTAAACTATATATTATGTGTGCCGTCAGCACACATAATCGAGGACACACATTGGTTATAATTTGAATAACTTGTTTTCTTTTTTTGTTTTTCCTTGTGTGTGCGGCTATAAGTAACATAATATAATATGCAATGTAAAAACCTTCTACGTGATCGAGTTATCAACGCTTTGCTTGATTCCCGTTCAAGTAAAAATTTATTACCTACAATAAACATTACTCAGGAAAATATGGTACATATTAAAATATTTTATTCTATATAATTCTTTAATTTTTAAAAGCTCTGATAAAATTTTACTTTTCAGAGATTATAGAAAACAAAAATAAACGGTTTGAAAAACTATCAATGACTTGCATTAGCATTTGACGTCTCCTTAATCGAAATAGATAACAATATCGGGCGCTTATGAAAATATGCCTTTCTATCAACCTGAATAGAATAGAAGCCATAAATCAAATAACGTAACCTTATACTTAGATTAACTGACTGTCACTTGTCACTGTGGTTTTGTATTAGGTGTCTAATTAGCCACAAGATTTTCTACAAGGGCGAAAGTTCACACAGATTTCAATTGCCTCATTCGAAGATAAATCTAATATATAAAATTCTCGTGTCACAATGTTCGTTCCCATACTCCTCCGAAACGGCTCGACCGATTCTTATGATTTTTTTTATGCATATTCAGTAAGTCTGAGAATCGGCTACTATCTATCATTCAACCCCCTAAGTGATAAGGGGTGTCCATCAAAAAAAATTTTTATTTTGTAGACAATTTTTTTTTTAATGATACAGCCTACAAATATACATACGATGCCTAATTTTCATCCCTCTATGATCAATCCCTATTTTTTATAATAGTAGATAGTTATTTTTAATGAACTAAAAAATGTTTAATAGAAATAATATACATGGCAAAACAAACGTTTGCCGGGTCAGCTAGTAACATAATAAAACTTTGTTATCTGGCGTATCAGTAGACTTTACCCACTACAGAACTTTAGGGAGAGTCGTATAATTATATATTGGATTTATTATTATAAAATAACTATCAATTGTCGTACGTATACAGATGACTTTCACTTTTGTTTTTTTTTGTTGCACATCTCTGTGCTGCTTCACCGAAAAAAAATCAGGCTGGCATATAAATCTTAGTGCTTGCGCCTCAGCCTGTAGATTTATAACCACATTTTATGTTTATTGTGTGAAAAGAGTGTAAAATTAAAACAATAACTTTAATCTGCTGAAATCCTTATTTTAAATTATAAAGTTAACTTGTCGGTTTTAAATATATATCGATTACTATATTAAGTAGCTTATGATAGTACTTTTATCAAATTATGTTGAAAAATCATGTTATTGAAGCTCATTAATAACGAATTCGGTTTGTTCAATTCTTGTATTACGGCAACTTATATAGAAAGCAATACATTCAACTAAATAAAAATATTATGTTTAATGAACCATATAAAATGGACGTATTTATTAATTAGTATTTTTTTCATTTGGAGTTTTGAATCAATGTAATATGATTTCGTAACGAAATTGGATAGTTCTGTTTTAATTATCTCGTAGGACCAATTTATGTATCTTCAAAGATCAGCTCAATCCTAAAGCTAGACTTGAGCACTATTAAACAAATATACAGATGAGGGAAAAAATTTAAACACTCTGAAATTAGTTTGTTGTTGTTGTTATTAGTCCTATGACAAAAGACAACTTTACGAAAAAACTGTTGCTGATAATTATAAGTTCATTTAACAAGTAAGTGCCCTCCCTCACCGGGACGCCATGGCGACGTGGCCAGGCGACGTTACCATGGCTACGACTGGCGTCTCTTCGTCGCCAGACTGAGTCGCTAAATCGCGTCGCCAATGCATTCAGTTCTGTCTCGACTCAAAAATCAAAATCAAAAATAAATTTTAATTAAATGATCAATATATTATTATGTAAAATATTAATAATTAGGAGAGCAAGAGCCTTACTAACAATTTCTTTCAGGATAACTAAGTAAAAAACATAATTAAGAGACTATGAAATAGCAAAAAATGTGCTATAGTGTGCTAATTCGCCAGGTAGCCAGCGTCGCCAGTCGCCGCATGCAGAGCGGTCAACTCTGGCTACGCTGGCTACTTGGCGACGTCGCCAGTCGGTAGCCAAGTGAGTTACCCGGCATACATCTTAATATGAACTAGTTGGCCACGTCGCTGGCCACGTCGCCATGGCGTCCCGGTGAGGGAGGGCACTAATTCCTATAGTTAGCATACCTTCCCATGTAACACGTTCTTAAACTGGCATAAGTTCACTTACGCATCACATGGCCCTTGCATCCGGGTTGTAGCCTGCCACCATTCACACAGAAATCGACATGGCCAATTTGACCACTCTCTCCCAGAAAACCAGCATTTGTGTGGACTACCTGGACCACGTTTGCGTCATCACGACTAAGGCGGAACTCTCTTGAACCATATTCAGAGACCAGGGGTCGAGCTGGATCCAATCCTGTGAAAAAGTGTACAATCATAAGTACTAAGTACCTCTATAGTAAATCGGTAACCGTGTAATAGACAAAGTATTAAACGCCAGTCTAATTAAAAGATATGAGTGAAAAATCTTAGTTTATCACCTATAACCAGCTGGTTTGAAATCAGAAGAAAAGTCTTTGTACTAATCGTGGAAAAAAAGCATTTCCGGCGTACCTCTGCTGGAAATGCTTTTTTTCTGACAACTCGCTAAAACAAGCTGCCGAGCCCTTCAGGTCCACAGCGAGATTACATTTTAATAAATGCACCCTTCGTCTTATTGTGATAAGTCAAACGGAAAGACGAATCGTATCCCTTATCTGTGATTGGGTAAGAGATGCTGTTTTCTAATCGCAATCCGTTAGTTCACTACGTATGTTTTGGATTTGACTACCGAGTTAACCATTATTAAATGTAGATGACAATTAGTAATAACTAAGAATAAATGTAGCTCTTACCTTTTCTAAAACACGATGAAATCCTTTATTCAATAGATAAGGGAATTAAGAAAAAGGTTAAAACCAAAAAAATACAACTTAAGGCTAAACTACTAAAAACTTTGTAATAAATAGTAGGTATATAATATAGTATATTACGAAATATAAACCTTAAGTTTTAATTGGAAAACGCAAATATTGAGTTAATAAAGCAATGTTGATTTAGCTGAATATAGATTAAATTTAGAATAATACCTAAAGAAAAAATTACAGACATATTAAAAAAGGGTGCGTGTACTTATGTACGCGCGTAAGAAGTTATACTTCTTTGGCATTATTAAAAATAGTTTTTGATTGCATGCAAATAATTAATTACAATTAAATAATCAAAGACTGGAAAAGGAGTCATTATAGTCAATTAAGTTCAGTTTACATTTGAAAAATTAAATAAATAATTATTTATTATTATTCTCTTACATTAAGTGTAACATAAATTCTATTTAGTTAAAAGTATATATAATTATATATTTAGAACATCTCTACCAAACACTAAGAAGTATGTTGTAGCTTTGGCAGTATTGCACAATATAAAATTAATAAATTTCTTTGAAAAATTAATCAAAACTCCTTTATTTGTTTAAAAGGTAAATGACAAATGTCATTATGGTCATTCAAAATTCTTGGCATACGAACTTCACGCATATTCTATTTCTTTTTACTTGTAGATTGTCTTATTCCTATCTCGCTCGCGCACGCTATAATCACACTCCCAATTTTGTGTCACAGGTGCGCGCGCATCGTAAAATTTCACTCTCATAAATTTTTCATAACGCGCCTAAAGAAGTATAACTTCAAAAATATTACTTATTTGTATTATATGTATATATATATTGTGTTTTTCTTTATATATTTCTTCTCCTACCTTCCTTCTTGTAAATAAATTAATTCTGGCTAACAGCTCGATAGATAAAATAACGTAATAAATGTTATAGGTATATATAATCTCCTCTTACGTAATTTTAATATTGCAATTATTTTAAATATCATTAGTTGCTGCATAATTTTCCAATACTGGGCTGCATTAGTTATATTTTAGAATTTCTAATATTAGGAAGTACCTTTTGTTTAATACAGGAAATGACCTTCTAACGATACCCTTTTTGAATTACTATTGCAGTGTTATCTTATCAAAAACCTATAAACAGTTTACAATTGTCTTTTAAGTACGCTTCTACATAATAACACTGTTCATATACGCGTTACATAATGATTAATTTTATTGTGAAATTTTCAAATATATATTTAAAAAGCTTTTAAATTTATTTGGTTAATATTAATAATGTATAATAAAATACGTAACTAAGCTTAAATATTTTTTTTAATAAATTAATTAAAAATCACTCACAAAACACTAGCAATCAATTCACGTTACAACTGTTACGGAATTTTAAATTTTAAGAATACTCTCTAGAATAATCTTTATTGGAGGAATTCTAAATAGTTATACAATGAAATAACCAAAACCGTAGTATGGATATAGCATTTCATATCAGCCATTATCAGTTGAAAATTGAGTGTATTTATAATCTCTCCGAGTATAATAAGACACATTGTGGGTGGCTGCCGTACTTGTTGCACGTGTCGATCCTGAAAAATTCGCAATGGCTAAAGTGGAAATTAAATACACCAAGGTAAGATTTATTTATTTCAGTATTTATTACTAGTCAAACTTATTCCATTCGGTTCGTTTCTAAACTTATTTAAAAAAATCTTGGAGACACAGTTAAAACTGAATTTAAAGCTTTAATAAATCTATAGGAAATATTTCCTTTATTATTTACGTAATACCATTCGAAAATTAGAAATCACACATATCTTTTAGTTTGATGGATAGGAAATTTAATTTCGATTAGGTGTAAAAACACAGATATTATTTTATCACTAATATTATAAATGATAGTGTATGCCGGTGATGGTATCACAGCGGCGTAATTACTGGTTTATCTTGAAGAATTCTTGAAGGATCAAGTATGGGTTTCGATGGTTCTAAGTATTAAAATTATAAATATATATATATAACTTCGTTTCGCCTTAATATGATTATTTTACTTAGCCTACCTATATTTACAAGCCTTGAAAAAGATACGACTACCAGGATAACGCAAATACAAATTCATTTAAATATATTTAACAAATACTGTTAGGTTATTATGTATAAACAATTCATTTAGACCATGATACATAATATAAATATGTAAATACACAGTGGAAAATTCTCAGTGAGTTGTGAAAATTGGTCACCACGTCTCCACGACACAATTTGGCACAACTTTACGATATAGATAAGAGATATTATTTTTCTAATTTTTAATATTGTACTTATAACTAGGGAACGATAATAGAGCGGACATTAATAAAGTTAAAATAAATATTAAAAAATATCAATTCATAACGCGTAACTTGGTCATGACCAAGTATATAATTTTTATGTAATTAAAAAAAACTATAATATGAAGAAAATAAAGAATAAATCGCGCTAAAACAAGATGATCTATTTTAGATTGGTCATTGCCCTATTGGGGTGAATGCCCTAATCCCATCGACTCATTCAGTTCAATTAGAATACAACACAAAGGTCGCCAATTTGATCCTTATATGAAATGAAAACAAACTGTTTTTAATTAAATTAATTTGCTTGAGTTTTTAATTACGCGAGTATTATATATCTGTGTTTTTAATATTATCCAAATTTGCAGCATAATATCAAGGTAGGATGTTATCCAATAATTTAAGACTACGTTTTATTTCACTTACAATATTATTGTAAACCAACCGGTATGGCTTAAAAAATCAAAAACTATCGAAGAAACGGATGCAATATTAGACCCATATAGGGTTGTAGCGCCACGAAATTATTATTATTAATATTATTCTTCGCTCTATCTACGCGTGTTCAGCCTTGCGATTCTGTAACTGCTGTGTGAGTTCGAAAAGTTGTGTGAGTCCGAAAAGTAAGTTACAGAATCGCAAGGCTGTATTTGTAAGTACGAAATGAAAAAAATAATAGCTAGGTTTTAATAGCCTTCTTTATGTCTCTGTACTTAATAGGATTTTTTAGTAGTTTATGTGCCAGTGTATACAATAAGTATAATAAATCAGTTACAAATAATTACGTCTTGATCTGTATATGTTTATTTGACATCTACTTCATAGAGCACCAGGACATGATTCACGAAGGGAATTCCCCGGCCCCTTTTCCCCTTTTTTTTTTTTTTTTTTTTTTTTTTTTTTTTTCTCTTCTAAAAAATAAAGGTCTTTTTATAACGGTTAAAAAGAACAAAATCCATACAATTGTACGATTAAAATGATCTTTGAACAAACAACTGTAATACTGAAAAATGTAACCAAAAATGGAAGACACATATTATAAAAAAAAAAAGTTTTAAAGATACAAAATTAGGAAAAAAACTATTAAAATTACTAATGAATTGGAAGATTTAACTGTTATACAATGCGGGATAGGCAAATATATATTTAATGATAACCCGTACAATTTATGTCATAAACTCTCAACATATTAAATTGCTATGTTGAACTTATGATATCATGTACATAAACATATCGTAGGTGTTCATGGTCAAGTTCATATTGTAAAATGATACATACGAATTACGGCTTTAAAACAATAGATATAGAATTCAATTTATTTTAAGTTAATGCCAGCCTCAGTTGTCCAATGCTATAATAATTATGCAATACAGATAACACATTCTGACCGAAATATAAGATAGTTAACATTCATTATAGTTAAAATTATCTTATATACATTATTCCAAAAGTTATATTTTACTATATTCTAAAAAATACATATATTACAATTAATAGGATACGATGTGAACGCTTCTAATTATGCGAGTTATGAAATATCTTTTTCTTTAGTTTTTATAATTTTTGATTTTTTTTTCTTTGTTATATACAGCAAATAAGTGCGTGTCACATTAAACCTTGTGTATCCAGCATTGGCAAGCTTTTGTGATTATAATCAAAAAGTTAAGTATAATATTGCTTCTATAAAGCATAAACAGCCATATAGACGATTCTTATTGAAACTGTAATAGCATCCATCCGGTACAACAATTACCTTTACTCAGTGTATGAGCAGTGAGCACTCCTAACAATCTATTGTTCCCTGCTATTTACGAACACAATTGGATATTTATAACTTTTGTTCGAGTTGTTTTGATTTGTTTTGACAGAGCAAACCATTTTCAGAGAAAGAATTGTTAATACCGTCTTTATTTACTTAGCTTTTGCAAATTCGCATGGAAATAAGAAGGGTAGATTATAGAGGGCTTTCTATATTACATGCTTTTAGGGTAATCTCTATTGAAAAAAACATACAAAGTTCTATTTGAATTATTTATGAATTTAATTCCAGTTGTTCATCAACAACGAATTTGTGGATGCTGTTAGCAAAAAGACTTTCCCCACCATCAACCCCCAAGATGAATCTGTCATCATACAAGTCGCTGAAGGAGACAAGGTATTTACATAATTTAAATTCTCACGTAGATCGTGAAGTGTTGCTTCACATTGTTATAACTCCAAAATATGTGTTATTAAATACTAAGCGTTGCAGTTGCGCAGTGTTGGCCTAGTGGCTTCAGCGTGCGACTCTCATCCCTGAGGTCGTAGGTTCGATCCCCGGCTGTGCACCAATGGATTATATTTTTATGTGATGATTTATTATTATTATTTTTTTTAAAGGAAAGGTTTTCTATTTTATACAATGATATTGGCCCCTTGTTTGCAAATATAAAAATTCAAGTTATAAATTTTCTCTAGGCTGACGTAGACCTCGCTGTAGACGCAGCCGTTAAGGCCTTCCACCGCTACTCAGAATGGCGTACCATGGATGCCTCTCAGAGGGGAAGACTCCTCAACAAATTGGCCGACCTTATGGAGAGAGACGCCAAATACTTGTCAGAACTTGAAACTTTAGATAATGGAAAACCCGTCGCTCAAGCTCACGGTGAAGTTATCTGGGCATCTCATGTGGTCAGATACTACGCTGGTAAAGCAGACAAGATATTAGGAAACACCATTCCAGCTGGTATTTATTTTTATTATTTTTATTCTACTAATATTGGGCGAAATATTATAACTTAAACTCTACTAGCGGCTCGTCCCGGCTTCGCACGGGTGGACATTTTTTTTTAATTTGTATATTGATGTTCTTTAATATTGTGGAACATTGTTTTATTCTAACATCAATAGTTTTCGCAGCGCATGCGATGAAATATATGTTATAGGCTTTTTTTACACCTTAGGTAACATTGTTATAGTTTTAGTAGGGATCCATATTTTTTTATTGCAATTGAAATAGCCTATATTAATCAGTGATAATGTAGCATTCAAATGGTGAAAGAATTTTTAAAATCGGTCTAGTACTTTTTGAGAAAATTCGTACCAAACATACATACATGCAAATCTTTCCTCTTTATAATATTAGTATAGATATAGATAAATTCGAAAAATAGCCTCACTTAAATATTTTTAACCAGATGGAGAGGTCATCTCCATGACTTTGAAGGAACCAGTTGGTGTTTGTGGACAAGTTCTTCCCTGGAACTACCCCATTCCTATGTTCGTATGGAAAATCGCACCTGCTTTAGCTGCTGGTGAGTTTATAATATTTTAGTTAATATTCAAATAAAACATAAATGCTGATCGTCGAGGGTTAAAGTTAAGGGTTTATCATAAAAAATATAAAAACAAAAAATTTTGTATAAAAAATCAAATTAAATTTTTTAGGGTGGACACTGGACACCCCTTTATCACTTTGAAATATAGATTATCCGCCTTACTGAATATGCATAAAAAATTTAATAAGAATCGGTCGTTCCGTTGCGGAGGAGTATGGGAACGGACATTGTGACACGAGAATTTTATATTAGACTTAATATAGAGTTGAAATTTAAAAGTAGTTATAATTGGATTCTTTTAGGCTGCACCGTGATCGTAAAGCCAGCAGAACAAACACCTCTTACGGCACTTGCAATGGCTGCGCTTGTAAAGGAGGCTGGTATTCCTGCTGGAGTTGTAAATGTTATTACCGGTTATGGCCCGACCGCTGGATCTGCCCTCACCAACCACCCGCGTGTAGACAAGATGGCTTTTACTGGATCGACAGAGGTAAGGCTTTATAAGTATGAATTTCATTTTATGACAACCACTTATGAAGCCAGGAGGCTCAAGGTGATATGCAGTAATACATACAAGACAATTTTAACTGTAGGACAAATGCATCTGTGCAATATATCTGTCGCAGCCAACTAGCTTAATTAGCCGTCTATTAACAGCCTAGCCTTTTAACTAAACGGCGCCGTTTAACTAGCGCCCTGAAAGATGTCCAATCAGTTGATCAAACAGCTAGGCAGCTAGCAAATGACTTGGATCGATGACGTTTCATTACTTGCCTAGCCTGTTGACTGTTAATCTAAATTTAATTCCACTTTCTGCCACTCTCAAACACAAAACGACACTCTTCAAACCGTCAAAATTACGTCGGCAAACCAGAACTTTGATGGTGTTATCCAAAGTTTCAGTGAAAAACAACAAGTACAATGAAAGAGTGTAGTGACAATAAAATGTGAATTTGACTTAAGCAATTTAATATTAAATGAAATATGTTTTATGTCATAAGTTTCATCTATTTTATTTCTGCCAAATAATGACTATATCGTACGAATGGCCTAAGTATTAGCCAGCCAGTTTATTAAATGTTGTAACAAACGCTACGGCTGAATATCTTTCAGGCCGCTAGTTAAACGGGGCCGTTTAGTTAAATGGCTAGGCTATCAATTGAATTAATATATAGGCTAATTAAGCTAGTTGGCTGCGACATATCCATACTTTCTGAAGTTTAAACAACGCATATTTTAGCTTGTGTATGTGTATCTAATAATTTAATAACGCTGATAGGTCGGTCGGATCATCATGAAAGGTGCCGCTGCTGTCAACCTTAAGAGAGTCACTCTTGAGCTTGGTGGAAAGAGTCCTCTTGTTATTTTCAATGACGCTGATGGTGGGTATTGTATTATTAAAGTTTACTAACTTTTTGTTTTCTGTTAATTCACACACGAAACAATTCACTATCAACATCTTGTCAGATGTATTGAATGTGTAGTATTTTGATATCAATTTTAATATGTACAGTGGAAAAAGCTGCAGAGATTGCCCATCGGGCTGCATTCGCCAACGCAGGTCAATGCTGCGTAGCTGGTACAAGGACCTATGTTCAATCTGGAATCTACGACAAATTCGTTGCTAAAGCAGCTGAAATCGCTAAGAAGAGGACTGTAGGGAACCCTTACGGAAATGTTCAACAGGGACCACAGGTACTTAACTATTTATTATATTTATCACGTAATAGTTCGTGTATCTTTCTGTAGCGACATCTACTTTCTAAGGCTACAATCACTGCGACGACGTCGTACCTTGAAATGTGCTAACAAAGTTATGGCCGATAAGGAAATATACTCGACTTTAGGCCGGGGATCTTCTGCCTAGCCAGTCAGTGGTTAGACTGGTGGAGGATCCTCTCTTTGGTTTAGAGGAAGAATAGCACCTTTCTTCCTCCGTACTTCGAATAGTGTCACTTTGATTGACCTTTACACAGGTCCGTTTATAGACCTTTCCTCCATTTCTAATATGTCTTTTCTGTTCTTTTTAATGTTTATATGTTCATAGCACTTAATCTGTTTTTTTCTTGTTACAGATCGATACGGAGATGTTCACCAAAGTGATGGGTTACATAGAGGCTGGTAAAAAGGAAGGTGCTCGTTGTGTGGCTGGAGGCGGACGCCACGGCAACGTCGGTTTCTTCGTTCAACCCACTGTCTTTGCTGACGTCACTGACAACATGAAGATAGCCAGGGAAGAGGTAAATATGGATTAGGAGAAGACTAAGGTGACGTAGTTGTTAAGAGCCTATTATAATCATAACAAAGCGCAAGTAATTTCGTAAGATTTGCATGGTAAGCAAATATTCACGTAATGAAACAGAACTACAATCGGCGTCAACATCTTTAATATCAAGCATGAAAGAGCTTTACACCTTATTGTATTTATAAATTGATCAAATTAAATAAAAACAATGTGACACAACACTGGTGGAGATTACAAATGAATTTATTAGTCGCAAAAAACGTAGTAAGTAAATATTTAAATTTAAATGCTGCTGATACTTACGTTCACGATGAATAATTTATGAACGTCAAACATTCTTTGTCTTATTATTCATACTAAGAAAACACAGCATGAAAATATTATTTTATTATATCGTCAGAACTCAATTCGGCTTTGGGTCCTTCAAAAAAAGGGGGTACCCATTTTTTAAGGGCCGGCAACCCCCCCCCCCCCCCCTTCTTTTTTAAGTTTGGGGGGGGGGGGGGGTAAAAAAATTTCAAGGTGATTGCCCCCCCTTTTTTCCTTGGCGCGTTGCCTTTCATCACCCCCCCCCTCCCCCCCCTTATAAAAAAAAAAAAAAATCAGAACTCAAGGTGATTCTAAATCAAAATAAAGCAATTAAATTGCTTTTTCATTACCCATACTTAACTTCTACACAAAAAATCTACAGTGAAACAAAACTAATGAATATAAAACAATTTTTTCAATACAATACCAGCTTAAAATTCTAAATGACTATATTCACACTAACATTACTTTCATTAAAATAAATCAAATTCAGAAACGCAGTTCACGACGCCCTCACAATCTAATTCTACCTAAGTTTAGCACCAATTACGGTAAAAAAACATTGAGTGTAGGGGGAGTGCTGCGGTATAATAGACTTCCACAAATTATAAAACATACAGACAGCCTAGCAATATTTAAATTACGACTAAAAGACCATCTCCTGATTTATCATAGTTATCTACGTAAATGAAATTCCATCCAAGTTCTACTTATTACGCTAATTCATCCTTGAAGCTCTTCAATGACCCACGACGTGATAAATTGTATCTTAAGTATATAAGTTCTCATGTAAGTGACTATGGTCTGTTATGAGAATAAATGTCTTTAAACCTAATCCCCTAATTAAAATAGTCCAGAATTTTTGTCATCAAAAGTACTGTAACATACGTAGTATAAATCTTTATAGAGTATTGTCTGATCTTCAGATCTTCGGGCCAGTCCAGAGCATTCTTAAATTCGAGACCTTTGAGGAAGTGGTAGATCGTGCTAATGACTCCAACTATGGCTTGGGCGCTGGTGTCGTCACCAACGACGTCACTACCGCTCTAGCATTCGCCAAGTATGTACGTGCCGGAAGTGTTTGGTAAGTACTATACTATACTAGTACAACTTATCTCGTTCTAGTGAAATTCTTTATCAACTTAAGACTTGTTGCCACTTTTAATCAATACATGTATAGCATTTCTATTGTATTCCTATAACGGGCTGTTTCCAAGGTAGAAGAGAAGAAGAAGAAGCGCGGCAACCAAAATTAAAGTAGCCATGATGTTCGTCATCCTTCGAAATGATGACACTATGTGAAGAAGATTCCTATAATGTTATGTAAATTATCTAAATAATATTCCAGGGTAAACACATACGAGCATGTCGCTGTCCAGACTCCGTTCGGTGGTTTCAGGGAGTCCGGTATTGGTCGCGAATTGTAAGTTAAAAATGATTATACTATAATAATCTCACTTACCATTGTACATTGCATGGTGGTAAGAAACATAGGTGGTAAAAAGTTTGAAAGTAGAAACATCAATTTCTGTACAACAAATTAAAATCTATACAATCAATACCAAAGTCCATATTAAGTAGTTATTGTGAAATATTTCAAAAAAACAAAATGCTTTTTTGTCCCGGCTTAATGCGACGCAGGGTCACGCTTGCTGTTAAAATATGCCTTGTGCAGTACGCGTTAATCGCATGTTAATTCGGTATAATAAATGGTTTTGTTATTATCCTACTAATATTATAAACGCGAAAGTTTGTATGTATGGATGTATGTTTGTTATTCTTTTATGTAAAAAGTACTGAATGGATTTTATAAAACTTTACAATAATATAGCCTATACATCAGAATAACACATAGCCAACAATTCATAAAGATATTGTGTGAATTGTCCAAAATATCAAGTAAGTAGGAAAAAAATCTACCATCTGCGAGTTATTCGCGTGCGCTGCCAAAACCGCTAGAGTACATATGTAATGTACGATGGAAATGTTTATCTTAAATAGTCCTACATAAAAGCCCGTCACAGTATATATCTATGTCTTATGTGTAAGCCATTATAGCCAAAATAGTGAACCATAACTACATAAAAATTGATAATTTATTTCAAATGCACATTTGGTAATAATAAATTGATTCCTAAATGAAAATAGATACTTTTATCGCTTTTGGTATTAAAAGTAGATAAAATATGTCTTTCATGCTACATTATTTGAACAAACATTATTTTAATCTTGCGCAGACGAGCACTAGCTTGTAATGGTTTAATTTAATTTCCTGTAAATTATGTAGCAGTCACTTAAGGAGACATAAGTGTTCTGATTATTATGTTTTATTTTATTTTTTTCAGGGGTGAAGACGGTATCCTGCAGTACTTAGAAAACAAGACAGTTACAATCAGTCTACCAAAGAAACCAGTGGTCTAATTTCTAAACGAGATTCTCGCATTTTTGTTATTTTTTTAATTATTGATATTTAATCTTTATTAAAAACTATTTTTGTTCTTTATGTTTTTTCGTTCCAATTTTTTTATAATAAAATTAAAATTAACCTTCCAAACAATTGTGTTTTAAAAGATATTAACAAAACAAGAATACAAAATTATATTAATTGGTATATTAATAACTATTATCAAAAGGAGTCAAAGACATGCGTAATATTATTATTAACTATAATTATTTTACATTTTATACAATTAATTTATAATATATATATATATTTAAAATAATATACTACATATATAAGTTACAAGTTAGAAATCTATAATCTTAAACTACATTTAATAGAACTCCAGAAAAAGGAAAAGAAAAAAAAACTAATAATATATAAAATAATCAACACGAAATTAGGTTAATTTCAATGTTGATTATTCTATAACTTTAAATTTCAAAAATGAGGAAATAATCGATAAATAAAAAAAAACGATTATTAACAATCGATAAATTAAAAACACGATTTTTTAAAGTGAACGTCACATCTCTTATAACCTATAGAAAAGTAGAAAATGGCGGATTGTTTACAAATTTCAATACATTACACAAAACTTTAAATTTTTTGTAAAAATATTTAGACGCATTTCCGCAGCAAAACTCACTTGGAGGTGTTCCAATGAAGGTCCCCCGAGACTCCTAAATAATTAGTATCGTCAAAAAAGTGCGGTGGTATTCAACACTGTTACCCAATCCTTATACAAACAATTTATATGTAGACAAAATAGCTTTTGACGTCATTATTTTCATTTTTATCATAGTTTGATGCAAGTGCAAGTAAAACCAGGCAAAACTGGTTTAAGTTAGTTGTTAACAATTTATTGTCACACAGTTTGCTACAGACGTTTTCATTCCAAACAGAATACTTTAATATCTGTCAGCTGTCAATTTGACAAAATAAAAATTGGCACGGGCAGTTACAGTTAGCAATTAGCATTCGGCAGGTCGATTTAGAGGACGTTGGTGATTTTTGAACGAGATCAAAAGGGCAAAAATATGGTTAAAGTTGACGTTAAATATACGAAGGTATGTTTGAATTTTATTAAGTTTAGTATTTCTTTTGCTACGCCCACATAAGTTTTGTAGTGAAATATTTATTTTACAAAAAGTGAACCGGAATGATACAGAAACCATGTTTCGGAGAAGCCAGAAGTATGATAATTTATCAAATGTATACCGATGATTGATAGAAATTATAATTGGTTGAAATAAAAAATACCAGCATATTTATTTTGTCTTTGTTTTAAATTTAAATCAGCCGGCTCGGTCACGAAACCAGCATTCGATTTGTTTGTTTTTGTGTAACAGATAAATCTACATGATAATTTGATCATAATGTGATTTTATATATAAAAAATAGTCATACTACTTATCACCAAACCCACCTATTTAATGATTTGAGTTGATTTCGTCAAAGATTCAAATGAATCATAAAATTGTAGCTTCGTTTTTTTTGTAAATGATCTTTGCGATTATAGTTTTTAAAATTCGGTAAGATCCAACCCTAAGATTTCATACAATCGGCTGCTAATAAGAGACCGGTTCAAAATCGTTTTATTATCGGACAAAAATAGATCATTCACTTCAACAATTTAAAATGTTCATTTGATTTTCCTTTAAATTATTTTGTAACAATATTTGTAGGTATTCTAGTATAGTCTACGATTATTAGTAGGTAGGTATGTTTACTCAACGTGAATTTCTGAGAAAGCAAAATATTATAGTGATAAGACGTATTGTTGTTTGTGTTAACGAGGTCAAAAATCACATTTTTAATAAACTAACAGATTCGTTTTTACAAAATCTTAAATATTTAAACTTTTCATTATTAATAAATTAGATGTACCTACTCATTTACCATTTAGATTTATAATGGACCAGTTAGAGGCTGGTATCTAGCTTCCAGTTTCAAGTGGCGTTGTACCGTAATTTTTGTCTCTAATAAGAAAAGTTACATGGCATAACGTAAGTATAAATAAAAGTTTTATTTTTAGAACCAGCTTCGCTTAGGAGCTCTCTGATCTTGGTTAGGATTTGCAATTTCACGACGCACCAACAGGAGTAAAATCTAATAGATACCTATTATAATATTTCACGATAGATTTTGTATGCAAAATAAAAGAAACGATTTGTGGGCAAAATTAAAAACGGAAACACGAACATACATCGTTTGAATAGAATTCGTGTATTATACAAGGGGAAGTGCGACCCGATCTGTCAAAACGAACATATAAATGTCAGAATCGGTATCGTTATTGTAAGATACAGAGTACCAGCGCTGATAATATTATAAATATCATGTTTTATATTTCACAGCTGTTCATCAACAATGAATGGGTAGACGCCGTTAGCAAAAAGACCTTCCCAACTATAAATCCTCAAGACGAGACGATCATTATTCAAGTCGCAGAAGGAGATAAGGTACAAAATGCGAAACAAAACAACTTATATTGATAAAATTAATTAATTCTTCTTAGGGTAAAGTCAAATTCCTATTCGCTATAACTGCCGTATGTAAAAATGTATTGGATTTACATTTCTTTGAAACTCATAGTTTGCGCTTAGTCTCGACTCTGAATCTAAATCTTAAAAGTATTCAAAAAGTATCTTTGACTTCCCTATTTTATATATTTAACATGCTCCGGTCTCGGCTCTCAGCTCCGGCTGCCTCGTTTGATTAACCGTGATCCGTACCTTTGTAATGAATCATTCTAGATATTGGTAAAAACTGAATTAGATTCCGGGCGGGAGTTTTTGAATTGATCGCAAACAGAAAGACAAATATACGCGGGGAAGGATTTGTTTTTATAAAATATAAAAGATATATGCTATCCCTGACATTTTTGTGGGCATTATCAAGCTACTTTTCTCTAGACGTAAATCATATATATGTCACCGTAAAATTGTAAACACCGTTAGATTGTAATCTATCTCGCGAGATTGTGAACTGTCGAAAGATTGTGAACTCAACGTACTGCTTAAAATTTAACGTACTATTATTCGGTAGATTGTAATCTATCGAAGTGAAATATACCTGGCAAAAAAGTTTTCCGGGTCAGCTAGTATTAGTATAAATATTATTATAATCACTAAAATCAGATGCTAACTAGTCGGGCATCTAAGTTCGAACAATATATTTGGATTAATAATAATAATTTATTTTCACTCTTTAGGCAGATGTTGACATAGCTGTGGCGGCAGCAAGAAAAGCATTTCATCGTTACTCCCCATGGCGCACTATGGACGCCTCGCAAAGGGGACTCCTTCTGCTCAAACTAGCTGATCTCATGGAGTCCCAAGCCAGATATTTAGCTGAACTAGAAACTCTAGACTGTGGAAAACCAGTCAAAACAGCTGAGGAAGAAGTGTATTACTCTGCAAGCGTTTTGAGATACTATGCGGGAAAAGCGGATAAAATTCATGGAAATACGATACCTGCAGGTAAATTTTAGTTTCAATACTCGATGATGTACTTACACAAACGGTTCCTATAAAGTTCAATCGTAATTACTACCAATCGTTAATAATTGTTTTAAAGAAGGTGCGCGGTCTATAGATCACTTTGGATTTTTTATGTAATTGCCCGCTGATAACGTTGTTTGTTACCAAGTTTATAATATTGTATTAAAAATTTGTTGTTTTACTTAGCGCAATTTAAATATTGTTTTTATATTTTTCCATTCCAAATATTTGTTTGACATCACCCAGTAACAATTTCATGATACAGTATAATGATATGACGCATTTAATGTTGTCTATTATACATAGACATTGAAATTAGTATAGTTTCATGAATAATGCAGTTTCACGTGTTCCTTATCGCTTGTTTACTGACCTTTATCACGGTTTTCAATACATATTTTTGATAACAATGCATGATAATCATGTAAGATTCTATTCAATTGGAACTCTTTTCCTCTGCTATAGTGTGACTAGCTCGTTAGCTAATTATAATAGATAACACAAACATATACAAAATAACATGTCCAATAATCCAATAATGAAATATGGTTTTCTTATTTGGACCACCAAATTATGACAAACACATGGTATAACAACAATAGAATTTACATATATGAAATGCCATTGCTATATTATGTGAACGTGATAAACGAAATCGAGCGTTATTAAGGTATAGTAGGATATACACTATTGTGACAATTTATCAAATAAAGCAATTGTTTTGCTGTAAAGAAAAATTGTGTCTAAAAGTACATACATTATAACATAATCATTTTAACACTACAAAATGAACCTTGCCTTTTATTCAATATTAATGAAACTGCATTATGAAACTATTTTATTCTATGTTTATAGTATAAAATGTTTTCTACGTTTCAGATGGCGAGGTTCTATCTATGACGCTCAAAGAACCAGTTGGTGTCTGCGCTCAAATCATACCATGGAATTATCCAATACCTATGCTGTCTTGGAAAATAGCACCTGCGCTTGCTGCAGGTACATAATATGTAAATAAAAAATAGCCTGTATTCAGGTACTGTAAATGATTACATTAAGGTTTATGGTATTATATTTATTATTAGTACACGACCTCCAAATGAGTGAAGGCCTCCTCTAAATTCTACCTGTCTCTTGTCTTCGCTACTGTTGTGTTGTGTCCAATCTACACATACACATTTGGGTTAAAATGTAACACAAAGCTGCATATTAGCTCAATTATCTACAATGAATCTTATCAGAAACTTGTCAGTCAGCCTGCTGACGATAAAGGTACAAACATATATCTTTATATAAACATTTGCACCTGATAGTGTTATAAAGCTAATAGTTACCCCAAGAGCTGGAGTAGTTGTTGAATTTTAAGTAATAATTCACAGATTTACATACACATAATACATCTTAATAAATATATTTCTTCTGTGCGTGTGTATGTGACTGAACTCCTCTCAAACGACTGGACCGATTTTGATGAAATTTTTTGTGTGTGTTCAAGGGGATCTGGGAATGGTTTAGATTCACAAATCAGCCCGCAGATGGCACTACAGTCGGTACTTTCATACTTAGCTTAATATCCTAATCGCTTTAAATATCATGCAGGACAACGTCTGTGGGGTCCACTAGTATGTATTAGGAAATTTTAAATTAAAGTCAAACCAGATTAAATATTAGCAATTTTTTCACTACATAAATTTTTAAATATTGCATACTTTATCCTATGTTTTATGAGAGTTATTTAAGTTTACGACATCACATGTTAATTGCAATCTGCATACCTAATTGAGATGCAATAATAGATATAACTGCATGCTACTACGACTCGAGTGTATACTCGAGTATAAGGAAATAATAAATACTTAAGTATACCATGCAATATAGTGTTTAAAATGTTTAAATTGTATATATTTTAGTTCCAATTAGTAAAAAGTTACAATATAATTTTTTAATGTATAATTTCGTTCGTTTCCTGTTGTGTTATCAAATTATTTGTTACTTCTAGGTAACACAAAATCTGATATAAAATCGTGTATCGGTTTCAGCGTAGACGTCTAACATCAACAAAATACTTAATGTTGTGAGTAAACTTTGACTCGCTCTTTTTTAATGTTTTCAGGTTGTACATTAATAGTGAAGCCAGCCGAACAAACAGCCTTAACAGCATTAGCAGTGGCTGCTCTCATCAAGGAAGCTGGTTTCCCACCTGGTGTGGTCAACATCGTGCCTGGTTACGGCCCTACTGCTGGTGCTGCACTGACGCATCACCCAGACGTCGATAAGGTCGCTTTTACCGGATCTACTGAGGTTAGGATTTTCTACCATTACAAGTTTTATTCTCAATGTTACTGGTATACAGGAACTTTCTATACCTTTATTTATTTAACATTGAAACTGACATGGTATCTCATTAGCTCGTAAATTAAATTAGGGTAAAAGCATTATTTGCTACTGGCATACCTAGTACTACTAATACTAATCACGTTAGAGCTATCTAAAATTATAGGTAAGGGGTGACGGTAATTACATGGATTACAACGTTTTTTGCTTACTCATTGTCCATGATTAGTCTGTATTAACTGTATGAGGTTGCAAAGTGTATTGGAAGATATGAAAAGCAGATGAACGTATGTTAGTATTATTAAATTTTCTTCTTACATCATGTATTTAATCTGTTACTACTGCTAGCGAGTAATAATTGTATTAATACTTACATATTATATCTTTGTAATAGAAAACACTGCTGATTTGATTTTCTTTTCACTTTTATGCGTTACTAAAACCGTGTATACTTTAAAATAATTAGGAAATATTGAGTAAGACAAGAGGCGACCTAACAGTTGAGCATTCATTGAATCTGTTTACATGAATTTTTCACTCTTAACTATTGCAACTAGGTGTCAGTTTCATGTATGTTTTTAATTTGATTAAAATTGTTTCCTCACGATGTTTTCCTTCACCGTTGGACCGAATGTTAAATGCGCATATTAAGGTAGGTATAATATATCCCTAAAATATTTACAGGTCGGACGATTAATCCTGGGTGCTGCACCAGTTGCAAATCTCAAACGAGTGACCTTAGAATTGGGAGGAAAGAGTCCTTTGGTTGTTTTTAACGATGCTGATGGTATGTTTTCAAAAATATAATCAGCAAACAAACATATTGGAAGTTTTTATAAAAATAATCTGTAGGTAAATTTTTAAATTTTAAGAAAACCAAAAGACACTCAATATAGTAAGGTCGAAGTAGTCCTTAATTCTTATATTTGTTACAAGTTAAACACTTTTATTTGCAAAATTTTGTTGTACTGCTATACAAGAAAGAGCGCAACAGTTACCAATGCATGGTACATTTTATTGAATCAAAGAGATTAAATTCCCAACACAATAAAGAATTAGGTTTGTATAATTGTAATTTATCCTATAAGTATAATTTATTTCCAGTCGAAAAGGCCGCTCAACTGGCGCACGCAGCTGCGTTTGCAAATGGCGGTCAATGTTGTTGCGCGGGAACTAGAACTTACGTCCAGTCCGGCATTTATGACCAATTCATTAAAAAAGCTGCTGAAATTGCCAATGGAAGATCCGTAGGAAATCCTTTTGATGATGTTCAACAAGGACCTCAGGTATTTTAGCTCATTAAAACCATAATGTTTACGTATCATCGTTGTCACTTATTACTTCCGTCAAAGTTCTATTATCTTATTTTTTGGGCACTGCAATAAATATTACTAGTACTAATCTGTGACATTCGCATAGATGACCTTTGCTCTTTGTATTCCGAGCAAACAGTGATGCCAACTTGGAGGGTTTCCTCCCATATTTAGGGGGAATCAAGATATCCGGGGGATTTAGGGGGTATTTATTCAAGAAATGTATGTAATTTTTCTTAGAAAAAACGCACGATAATATACAATTTATATTAAGTCTACAACCTAACCAACAAACTAAACCAAATATACACTCCAAGTGTATAGCTGAAGTCTATAACTGAAATATTAAAACAGCTATGTTACTTCAAGATTGAAATAACAGCTCTTTTGTACTAGTTGGCATCACTGGCTATAAGCCCAAAATTATTTTCGTCCATATTGTATCCGATAACAGGGGAGTTATCATGTAAAACAAAAAACGAAGTCATGGCGCAATTGTAAACATTCCATTGATATTAAAACTATTTTTTCAGATAGACAGTGAGATGTATTCGAAAGTACTTAATTACATAAAGGCAGGAAAGGATGAAGGTGCAAATTGTTTAGCGGGTGGTGATAAATGCGGTGATAAAGGATATTACATTCAACCAACGGTTTTCGCAGATGTTAAAGATGAAATGAAAATTGCGAAAGAAGAGGTAAATACAAAAGTAAAAGTACTACAAAATGCTAATGTGAAATATAAAAAGCGCGATTTCTATAGAAAGGAACAAATTATATCTATTTTATTTCCTATACTCTCATATATTTCCTATTTAAGCGTGAACTGTTTTAACAATTTAAACCTGTTTTTGTAGTTGATAAAGTGCTCATACACTTAAATATAGCTTTTTGTTACCTTTTCATGAATATAAAGTGTGGAATAAGACTTAAGAAATCAGCGTTCAAAATCCTGCGCGCTAACTTTTCGCTAATATTTAGGAAATTTGTAATTTGAATTTACTCCGAACAAGGTATCTATAAATTAGATTTTTTTAATAGATTTTTGGACCAGTACAGAGCATATTGAAATTCGATACATTTGAAGAAGTGATCGACCGGGCTAACAATACAAATTATGGCCTGGGAGCTGGTGTCATCACAAATGACATTACTATTGCTCTTAGCTTTGCTAAACACGTCAGAGCTGGCTCCGTTTGGTAAGATTTATGATAATACCAGCAAATTAATAAGGCAATACTATGGCAATTTCACTAGACTGAGTTTATTTTCACGTAACATGTTTTAGAAAGACATTTTACATGTTGTTTAATTCTTATTTCGGACCATTGTTGTGAAAATTTGATATCATTATTAGCAAAAAAGTCTATTTAGTAATTTGTGAATACCGCTTCGGCATGTCGCTTTTCAAAGGACCATAACAATAATTTACTTAAAACTTACAATATCGTAATGATGTGATTAAAGGAACATATCAAAATATTCATAAAGGCAACATAACACATCCCAATAAAAATCGATGTCTGTAAAGTCGGTTTACGGACGATAGTTTAACGTGACAACGTCATTACAAAACATTGATAAAATGATTGCATACTTAAGTCTTCGAGTGGAAGAAAATTGAAGCGGCGCAAGGGTACAATGAGCGTAAGAGGACATTGAGCGTAACGGGACAAAGAGTCATGCTTTTTCTTGCGTGCAGCCGGCGTTCATCGATTTATTAGACGTTATCACGTAAAAAATAAAATATTGAAAAATAATTTATACTACACAGAAAAATTCACCCAAAGACAATAATACTCTATAACTTCTAATATTCATACCGACATCAAACCCGATATTAATAATGAGTTTTTAGTTCAACGCGATCCAAAGCTGCGACACCATCGCTACGAATACTGAGAGAAATTGATGAGATACAAAAACGTCAGGTTATTTTGCTCTTATTGAAAGTTCTCCAGCGCTACGGTTTAATCGCCTACTTTGTAAAACAATACCAAAAAGTACATCTGTCTCTTCTATGTGATTTTGGATGTTTAATTAATTTTTACTATGTGTGTTTTAGGGTAAATACGTATGATCACGTAACCAGCCAAACACCATTTGGTGGTTTCAAGGACTCCGGCTTAGGAAGAGAATTGTAAGTGTTTAATGGTTGTTATGTCCCAAAATAAAATGGATCGAGGCGAGATCTTTAAAACGAAGATTTCTTCAGATCTTTAAAATTTCTCTCTTTTTATCCGAATATTCTCGTAAATGTCGACATTTGTTGTTTTTTTAACAAAGTCTTTTCCTTTTAGGGGTGAAGACGGTGTTAACCAATACCTAGAAGTAAAAACTGTTACTCTGGCACTACCAAAAAAACCCCAATTATAAAAGTTGATTGCTTCCAATAATATGGAGACTCGTGCTGGCACCATTGCGAATCTGTCCCGAAATTATTTCTTGGCGAAATCCTTGTAAATGTAAATAAGAAATAAATTTGTATTGATTTTTAAAAGAAATTTCAATATTTTAATGAAATAAATTATTAGGTGTTCGTCTTTATTCGAGTACTATAATTAAGATTACGTTTAGTTTATGTTTTATTATATTTAATACTAGTACACGACCTACGGGGTGGTACCACGTCTGTTATTTTTGTATCCGTATTACACTGTTTTTCACTTAGTCTTTGATTTTCAACCGAAGAATAGAACCCTCCATAGCATTTTGACAATAAGTAAGCATTTAATACAAAATAAAAACGTATATTCGTACTCCGGCTTAGTCGCAAGAACGCCCGTTCACCGAGCGCTGCTTAATTGTTTCATGAAATAACTATTGGTTTTTATTTTATTACTACAACTATGAGATTTTTATGCATTGTTTGAAAGTGAAGATAATGTTCAAACAGTTTAATACTATAATTATTAGAAACCATTATTTTTAAACCCTTTATAATTGGAAATATCTCCTTCAAAGTATGACCCACTGGACCCACACCAGAATTTGCTATTCAGAGATAGAATAAGAATACCTAACACGACAACGGGTAGTTCCTTCAACGCCACGTAGAGAGCTCGGCCTCGCATTCTACCCGGGCCTCAGCGAGTCTTTAACTTAAGATTAAATACATTAAGTAAAGCACTTACCGATAATCTTGTTCTGTTTCTCGGTGAGATGTCCAGACATCATGCCACAAATGTGAGCGCCGAGTGAATGTCCGACGCAAGTTATCATTTTCGCAAGCACACCACTTTGTGTTAGGTATGAGTAAAGTTGCGCTGAACATTGTGCTGCTAGCCTAAACACCAATAGCCTTATAATTTATAACATAAGATACATGTATCACTTATTCCACATCATTAAATTTAAAGACCACCAGAAGACAGAGGGTTGGCCGAGAGAAAAAACGGCGTAAAAACCCCGCTCTTTCATCATCAAACAACATTGTGTTTTCATTATAATCAATTATAAACTTAGGGTTATACTAGTGGACCCCACAGACGTTGTCCTGCATGATATTTAAAGCGATTAGGATATTAAGCAAAAAAGTATGAAAGTACCGACTGCTAATAAGTGCCATCTGCCATGTCGCTGATTTGTGAATCTAAACCATTCCCAGATCCCCTTGAACACACACAAAAAATTTCATCAAAATCGGTCCAGTCGTTTGACAGAAGTTCAGTCACATACACACGCACACAAGAAATATATATATTAAGATATACATTCAGAAACGTCAAACGAGACTTATCGCTTGACTCCTGTACCTGTCAAAATCCAATATATTTTTGACTCAGCGTTTCTAACGATTTTTCTGTTATATTCCTATAAATATTCCCGCTTTGTTACTAAGGGTATGTTCCGATATACACCGCGAGAAACCTGTTAGGCCCCCCCCCCCCCAAAAATTTTCCCCCCCGAGGCCCCCCACACACCCCCCCCGCGCCCCCAGGGAAATATTTGCCCCCCCCCCCCCCCCCTTTTCCCCCCCGCCGGGCCCGGGGGGGTGGGGGGGAGGGGCCCCGGGGGCCTCGCCCCCCCCCACCCCCCCCAACCCCCCCGGGGGGCCGGGGCCACAATTTTTTTTCTCACAAAAAAAAATTTTTTTTTTTTTTTTTTTTTTTTTTTTTTTTTAAAATTTCCAAAAAATATTTTTTTTTTTTTTTTTTTTTAACCCCCCACCCCCCCCTTTTTTTTTTGGTTACCTTAACAGACCCCCCCCCCCCCCCCCCCCAACGGCGGAAACAAAGGCGGCGGGCGGGGGGGGCGGGGGGGGGGTTCCCTTTTTTTCTTCCCCCTGGGCGGGGGGGGGGGGGGGCCCCCGCCCCCCCCCTTCCCCCCCCCCCCCCCCGGGGGGGGGGGGGTTTGTTTTTTTTTTCCTTTTTTTTTTGTTACTAAGCTTGCGATACTAGGATTGTGCGTCCAGTTGTCAATGGATTTTTGTTTATAGGTGGACAAAACAACCAAACCAAACAAACTGTAAAGACTTGTATAGTGTAGTAAACAATACCATATAAGAGATATAACGGAAGAGATACATATATAATAATTAGTGTAAAATACGTGCGTGTTTAATAATAATCATACTTGGTTGAGCCACTAAATAACGCCAAAGCGGCAAACATTTAGATCAGTGTTTCCCAACCTTTTTTTGTGCGTTTCAACATACATAACTTTTAATTTTAATTTTTTTTATCGTTAAATTAAAGACCTATCATATTTTTCCTTTTTAGGAAGAAATTACTAGGAATTTGTTAACGTAATACACAGTAAGTAAAACATATAATGAAAAACTTTAATTGTAATTTCAAATAATTTTCGAATAGCCCCCCTTAATAATCAAGTGGGCCCCGTTGGAAAACACTAATTTAGATGGTGGGTTTGTTCCTATTAGTAACGGTAGCCAAAACCATTCCGACGACTGACGTAGAGATTTGGTTGTTCCGCCCAGTGATGCCAACTTGGGGGTTTTGCCCTCAATTTAAGGGGGTCCAAGTTGTCCTGGGGGGTTTTAGAAGGTACATTATTTTAGGGGGTCCTTTATACAAGAATTATCTCAAAAAATTCACGGCTATACAATTATATTAAACCTAGAACCCAACCAACAAACTACACCAAATATTAACTCCAAGTGTACCTAGCTATACCTGAAATATTAAAAAGCTTCAACTTCAAGATCGAAATGTTATACTAAGTACTATAATTTTTCATACATACATGTATTTCATAGATTATAGATATAGGTAATAACTCCGTTACTACAAGAACCTACGCCCGTCACAAGCATAAAGTAATAGCCTAATATTCACGCTAATCTCGACGCGTAACAATATTAGTGGTATGCAGATTCACATTCCTTACAGCAAGAAATGTAGGTCTGTCGGTCACAATTAGATTTTGACGCTGCATGTCATAATGCGGGAAATCGAAGGTAGAGGGGATTGCAAGTATCGGATATGTATTTAAAATTACCTCTCAAACCGAGTGAACGACAAAAACTTAAGGGGTTTTTAATCGATATTTAGGGGACATTGAAGGGGGAAGATTCTGTAGGAATTGGCATCACTGGCTCCGCCACACCAATACTTAATAATTATGTGAAATTCAATGTCGGTACTTATATACGGCGATACTGATTCTAAAACAAAAACCTTATCTATACTATTATCTCACCTCATGTTTGCGAGAGCAGATAAGTAACAGGGAAATCTTGACAGTTGCGACCAGTCTACCATGAAGACATTGTAATCCTTACGCCACAGGTAAGCTGAAATTATTATGAATATGTATTTATTTCCGACCTCAAAGATGAAATTTTTGATTTTGATGATTACTAGACCTTATCGGTTTCGAGCGATTTCTTCCAGGCAACAATTTTATTAAATTTATAGATTATAATTTGAATAAATATTTACTGAAGTAGTAGCAGACCTCTGTCTCTGACCGCTGAATCTCATCCAAATCGTTGCAGCCGTTTAAAAATATTCAAATTGATACTCGTATGACGTACGTAATAACTAGGTTTAATAAATTTTATATATTATACATACCTATACACGATTTATTAGACGACGGTAGTCATACTTATCGCTTACTCAGTGTCTATTTCTTAGGGCGCGCTTATATCAAATTTTGACAGTGGTGAAAAACTTACCATCCCTTATAAAAGACATAGGTGTCTTCGAGTGTGTACCATTGAAGCCATGAATAATAAATACATTCTTCCTGGTTAATTTCCAGCCAATCTTTGGTAGCAATTGTATCCTTCTTACATCAACCCTCTGCTGGTATGGCCGTTCCCTGCGAAAATAAACTTGACCATAGACTTTTTACTTTCGACAAAGAAAGTACAAATATAAGCTGGCAATATAATAAGTTCTGCTTTATTGGCCTTGGGTTTAGCAAGCTACAGTCGCTTAACAGCTCTTAGACATATATGGAACATACTTAACTTACTTTATTAAGATTTTTTTATTAAATCTACCGTAGGAAGTTATTTATCACGTCAATTAATTCGGGAAATACAATCAAATACCTTAGCACAGTTTGAATTTGGAAAACATATTTGGAAGTGGCAGGGGTCGAATAAAGGAATAAACTGCAGAGAAGTTTTTAAGATTTTTCCTTCATAAATCGATACAAACTTTCCTATTTTATGCTATAGTTATTAAATGCCATATAAATTGCTACGTATTCATTAATTTATAATCGGTGGAGAGTTATTCATAGTAATGAATGAATTAATGACATTTCGTTTACTTTTAAATATTTAATTATGATGCACCTACTCTGTATAAAGTTACCCTGAGGTCAAAACATTCCAAAAACGTAACGTTATTGGTACTGAATACGCGCCGTAGTGCTTTTGACATATTTTAAACGTAAACGTCAGTTACTGCCGGCGTGTTAAATTCAGTTATCGACACTATGAAAGTATGAACATACTTATAATTTAATAGTATTAAGTCTTTCATGCTCATGATTGATTTATGCAGATTTCATATTTAACTATAAGTAAAAGCTTCATCTTGATAACGTAAAGGTGATTCAACGAGTCATAGATGAACTGACAATAATGTTCTATTTTTTCTCTAATAAGTTTCATAATCTTATGGGACAATAATTTAAATATTTTTTTGTCTAAATTTATTAAGCGATAAACAAATAATTATCTCTCTTGTCGTTTTAAACAGATTACACTTCGAGATTTATACTTCTACATAAAATGACGTAGATTTATTCATTAACATATTTCGTTTAAGAAGCCGATTCTGAAAATGTATCATTACCCAGATTTATATAAAGGATGGCAGCAAAATACGCTTTCTACGTAATAAAATTATCTGTAACAATTAAGACAGGTATTTCGGATATCCAGTAAAAGCTTGTGGTTTTACTTACGGGGTGTATAAAAAGAAGTTGATCTCACTATCAGGGCATTTCCACTCCCGTTTCATAACACATCTCAAATACCGAAAGTCTAGCATTGACATCATGGTTCCATTCACATTAACTGGCCCTGTAAATAATAATTTATTTGCAGCATACATACGTCAAGTTTTATCTATATTTAATATATTACAAAACTAATACGTAATGAAAAGTGATTTATATACGTCATCATTATACATTAATATTTTCGAATTCTTAATAATAATAAAAAATTATAATAATTTGTATTTTATACTCATAGCCTAAATTAAATTTAATAATTTATATATTATGATATTGTATTTAAGTACAACATCATTAATGCTGTATTAATAAACCGAACAAAATTGTTGTCATGAAAACTGGTATGACTAAACATGATTAACAGTTCACAATGCTCGGTGGCGCCAAAAATCAAAACTTATTAGTTATTACCACATTTAGCAGATCATCGCATACGCTGGAAAAGGGAGCTTCCACAGATCATAAAAGATGTATTTGTATAGTTTATTAATTTTTTATCTGTAGTTTATAAAACGAAGATCGAAGTGGCTGTTTCCAATTTTAGTGTTTAGATTGTGTTGTGTTCCAAATTCAAAGTTTGAAAAGTAAACAATTTAAAAGTTCCTTCGTCGCAAAAATAAAAAGTGAAATGTGTGATTAAAAAATTAAGTAAAGAAAAGATAGGGCTAAGATTTTAAAGTACCAATTCTTAAAAAAGGTACGACTTTGGCTTGATTTTTACAATTACAATTTTATTTTTAAAGTATTGTATTTCTATTTTATAATTGTCATTAAATAAAATGTTGAAGAAGTTTTTATCTAGTTATGTATCCGTAAACTATTTAATAAATATGTGCATACACTTTATGTAGGTATATTAACTTAAATATAACATTGCAGTATTATTGATGCCTACAACCTATATAATTTGTGTCTGTTGAAAACAACATATTTCTTTACTGTCTTTACTATTGTTATAATCATCAAAATGGTAACAAAACAAAAAAATAAATATTTTTCCTCAGTTGCAAATCAAATTTTAGTATACTTATTTAAATGAAATTATTACAAAATGCACAATTTGGTTGATGTAACCCACAGCATCATCATGCATACAATGACTGTAGTCTTTGCACTTCATGATCAATAGCTATAACTATTAAATGTGACCAAACCGAGGTTTTGTTTCACTATAGTTTAGGCTTTTGTTTATAATATATATGAGTATAGGTTTAGTAATGATGGATTTTATTTGATAACATTTAAACCACATCACAAAAACCCTTAATACTATGCTTAAATAATGCAACAATATTAGCTTCATATTGATGTTAGATTTTGTAATAATTATAGTATTCTTTACAAGGTTATCGGTTCGGTTGAATATTAAAACATAAAGCAATGGTATATGTGCCTATTCTCATACAAGTCATTTATTAAAAATTGTATTCATATATAATTTTTATTATATTAATTTGTTTCTTAAATGTTTGACTGAATGATTTCAGTTTTGATGTAAATGATTCTTTCCAATTTACATCTCACATGTCACATCAGTCATCACTTTAAATCACCATAATGTTTAAGGTATACAAATAAAGATTCTCTTTTTCTTCAAGTTTTGAAGATATACTACGTTCCTTCACTATGTATTTGGTGCAATTTATTATATCCACAATAATAGAACTTATTTTCTCAATTCTATTTGTAATTAACTACTTTATACTACATATCTGTTATAATGTGACAACTGTAACAATGGTATCATGCCACATGATAACAATACAAAGAGATAAAACACTTTCTTTTGCAATAAAAACTTAAGCCAACATAGATACCTAGATGATCTTTATTTGGACTTCCGACAATTTTCCGTATCGACGGTCGCATGTTTTGCTTTTTTTATAATTTGAATTTAGAAAACAAATATTGGTCTGTATAAGAATAATGGTTATTTAATACTTAAAAACTTTCAAAATATATATTTAGAACAACATAAAATTATATTAAAGGTATTGTGGTTTGTAATAAATGTTTCCGGTATGTTTCGCCTCATGATTATTATATTATTTTAAAAGAGTAATACCCGAAAAAGAGTTCTTTTAAGGGGCATTGTGGCTCGGCCTACACCCTCTGTCTTCTTTTCCGTTGAGAGTAGGGATGCCTGCAAATTCAATTTTTTTTATTGAAAACGTGGAATAAGTGCCCCGATACCTGTATCTTATGTTCCATAATAAATCATATTTTAATTTTATTTTTATTGACATATTTACAGTCCAACGCTTACATATGAAATCTGAATTCACATTAGGGATGTGAATATCTTAGCATTATCTTTGTTTACAATTAAATGCTGCTTTATAACCTGTTACTTAAAATAAATACTCGACTAATATATAAAAACAATATAAAATTTACTGTTGCTTGTATCAAAAGTAGGCTGTTTTACTTTTGTTAAAGTCGGGTTTTGCGTTTCTCGGTATTGTGCTCTTAAATTTGGTCTAATTCTTGGAGTTTGAAAATTTATTTTAAGTACTATAATCAAGCTTTAGCCATCGACTTCAAAACGCGAAACAGTATTATGTTGTCAATTATAACTTTAATTACTGCAGTAAAATTTAAAGAACGCGTTTTAATCTTACAAAACTTCTTTATTACCTTACGTATTTATTGCAAATTTAAATTCAATAAAGGTAGAATAAATAAATTGATGTTAAGAAAGTAATGGTAATATTATGTACAAGGACGCATAGAATTTGACCGTTGCGATAGACTTTGAATACTTAAAAAGTAAAAACAATTTAGAACGTCTATGGAAAGTTTTGTATTTAAGTCTATGTATAGACATTAGTCCTCGTATAAAAAGTCAGAAAAGTATAGTATTATAGGCCGGGAGAATCGGATAGTCACAAAACCACTTTCACAGGCTTTCACACATAAATCGTACCTTTTATCTTCCATGGAAGGGTGTATTAGTTAATTTATTATTTCCTTTAGGACAATCACATATAGGTGTCCATACAAATAATGCTAGTCCAGTAGGAAATCATTAAAAAAATTCTTAAAGCCCATATCTACGTAAATGATTGTTTTGATTTGATATTTAATGCTTCTTAATACATACGTATTTTACAATTTAACACGGTTATATATAAAAAAAATGAATTATTTAACATTATATCTACGCATTTCAGCCAATTCCAGCCATTCATATAAATAACGAAAAATATATCTTTGACTGAATGTCCAAGAATATCGTTTAATGTAGATCCCTCGTTGACAAATGTTAATATTTTTTTTTAAAGCAAATTCGATTAAAAACCTTACCTATTGTTATCAAAACTATGATAATTACAAAACCGCATTTCACTAACATAATTCCTAAGTATTGCACTACACCGGTAACTATTCACTTTTCTTTTCACTATCAACTAAGCGACATGATACCTGTCGCAGGTTTCTAACCGACTAAAAGTTTTGCTCGCATCGAGAAAGGTGCACTTATCCCACTAACTAGACCGAAAGGAGCCTTTTTTTCTTATAACAGCCAAGTTTTGGGTCTCTTACTGATATAACGTTGACCAATTACATATGAAATTATTGACTCTGGCTTAGTGGTCGTGTAATGCAGCGGTTTTCCTGGTGTTTTGGGTTCGAGGGACGAAATACTAGTAAATACTAGCTTTAAAAAATATTAGTGAAACAGACACATGTGTCTGCACAATTGAGCGGTTCCGGTTCTCATCTCAATAATCCTTATTCTTAATACTGTATTATGTTACTGTAACTATATAAAGCGATTTCATTGCTCAAAATCATTTAGTAGAAGTTTAGTATAGGGGTTCTTCCACGCTTGATCTCTGCTCTCTCTCTCTTCTCTTGATGATGTATCAACGTTTCTTTCGAGCCTTGACATAACTTCTTGTATTTTTTAATAAGCATGCATATTGTTGTTAAACCTATAATAAATACAATTAAAGCTATTACAAGTTAATGCACAATTCAAAAACTCATTATTTACTGAGTTACTTGCATTTATTTTCAACTAGTTTTAACCTAGGTCAAAGTCGATTTAAAACCTTTTCAGACAAGAAACACTCTTCGACGGCTAGAAGAAGTAGCCTATCAGTCTACACAGTTGCTGTCAAACAAAAATAATCATATTTTTTTCTTCAATCATTTTTTTAAATCACATTTATAAGTCGAGTAAACTCACTTTTTGATTTAAAAATATCTTCTACGGTGTTACTAAGATCCATCAAAGGAACATACAAAAGTTAACTCTCTTCAGAAGTTGGTTGTCAACAAGGTGATCCTCTTGGGTCTCGCTATGAATTCATATATATAAAATCAAATTATAACGTCTGATAGCTTGATAATGATACACTAGGAGGTACAGATATATCGTAATACTTTACCTGTACTAGTGGAAGGTCGGTAACGTATTCACATTAGATCAAGAATATGTTTCGTGAATGTTTATTTATCTGTGGTTTACAAAAACACGTATAACATAAGATGCGACTCACGTGATAACAATTTAATGTGTATCTTTCATATATTTGTTAGAACTGGGCAAGTAGATTAGCGAGTACATATTACTTCCGATCTTGTTGACTTTTGACTTGCGTATTGCCAATGGCCTTGTGATTTGTAAATAATATAACTCGCTTTGATAATAAAATCAAAACAGTATCAACGCGATCTCGTTGGGAACGCTTGTGTTTTGGCGCATTAACTCCGTGCTTAATTATTATTATAAAACTGCTATCGGTACTGTTACGCCTCTTCTAGTAATGCATGATGTCGTTTTAAAGAAGAGAACAATAGATTTGGTAAATATTCCATATTTGCACACTTATTTAGACTTAATAATTTTTGTGACTATCTCTAATCGTTTCCCAAAATAGAGTGCCTACCCGAACCTCGGGCCTACCGAGGGAACCTAGCCCCGCGCTTGGTTGTTCCGCCCTTACCAGTTAACGCCCGAGAAAACGCCGACATTTTCCCGCGTCACTACTCGAGAAAAATCAACCAATCATGGTGCTTGACAATAAAACTAATATTAATAATACAAATCATCTATTTATTTATTTTACCTGATTTATAACAAACTCGTATTTATTGTGTAAATCACCAGATATTGTTGTATAAAGTATCACAGACCAAGCAGTTTCTGTGATTGGTTAGCGCTTTCGCGCCAAATATTGAGGACAATCGTGAGGCTTACAATATGTGTTATTTATATTCTAATTATTAAATAAAATAAGTATGTATCAATATAAACTAACATTAAATATTAATTATGGTAGACGATACAGCGAGGAAATGCTGCCAGTGTTAAAGGTACCTACACTGCCACAGGGACCAAACTTTTTAAATTTGTTTTAATTTTCTTTTTATTAATTTTTATTATTACTGTGTAGATTAAGAAAATTGTAAATACTGTATATTTGATTGTTATGATTACTAATAAAAATTATGGTACATATAGTAACGTATTCTTATTACAATTTTAGAAACCTAAATAGTATGTTTATTTATTACTTAATGGACTACCGCCAAAAATATTACTGAATTTGTTAAATTTAAGAGAATTTTAAGATACACATTCTTAGCTTAGAACCTAATGATACCTAACAATATAATAAAACAGTCCGATGGCGTGCAATTCTTATATAATTTATCCTTAAAAAATATTAATGTAGTTCTTTATACAGTTCTTTGAGCATAATTAAATTAGTGCACAACTAACTTTTAATTTAAAACCTTGTTTTTGTTTGAATAAGTAATGCGGGAAAAATAAAATTCGCATAATTTATAATTACACTTCTTTTTTTTTAGTTTAATTTTGTACACAAATTTTTAATTAAGAGAAAGTTTTGCACAATGATGCACCTTTTTTATATATTCCTTTATTCATAAATTACTGAAGTAATTAAAATATGTATGATTTTTTTATTGGGGTAGGAACGTAGGTCGTCTTTGCCTAAAACATGTTTTTTGAGCCAAAAACTATTATAGTCAGATCAGACTACATAATTAGAAGGGTAACTAACGGCCTTATCCTTATACAAGCGATCTGTTCCAGGTTCTTTCGGCCATAATATGTGTATATTAGGTACACCATTTAACAATTATATATTTTTTTACAGTTTCGGCGATTGGCGTCGGCAAGCATAGTCACTCCTTGTCGGTTAACCCAGTGATTTTCACAAAATATACGTCTATTACCATAACATAGAAAGGTCTGTAAAAACACAGTCTGTTATTACTAGTAATATAAGTCTGTAAATCCGCTTGATAATACAATTCTACAAAAGTATAACAATGTACATAAGTAATTCAAATACAATATCTTACATAAACATACTACTGTTATGTTACGATTTAGCGATTAGAACCGACTCGAAAGCATTTATCTCATGTGCAAAGTTTGGCGCCAAATTTTAAAAGACAATGTTCAAAAGGGATTCTTGGTATGTTCAGAATTAAACCATGCTTGTATCGTGAAGGAAAACATCGCGATCAAACCGGCATGTCAAGGGAATGTCATGTCATTAAGATTCAATGTTCTATACGTTTTTATCGTACTTGATACAATCACTTTTCGACAGGCACTAACGCTTCACGAATTTGTCTGAGAATTACATTACGTCACGTGACTACTACATACGGGAGTCATACTTAACGCTGGGGTCTCCATAAAGACAAATTATCAATATAACTATAATTGTAATGCAATCTCTGGTCTTGCCACATTAAGAGTAATTGCGTGATTAGATTTTATTTTCTTAAATAAAATTAATTATCGTTTCCTAAAAGGACCTGTATAAAACCCCTGTAGCCAATAATTACGACATTACACTAGTTAGAGCTAAGATTTTTTTTTGTAATTATTAATTGTATAAGTATGGGTATTGCAATAAATTCAAATTCATAAATCATTTAATCATATAGGTAACACAATTTACATTTATGATCGTCAAAAAAAGAAATGTATATGAAATTCTTCTAACTTTAAATTTAGTGCCAGTTCTCAAATCAAGGGCGTAGAACGGAAGAGAAGAACTGGCATTAAACTCTCCGCCACTCTTTTTAATCGCCATATTTGTTTGTATATATATGTATGCGTTGACACTAATAAACTTCCTTTGATTGGTAAATATCCATTAAATACACTATTGGTCATTGTTTTAATGTAAACAGATAACAATCATTAATTTTGAAATACAAGTGTAAAATGCCTTGGTTTAACTATATTATGTATATTTACAGAGTGACGAAATTATGAAGACTTAGATATTATGGCACAAAAGACTGAGGAAGGAATTAGTAAGTACTTTTTATTTAGTTATACCTTCGGTAATATTTATAATCTATAGTAAAACAAATTTCAGTTGAGCATTTGATTATAATTAAACTATACATAAATTATGATTAATTAATAGTAGTATCTCAAAAAATAGTTATTTATTTTCGGTAAGCATAATCTAAACCAATTATTATTGTACTTGCCCCTTACAAATATTATGTAACATATGCCTTTTAATTTTTTTTACTTTTATAACATAAATAAAACTTGGCAAGGGTTTTGATATTTTGATTTTGCCTTTAGGTGTACGAGTCTATACGTTTGTTGGTAGGTTGAGAATGCTAATTTACTACGCTAGATTGCGCATGCGTGGTTTCTTTGCACTTACAGCCTTTAGCAATTGTAATTTCTCTTTTTATTGATAGATTTTTGGTATATTGCACGAACGAAGGATTTTTTTATATGCACTAAACTGAGAGAGTGTGGTTTGTATTTGCACGTTTGCAGCCTTTAAAGATTTCTTCGATTTTTCCACAAATTATTGTTTTTGAAATTTATTCTTTGCACTATTCTATTTCTTTACACTCTTAGCCATTACTTTTTCTGCCTTTACCAATACTATTGAAATTCCTCTTTTATTTTTGGGGCAATCTGGAGTATGTTTAAGGGTATACGCTTAGTGTTAAAGGAATTTACCACCGGGACTTTTAAGTGTATATATAGTTTTTGGCTGATCTATGGATGCACGTTAGTAGCTAAGGTTTGCATGGGTAAGGGTGCATTATATATAGTGCATGCAATATGAATTATTTTTTGTTTTAATCACATTTTAAATGTTTACAGATGACAAAGATAAAACGCCAGATATAAAGTAAGTCAAAATCTATATTATTTAAAAAAAAATTAATTTAAATTAAAAGTAGATGTTTTCCGAGATAAAGAGATTGCCTTCATTTGGGTACAATTGTACGGCATCGTTAGTTTAGGCAAGTACTTTTAGCTGTGCCTTCCCATTCGTAACAATACCAATGACCGAATATCGAAACCGTCAGGGTGTGCCATGTGCCTTCACCACTAATTGTGGGTGACCACGAAGACCCACCTTTGCTTTAGTTCATTAAGAAATTAAAACTAACTAACTTATTTCTTTTTCAGTTGGTGGCAAAAGTTCTGTTTGCGATGTCACCAACCGGAAACGACGCCATCTTCGGAGCCATTGTGGTGGGGAAACGTGTTTCCGTTTCCCATATTCCCAACATTTCGGCAAACAGCACAGCAGATATGCATTATAGTTTTCTGTAAGAATTATTATATTGAGATTGAAATTATTCTAAATCTCCGACTTAAGCTCAAATACACAGTTCAGTTCTTAGGATACATAAGAAAAGAGTGACGAAACTGATGTTTATTTTCATAGGAATAAAAAAAAAATTGCACAAATAAGTAACCTATGCTGTTAAATTTGTTGTTTCTGATATGTCCTACTTGCTATATTATATATAACATACAAATATATATTAATTTTAGATTCAACATGGAAAACAGAATCCAGAGTCTTATTATTTAAAACGAAAAACAAAAGACGCGCGATTGATCATAAATTGGTCTATTGCGTCGTTCCGTTTTACCAACCAATTGTTTCGTCTTTTGATTTACACTTTTAAAATCTTTTTTTTTTGCCTGTTTCCTGACTCTTTAACTTTTACACATTCACAAACGATGTAGTTTATTATTATGAATGAACGAATGAAATCAAAAACTTAGTTCGATTTCAGTTTTGCTCATATGGGGAATTCTGTTTGCGGAAATAGGAGAACCCGTAAGCCTGAACGGCGAATTGCTTAGTATGACATTACTGGTCATTGCATCGTACTTAGTTGGATGGATCTGGTTGAAAGTAACAACGTTACCAGCACTTATAGGCATGCTACTTACCGGAATATTATTCCAAAATTTACATTTGGTTCACATGACGGATACTTATCGACAACTTAATCAGGATCTTAGGTATGTATTATAAATTTAAAATTAATATTACGTCCACTTAATTTTACAAGAGATCCAATTAGGGTTTCCAAGCGTACGATTATTATCGTACATAATTGCTAGTGATCTGATATACTGATATACTAATACTGATAATATTTGTACGGTTCCCGGTTCATCGGGGACGTTTAAATAATAGAGGATTTTAGTTTTACTCTATATTAACCACTCGAGTACAACAATAGAATATAAGCGAAATAATGAACTGTTAATTGCTATGAAACGAATGAATGCAATGTAACAGTTGAAGAGAGTGCCTACGTCTCGCTATACTCTCGGGGCGTAATTCCAACGATTTAGAAAATCGCAACGCTCATAAAACTAAAAAAGCCTGAGTGAGCAAAATGTGCCTTGGCTCGTACCTAACTTTACGGCCCTGGTACGATGCCTAGCTTCAGGTTGTGTACACTGGATCTAAATTCTAATACACCTTATATGAAATGCGTTCTTAATAAAATCTGGTCAAACTATATATAGGTATATTTTGCTAATTTTAAATCAAAGATAACTAATTTTTTTATTAAATTTTTGGGTCTCGCGATGTCTAGTCACTTAAACCTGATTTCAAGCGCTGTCAATTCATTAAACATATGTTACAGTGCTTAAGCTGAGATTATGATTTGAGATACCTTTTGAATTACGGCCCTTAATAATGCATACATACAAACAGCACTTACTCCGCTGGCGCACCCAAAGTGAGCTTTGGCCTCAGAATGTAGAGAAACGCCACGCCACCTTTGCCTATTACTACCGCTTTCCAATCGGGCACTTGGAGCTCGCGTAGGTCCTTCTCAACGGATTATTTCCAGTGATATCTGTGCCATACAAATAAGTTTATCATACATTTCAGGAAAATAGCCCTAGTGATCATTCTAATGCGAGCTGGGTTAGGTCTCAATGCCGATGTTTTAAAAAAACATTATATAGCAGTACTTCAATTAGGCCTTCTGCCGTGGCTTGTCGAGTGTGTTGCGATAGCTGTCATGTCGCATTATCTACTAAGTTTACCTTGGATATGGGGTAAGCATTTTTCAAGTGAAATTTAATTAAAACCTCTTTCAAACAGTGAGCAGTGTTGGTCTAGTGACTTCAGCGTGCGACACTCATCCCTGATGTCGTAGGTTCGATCCCCCGTTGTGCACCAATAGACTTTCTTTCTATGTGCGCATTTAACATTTGCTCGAACTGTGAAGGAAAACATCGTGAGGTAACCGGCTTGCTTAGCGCCAACCCAAAAAATTTACGGCCTATGTCAAGCACAGGAAGCTGAACATGAAACAGATACAGAAATCTGAGGCCCAGACTTAAAAAGGTTGTGTGTAAAGTCTGGCAGGCAGGCGGCACTGGTTAATTTTTTTTTTTCTTTCAAAAACATCCTACGTGACCACAAGAGATTAGTCGCCGTAACCGAGGCATATTATCCTCATTCATTAAAACTGATTCACTAATGAGAACATTAGTATAAATCGGTGTATTAATTTTTTTTATTTCAAGTTGTTATAAATAAAACCTTAAAGACTAAGGGGTCAAAGCCAATTTCTAGTATTGTTATTATCTTTCCAGGATTCCTCCTAGGTTCAATGATTGCGTCCGTGTCACCAGCGGTGGTAGTGCCATGTCTATTCCGTTTACGTGAAGTTGGTTACGGAGTGGCGAAAGGCATACCCACTTTACTATTAGCTGCTGCCTCCATTGATGATTCAGTCAGTGTGGCTGTTTTTGCTATCATACTAAATGCCATGTTCTCTTCTGGATCGACGACTTTCAATATTATTAAGGTAAGATTTTATTTAAACCTGCTCGTCCGTCAATACATGTAGGCTTAATGTATTTTGTATTAAGGTTGTCTTGTAAAAAAAACTTAAGTTTACTTAAAACCGCTGTAACCACCTGATAAAGTACCGCGGAGGTTGGGTTTTGAGATAATGGTATGCCTATATCTTCCCTTGGCCCATGAATTTACGAAGTTTCTTTTGCATTCTAGACAGATCTATTTTGATGACTTGGCATAGACTTCCAAACTAATATTCTAATATAACTTTTATACCCCTTTTATATAAATAAACTAATAAACTATTTTATTATTATTACTATGTATGTTAATAATATTGTAAATACTGTATATTTATTAATTTTTTATTTGTATTTTTTTAGGAATGTATATTTTTATGAGTAAATTTACTATTTTATTTGTATATGAATAAAATAACTAAAAAATTTAATTTACATAGTAATAATTAATTAATTAAAAATTGGTAAGTAGAACATTTAAATAAAATTTTAAAAGTATGGTTCCTGTGGCAGTGTATCTTTAATGCTGATAGCATTTCCTCCCTGTATTGCGATACTTATTCGTTGAGCGAAGAAAGCGCCAGCTCTGGGGTCACCGGTACTATCTACTAGGCGCCAACTTAAATCTTTAATTAGCACCTGTACACTTGAATCCCACGGCCCAAAAGTCTCTCCTCCTATAAGAACAAAATCATAGTTGGAAGAAAGACCCTTATATTTGTTAATTAAAATATAATGAACACTACACTTAATTCTTTTAGTTAAGGAGCGCCCAAAATTCGAATTAATAAAGTTTCAAATAATGTAGGACTTACATACGTACTTTTAGCTAAAGAGTTTGCTCTTTAAGTTTTTAGTTTACATTTAAATGAATTTATGTATAACGGTTGTATTTAATTATGAGAATTGCGTTTGAACCAAATTATTTCTGACAATTTTAAGGTCCTTTATCAATGAGTGGCTTAAGGTAAATACTCCAAGGCGGGGTATGGGGCAAAATGTGACCTCCGTGATCCCAGAAAACAAAAGGGGACAAATATGTGGTTTGTCTTAAACGGTTCTTGGCTAGTTATACTTTTGGGCAGGTTTAAGTCGCATTTTATTCATATCGAGTCTCATTAGATGATCGAGTTGAGGGCTGGTAAATCTAGTTTGAAAATTTTTTTTTTTTATTAAGCTATCTTATGTACCCCAATGCCTGAGACTACCATTTATATGACTAACAGAGGCCAGATCTGTGTATTTTTGGTTACTAGTTATGAGGTCGACTTAACAAGGTCTCAAGTAATGAACACTACACTGAATTCTTGGGGTGGGGGCCCATCATATTTGTAAAAAATAACGACTTACAGATGCTTGGGGCGTGCTCTTTGGTTTTATTGAATATACGCGATTTATTGTTAAGGTTTATTTATTTTCGCTTTCCAGTAATTAGGCACCACATAATGGTAACTTTTATCAAGTGGGGTTGGGGGGGGGGGGGCCCCCCCCGCCCAGATAAAGAGTCAACTATGTGGGTCACTAACCGTTCTTAGCTTTATTCTTGGGACAGGTTAAAACGTTATTCAGGCGCGTTCATTGGATGGAGGGGGCCGGTAAGTTCTCAAAATCTTGTGTGACTTAAGATTTTGATACGCTCCCGACTTACAAAAATACACAGAATCATTTATATACCTGTACACTTCTTGGGTCATCGGGGTGCTTAAAATAGAGGATTTTTACTCTATATTTACCACTCGCGTGCAACAATCGAATATAAGCGAAATAATCAAATTTTAATTGCTATGAATCGAATGAATGTAATGTAAATGTCTAAGAGAGTGCCCACTGCCCCGGTCTGGCTATACTCTCAGGGCGTAACTCCGACGATTTAGGTAATCGCCACGCTTATAAAACAATTAAAGTCTGAGTGAGCAAAATGTACAGCCTTGGCTCGTATAATTAATTTCTTCACACCAACTTTTACACTTACACACAAAGAAAAGAAAGTAAGATAAAAGAATATAAAGAAACAACAACAATTAATAATAAATACGAGTAATTTAACAAATTGATATCTATATATGTAATTTTATTTGCCGCCGTTAGGTGTCTAAAGAATAGAATAAATAGATAAAACAAATCAACTAATATTAACAATGGTTAAAAATAATATACGAAAAAACTCGTTCTTATAATTTTTGCTAGCATAAAATGGCACACAGACAGTGCCAACATTATTGAAATAATTTTTAGGATCGGTTTATTAGTTATATATATTAATAATAATCAGTGGCGCTACATCCTCTTTAGGTCTTGGCCTCAGATTTCTGAATCTGTTTCATGATCATTTTTCAATCTAATACGCAAGTAGGTGATCATCCTCCAGTGCCTGACACACGCCGTCGACTTTTTGGGTCTAAGACATGTCGGTTTACTCACGATGTTTTCTTTCACCGTTCGAGCGAATGTTAACTGCGCACATAGAAAGAAAGTCCATTGGTGCACAGCCGGGGATCTAACCTACGACCGCAGGGATGAGAGTCGCACGCTGGAGCCACTAGGCCAACACTGCTAAAAAATTACAAAATATGTCATAAACCAGTATTATTTAAGGTCCTCTTGCAATCGTTTCGTCGGGTTTCATGGCCGCATACTTTTGGGAGAAACAAGGCTGGCCAGTTAATAATAACCCAGTTAGCAATTTGTTTAGAATTCTGTGGATTTTCTTCGAACCAATACTATTTGCGTTTACCGGAGCTCAAGTAACGGTAATAGCTTTTTGACAATTAATTTATTTAATAATATCTTATATATTTAAATTAAATTGTTAACAAGTATTTTCGAACCAATTATTCGACTTAGGGTCCTTCGAGAGAAGAGTACTAATTCTTAATAGGCCGGCATCGCACTTTGCGAGCCTTCTGGCAATGTAAGTGTGTGTAACATCAGAGTCTCCTGTCTGTTTGCCCCCTATTACCAAAAAAAAACCACATTTATAATAAGAATGTTCTCTCGGAACGGTTTAAATAGTATATATAGTAATATGGAGACTATTATATAGGAGATGAAATTAATATGCAAATTTGCCCCCACGAACTTCGTTTCGCTGTAATGTTTTTTTATCTGCTAAACATTTAAATTTTTTCCAAATTCTCTCCATAAAACCTTTCTCGGAGTTCAAAGATTAAATAAATCGAATTGGTCCAGCAGTTTTGAGCTTAGGAACATATTTTGCGATTGAAATTTATTTAATAAATAAATACGAAGGATATAATTATTAATATGTAATTTAAACTTTGAATTTTTTTTTTTTAATTTAACTTTTTTTTCAGCTCAGTGCATTAGACCCAGATGTTATATCGATGGGCGCTATCTGTCTTTTGTCCTGTCTGGCGTTACGTGTAATTGCGACTTTCCTAATAAGCTTCGGCTGTGGACTTAATTCAAAGGAAAAACTGTTTATTGGACTAACTTGGATGGCTAAAGCTACTGTTCAGGTGCGTTTTTAATCGATATATGTGAATCATACTTCTTGACGTATTCAAACTTCTAAGTACGTGCTAAATGTGATGGTGTATCAATAAATTCGGAAACTATAAGTTATGGCTTTAAGGTATTTAAATCCTTCTATACGTATTCCATTTTTGAAATCACACATATTTAAATGCATAAACCACAGACATGAGAGATGACTGTTAAAACCATAGAGAAAGGATTGTTGGCCAAACAAAAGATGTGATCTATGTTATTTTTATCCGTCTAAAATCCACTAAAACAGTTTTCTACCGGTCGCGTTGTGACCCGCTATTGAGGTTTAAATTTGTATGGAAACGTACACGTAGCCAAACATGAGTTTTCTAAATTTTGATATTGCGATAACTACTTACACCTGCCGCAAAATAGCTTTGTCTAGGACCACTGTATGAGTATTGAATTAGATAAACCTTCGTTCCATAAAACGCAATGAAACTTATAATAAGACGTATTGTATTATAACTAAAGTGAATCTAAAAATATGTGAATATTTATGTTTCTACAGGCAGCCCTAGGTCCAGCGGCCTTAGACTTAGTAAAAAGCGGTAAATCGGCCGGCGACACACACGCCAATGAAGAAATATATGCGAAAACGATACTTGCTATGAGCGTGCTTAGTGTGGTTATATCCGCACCGGCTGGTGCAATATTTATAGCATTAACTGGGCCTAGGTTACTTAGTAAAGAATGTAAGTATCTATAGTTTAATGACCTTATACAGGGTAGAATTTTACACATAGCGCCTAGAAACAAGTTATGGTGTTTAAAATTTATTTTCTTAAAAGGCTGGCAACGCACTCGCAAGCCCTCTAGCATTGAGTGTCCATGGTCACTTAACATCAGATGAGAAAAAAACAACTTGACATTTTTTAAGCTAGCGTCTATTGATAATGTGATCTATTTAATCATTTGATTTTTTTCAGCACAACCAAAAACAATAGAAACCGTCGAAAGTATTGAAACAATTGTTCAAGAAAATGGAATGTCAACGGATTTATGACGAAAGTTTTAAAAATCAATAGCGTGTTATTGGCCTGTGTAACATGTCGTTTTGCGTGTCTGCAGTCTGTATACTGAATAAATATATGCATATACAGAGAAATTTTATATTCATTTGACCCTATCCTTTGATCCATAAAAAGAAAACCATATCATTTTGTATCTAATATACAGCAGATGTCAACTAGGTTCCAATTCAGTCCATTACGAAAGCCATAGAGAATGATGGTAAAATGATTTATTTTTGTAATTATAGAAATGAATGTTAAAAAATGAATGTGTTGATAAAAATTTAACTAAATCTGTATTAATTTAATGACTTGTAACATATTAAACTAAATTTTTTAAATGTTGAATGAATTTATTAAGGTCCTTAATTACGAGTATCTTTAAAAAATACCTTTTGGGATCTTTTAAAATTGAAAATAATTTCTTCTTATGTGAATAGTTTGTAGCGACACCTACAACCAGTACAATGACGTCATACTTAATTTTTTTGCTTGATATAAAAATTAATAGTTTAATAAATTAGTCAAATAGATTAATTCCAGGTTTGTTGGTCTGAAATGTACACAAAAAGAAATTATCTTTTTAATATATCAATTTCTGGTAATATTTATGATATTTCAAGCGCTGGTTAAAGTTTTTATCAGATATCAATGATTCTGTATAAATTATATATACATAGAATAATATATATTAGAATCTAAATAAAATATTATATAGAATCCTTCCTACAAATTATGGCGTAACTGGGTTGGAATAATAGCAGGACAGCGCACATAAATATATTATGCTTAATGTCTTAGTGTAAACCTTTGATTATTTTAGTGAACACTACAATAATTAAAGTTTAGCAAAATGTTCATTGGTAATTTGAAATTCTATGTATACGTGTGTATATACTACATATTTAGTTAGCACAACGATCTCCAGGTCAAATTTGGAGTGAAGTGTTGACTATTTATCCTATATAATATAATATAAAGTACTCTGTGGACTGTGGTTTTCTTTTGTAAACCTAAAGGTTGTAAATGCCAGGTCATAAAATCCAAAAAAAAAAAAATCTTTTGTAAACACCAAACACCATTTGAGTGTTGACATTTGTATTGTTTACTGATAAGTCCGGTTTCTCAGTGTTTTAAAATTCAATTAATAATTGTTTACATTTTTTCTATTTATTAACATAACTATTAATATAATCTAAAATGAAAGACGTTACTTCATAATTGGCCACTTAATATTCATAATTCAAAGTTAAAAAATGTCTGTAATTGTGATAGCAGTTGGAACTGATAGTGGAGTACCTATATTCTCAAGAAAACGAGGGAATTGCGATAATGTGCGTTCTCTTTATACAAATATAATTATTATAAGCAATTATTTCATGAAAGGAAGTTTTATATGAAAGCAAATTAATTTCAGGTTCAATTTTCCACTATAGCATCTCTACACGGTATTAACATGTTTAGCAAATGCCATAATTTAACAATTATGAAAACACAAGTGGATAATGGATCAATTTTATGGAAAGAATATTGTAAAAGGTAGTTAACTTAGTTCATAAGGAAAAGAGTATCTCTATCTTTATTAATGTTTAAGAGTTGAATGGCAATTGTGTTGTAATATTATGTCTAATTAGATATTTTTTTTAGTGTAACTCTAATTGGTATAGTAACAGGAGGCCTGGAATGTGATCTAGAACTTCTGTTGTTATATGTTCATAATCTTATGGTCTTTTGCATTGGAAAGAAGGAACTGGAAAACCTAAAAAATATAGATCAAATAAAACGTGAATTACGGCAATGTTATCCTATTCTAGACTGCTTATTGGAGGCTGTCGATCCCAATTGTGTATCCCAAACATGTATGTTTTTGGATCTCATTCAAAGTATGTTGTGTCCACAGGCTCAGCAACTACAGGTATTAGAAACTTTCAAATATATTTTTTTTAAGTAAATAAAATGTTTTTAAATTTTGGAATTTTGTTTGCTTTTAATTTGAATAACAAAATAGTTGAGAATTGAATACATATGGCATTAGCTTATAAATGTGGGTTATGCTCAATAAGTTTTATAAATTATTTATTAAATTAAATAAAATTAGGTTCATTTAAAATTTATCTGTATTAAAAAATATTTTGTGTTTTACAGCAAGTATTGGATAGTTACTCAGAAAGAGTTACTGGGAGATGGGCTTGTCTTAGTATTCATGGACACATAGTAGCTACAAGCACCGATTTCTATGAACTAGATTCAGTTGAGGCTAAATTGCTAATGTTACTAGCTGCTTCACAAGATGGTGCACCCTTAAGGGAAACACCTATTTATTTACCACAGATGAGCCCTAATGTAAGTAGAGACAGTAAAGTAATTAATTTAAAAAATTAAAACTAAAATAAAGATCTTATTAAATTTTAAATAAGACCTCTATTAACCTAAAATAATTTTTATAAATATTTCTCTATCTAGTTTTAAATTGATTGATTACCTTTACCTTTGTCATAATTATAATAGTATTTATATTGCAATACAGGTTGCATTTAGAGCAGTAACATGCAAGTTATTAGCTGATGTCTATGTGTTGGTGATATGTGGAGCTACACCACCTCTCTCTGAAATTGATGAGATAGTCCTACAATGTTGGGAAAACTCTGCTCTTATCATAAAAGAGGCAAAACTTGTCCATCCTAGAAATTTTCCTCTTAGTATAACATTTGAACCATGTATTCTAGGGTATGCATTTTGTTTTAAACTCGGGATGGTTTGGGTTCTTACTAGCAAGTCTCAATTACTTAAATTACTTGGTTTCTATTTCTTTAAATATCAAATTGAAAAGCTCTACTAACATACTACTCTGCACCTGTCTTAAATTAAGATTGCAATTAGTCCTAATTATTAAAGTTAAGTTAAAATATATGGATTTGAATGTTTCCTTTTACTGTACATAAATATATATCAGATCAGTATCTAGTAGCTTTAGAAAAACAATATAGTTTCATTATAAAAATTAACAAACATCCAATCCAATCAATATACCCTATATTCCCAAGTATACACATAATTAATCTAAGCATGCTGGGTTAGGTGCATCAGAGCGCAAACAAATTTACAATGTTCATACATTAAAATGTTGCTTTTATCAATTTTTTTTACAAATGTTTTCTTTAATTTCAGAATTCTAATAGTTAATATACCGAAAAAAAGGTGTGTATTTTCACGACATCTAGCAGGGAATCAGAAAGGCAAGAGCATGTCAAGTCCGCACAGGATTGATGTGTTACGGACATTTTTTGTCACAACTGCTAGGGACTTGGCACCAGAGTTACAGATTAAAGAGGATGACAAGGGTAATTTATTACTTTGAGTTTTAAGGGGTTATAGTATTATCAACAACCTCTAAATAATTATATAATATACTAGCTGATCCGGCAAACATCGTTTTGCCATGTATATCATTTATATTAAAAAAATAGGGGTTGATCGTAGAGGGTTGGAAATTTAGGGTTGTATGTATTTTTTGGTGTATCATATTTTTTTTTATCTAACAATTTAAAAAAAACAATTAGGGTTGGACTACCCTTAACATTTAGGGGGATGAAAAATAGATGTTGTCCGATTCTCAGAGATACCCAATATGCACACAAAAAAACACACACATGAGAATCGGTCGAGCCGTTTCGGAGGAGTTTAACTACAAACACCGCGACACGAGAATTTTATATATAAGATGATATGATTCATTGATTATGTTGCATTGTATAAAAAATACATCATAGGTTAAATGGTGAGAGTCAAGTTGTCTCTAGAACTAAAATACAAACTAATTATTAATATTTAACAAATTTTTCAGAATGTGGCCGTTCCCAATGCGTCCCAAGTGAAGCATACTGGTGTTCAGAATACCATAAATGGCACGCCCGTCGAACTGCCGACCTCATGACTTGTGTGCTGTATGCACCCACTGTACCTATACATACAGTAAGGTATGCTTTAAAAATGTATACTTATTGCCTTCGTCTTATGTATGTAAATATATAAAAGAAAGTTGTGTTAGTTACACTATTACTGTTACTCAAGAACGGCTTAACCGATTTGGCTGAAAATTGGTGGGGAGATAGCTTGGAACCAGGAACCGGTACTTATAACTCAACGAACTGGCTAAACGTAATGTTATCTATGGTTAAGTATGATTGAAAATGTGATAATTAGAAGTTTTGAAGTTGATGTGTTTATTTCGCTTATCGTGCCGATATTATCATTAACAATGCTACGATCAAGACGATAGAATCTTTCCCGACACAGTCGTAATGCAATAAATGGCTGTACCGATTTTGATGAGTGTTTAAGTGGATTCAAGAATGAATCATTCTATATATCCATATTGACACTATTAGACCACAAGCCCATGAACAAAAAATACCTGTGAAATGACCCAACGTGAATTACGTTTAGAAGGCTGTTACTATATCTGAAAATAACTCTGAGCACTATGCCGTCATTTCTGAGCGGTACATGTGAGTACGTGAGAGAATGGAATTTCTCAGATACGAAGGAGGAATTTCGACTAATTATTAATGTACGGCTTTGTTATAAGTGTATAGATGATTAAAAATAAATGTCGAAAAACCTAGTGCCGTACTAAAGTGATGGTGCCGGAAGTCGGTGCAAATTTTTAATTCGACGATAGTTGCAGAAGCAATATAGGTCATTTATTACTGTACGGCCTTCTAAACGTAATTCACGTTGGGTCATTTCACAGGTATTTTTTGTTCATGGGCTTGTGGTCTATATTTACAATTAGATGATTTTTGTTCATTTTATTAAGTTAGAAATTCTAAGTTTAAGATGTGTGTACAGGACGTCTGTCGGGTCCGCTAGTATTACATATACAACATTTATTTATATGTAATAAATGTTCATGCGAAACAATTTTGAATTTGTAATTTAATTTTTGTTTTTAAAATGGTTGGTTATCTTAACTCGTCCTATCAACGGTCCTGCGACCATAGAAAAAAGTTGTTGGAATAAATAAAACAATTTGATTTAAAAAATAATTAATTGTCATTTTCTTCATTTCAGGTTGTTAACCAACCAAATATTGCAAGAAATATCTACCAGCAAGGAAGTGTATTGGTAGAAATCTACTTAAAAATAAAACAGTTAAGACTTTAAAAATATTTTATTTGATTGTCTAAATGCTAAAACACAACAAACACTATATGTATCCCTAAAAAGGCATTGTTTCGTCATACAAATATCAATTCATTATTAATTTAAATGTGCGAATTATGATATGATTGCGAGTAGGCAGTACATAATTTATGCCTTAATGCAGGTAAACAAAGTGTTACAATTGTCAAAATTCTGCATTATCGACAATTTTTGGGAAAATATTTTTTCCTAACACAAATGCATTGTATAACAAAAACTAAGCACTCCTACTGTATCTTATACATTTTTGAATAATCTTACTAAATTCAAAAATTATACATAAATGATCCGATGATTAAACGCACAACTTATTTTAGGATTTATCACATTTTCATAACACAATTTAATATTTTCATAATTGTTACAAATTACATACTGAAAGCAAAATCCAAGCGACGCTTGAAATCTCGATATAAACTGGTGTATTTAAATATATGTGTAAAAATTCTTATTGCTAATAATAAATTACACACTGCGAAAGCGATTCCCATTAAACTAACGGATATCCGTAACATAAGCTTAGGGAGCGTTCAAGTATTACGTCACGCAATTTTTGGAGATTATTTCCCCCCATGTAACGCGCTGTAACGTTTTTTTGTACCCAATAGTAAACGTTTCGTGACCACCCAGTGACTTTATACCTAAAAGTTACCATTATGTGGTGTAAAGTACTGGAAAGTCGAAAATAATATTAACAATAACGCGTAATTTAATCCCCGCCCCGCATTGTAACGTTTTACAAGAGGAACCCCCCCTCCCAAAATTCGTTACGTAATACTTAACGCTCCCTTAGTTCTTATACCACGCCTTATACACAGCTATTAATTCTCTATCTTTCTATTTAAAGCCGCCCATAAGTCTGCATTGAGGTTGCTTAATTTTACACTTAAGCTGCTGAATCAAGTCGAATATTTTCAGAGATGGACCGACTTTCATTTCAAGCAATTCTATGATTTCATCCTTTGACAGTTGCAGCATCATAGGTCCATTTATTTGGCTAAAATTGACACAATAGGGTTGACAATCGTTGACGGTTAGGAATTTAGCGACGTCAGAGGTACTCCAGTTTTCCGGGTCTACTGAATTCAGTATGTCCAATGGTACTGATGTGTTCACTAATCTGGGAATGATTTTGTCATCAGCATTTTCTGGCACTCCCGGACTTTTTACAGGAACGGAGGCAACTTCCATTTTTAAATCCGCTATGTCTTCTGTTTTGGGAGTTTCGATCGGGACTTTAACCTGTAGAAGAGGAAAATTAATTTAATAAAAATAATTATAATATGGTTTGATTATTTATGTAATATAGTTTCGCATTTCTTGGCTCAGTAGTTGTTTTGTTAATTATTTTAATTATCAGTTTAAAACGAGTTGCTAATCTTACTATGATGAATATAATAATTGAATTAAGACTAGTCAATTTCATTTTAATATGAACATTATTTTAGCGTATATATGTTTGTTTATTTTTTACAACTACATAAGTCTACGGAATTTTCATTCTAGGCTTCCAATTCTTTAGCTAGTCTTAATACAATTGTTCAACTAGATTAGCTATAGGAATAACAATTAAAAGGCGACTCCGTGGCTTCGATCACACTGTGCGAAAAAACCAAGACCAAACAATTGCTTCTGGTAAAAAGGAAAAGAACAATAAAACGGGCGAAATCATAGCCCTATTTGGGGCTATCAGTTTTTAACGTATATTAAATTTGAATAGAAGGTTAACGAGAAAGTTATTTCTACGTGAAACTCACCAAATCCTCTTGGCTAAGTTCTTCCAGTTTTGGTATTTTTTGCTCTACTTTAATATCACTGTCAACATCCATTTTCACGGGGGTCAATTCTACACGTTCGTGGGAGGCTTCTGATGCACTGGTCGGTGATGAGCTCTTTGTGTCTGCGAGATCTGAGCCGCTTTTATTATCGCCCATATCGGAGTTTTGAGAGCTGTCTTCCGTTGTGTTTGGCGGTTGAGGAGCGACTTTGGTTACTGAAAATCAGTTATTACTCAATAAGCTGATACAAATAAAAGTTAAACAATTGTTTTTCTTATTAGTCAAGTTCAATAATCACGTGACATCATCGCCATACAATAAATCGCATAAAATAAAGTTAAGAAAAAATAATAAAGAATTCCATAAAAATCCGAGATGTACTTGCCTTAGTAGAGTAAGTTACCATAATTATTATTTATTACTTTATATTGAGAAAACATCGTTACCATAGCAACTAACACGATACTTAAGTCACGTTTTGTAGCCAACTATTTTTTATCTTTTTTCCTTTCGGCTATCTATCTAAAATATAATTGGTTATATATCTTAAAAGATATCGTCATTTACCTTGTTTCCGCCGTCGTCTCGCTGGTTTAGGGTGTACTTTCCTAGCTCTCGGTGGAGGCTGCTGCGGTCCCTCAAGGCGATGTCCGACGGCTCTGCACCAGCCCACGGGGTAGACGTCCGTACTGTGCGCCCATAGCCACTGATCATATTCCCCGCCCCAGCCATCGAAGTGTACCTATGTGACGGTGGAACATAAATTGGTCACTATTTCTGAACTGGCCGTTAAAATGGCTGCAGTCGGCTTATGCGCCGCTTGCTGCTAGCTTCACGTTACATCATATCCACTTAAGGTCACAACTTCCACGAAACGAAACGAAAACAAAAAGCCAAGGGACGAGACACGAAACACGGAGGACAAATGTCGGCGTTGATATTATTTATTTATGAAAAATTGGAATATAGTAATTTTACTTATAAGACACTGTGACTAAGTTATTGTTCTGTATAAAATTAACGTTAAAGTAATTATTGAATTTTAATACATTCATAATAACTGGTTTACTAATAAAGTTGGTTTGGGGGACAGACCAGGGGAGAGACTTTTTTCTTATATTAGAACTTATTGTGATTAAACTACGTACATTTCTGTAGCATCAAGCATTTAGTTTTTAGTAATAAATAGGTTAATTAGGAAGTTAGTATAAAAAAAAAGTATTTTTTTGTTCTGACCATGGCAAGTACCTTATAATTACTTTAAAAAATCCATGATAATTGGTCAACAATCTTTAGCTACAAAGTAGGTTGAATCCTTTGGATACCTTATATTGACACCTGTGCCAAGTGTCGAGGTACATGTATCTTTAAAAGTTGACTTTAACTATATAAATTAATATATAAAGACGAAATAAATACAAACTCGATCAATCTTTTACTCCACAAATACAAATAAAGAAATATTATCGTTATCACGAGTAGCATTTAAGTTTATATCGAGAAATATTCAATCACGGAAATATTTAGAGCTCTTACGCTTTAGTGATATAGCGATTACATAGATTCTTATATAAAATTAAAGTTTATTAATTTCCAACAAAATAATATTCGAAAAGGCACGATGATAAAATATACTATGGGATATATTCTGTTTGTCTGTATAACAGCAATGGACTTTCTGTCTATGGGCGCATTTAACATTTGCACGAACAGTGAAGGAAAACTTTGTGAGGAAACCGACATGTCTTAGACCCAAAGTCGACTGCGTGTGTCAGCCACTGCTGTACCTCCTGGCACACACACTTGCCTATTAGATCGAGAAATGATCATGAATCAGATACAGAAATCTGAGGCCTGGCCTAGGTCTAGGTCTGGACCTAAAAAGGTTGTAGTGCCACTGGTGTTTTTTATAATATATAATCTGTCCCATGGGGCAATCACAAATTTAGTTGCGAACAAAATTTGCTATTAAAATACCTTCAACAAGTCAGCCACGACTCTTGCCACGGTGGCGACGCAGACCAGCCGAGGGTCCATGAGATCAGCGCACTCCAGCCTCATGCCTGCAACGAAGCCGTGTGACACCACGTGACCTCTCGCCGCGAATACTGTGCGACTTGCTGCGCGCGCGCCGCTCGTTGTTAGGTAATCCTCCCAGGTGAAGTCCTCCACTTTAAATCTGGAAGGTTTTTTATTTCATATTGTATTATCGCTTTTAAAATAATGGTATACATTTAGGTTAAAAACAAAATACATTTCGAATAAAAATATCTTTGGATACCACAATTTTTTATAATCATTTATCACAATTGAACGCGTCACGAACAATAACAAATGTTGATAATAAACAAGGTTCCAGTTTACATTTCTCCTAAAACCTAGATTTTCTTAACTGATATTTTATTATTCTAACCTTGAAGTTAATTAAACTTAGGGTCACGAGAAGTAACAATGCTGTAATTGAAAATGTAGAGCGCACAGCATTTTATTTTGGATATTGATCTCACAAAATAAGCTCATTACATAAATTAAAAGTAATAAGACTTGGAGAATGCAAAAGAAAATATAAGTTAAAATGTAAAAAACTTTCCATACAACTCACCCAATAGGCGGTACCAAAGGGATATTATTTGCGAGTGAAAATCCAACTGGGAATATACATGGTGACCGTTGGTGATAGCAAAACCAATCAGCACCAGTTGCATCAGCCGGGTAATAGTCAATCCTTATCATCATGTAACCTTCGTTCAAAATCCTCATAACAGTGGCCGCACACACCGCAGACAAATTCAACGGATCTATCGCTTCTAACTTCATTCCTTCTAAGAACAGCGGTGGTTCATTCGTTGGATATTTGTAGAACATCTCGGCTGTTGTATCGTTGGGTAGCAGTCGACCAGCTGCTACCCGTTGGCAATAGTTTTGCGGGGCGTCTAATGGATGACCAACGCGGAAGGCCCACCCGACAGGGTGTATTAATGGGGAGTCTTCGTGGCACCAAAAACCGTTATCTTCGGGAGAACTGTCATAGTATTTTACATGTAAGCGTTTACCAATTATTTCACATACACTTGCTACCTGGAATAAGAGTTTGAAGTTTGATATCACATTACATAATTTATTTTAAATATATACACATTTTTTGAAGTGAAAATTCTTTATCGAGGTTGGAAAAAAATTTAGTGTAACATTTTTTCGTTACGCGTCACATTTTTCGGTTACACGCCATGTTGCTTTTTGAAGTCAAACTTCTTTATCGGCGTTGGAATGAAACTTCTTTATCGACGTATGGGAGAAATTTTGTAGCAAATCGTCACGTTTTTCAATGATAGTAATAATTCTATTACAATTAATGTAATTCTATAATAATCTTCGTAGTAATAAGGTAAAATGAAATATTTGTATTCATGTCTATGATCATAAAAGCCTTTTGTTAAACTTTATCTAATTTAACGAATTTCTGTAAAGTTGCATATATAGTAGATCATTTTTCGAAAAATAAGATCATAAAGAAGTTTCACTTCTTACGTGTGTACACCTAGTACACGCACAATTTATTTTATTTATATATTTATGCCTTTTAAAGGGCTTTAGGCAGAGTCCTGCAACTCATTCATCCGTTCTATATTGCTAAACCAGCTAAGCCTTCCCTTTCGTGTCATGGTCAATGCGTCCTCTTTTAACGCCTCAGGGCTCAGTCGAGCTTCATTTCAGATTATTTGGCGACACATAAAGTATAGGTCTCTTATCTAAAGCTGGCGGCTTCAAACATTTACACTTTGTGCTTGTGTAGTGTCTGTGAATAAGCGCGAGGCGTGACGACACACTGAATATGCATCATGAAAAGACTGTCCGTCTCTCTCGCGCTCGGTCAAGACTCAAGCTTATGATTATAAAAGAGACAGTTATTGTTATGCTTTTGCTACTGTTTATAAATACATGTTGATCTTTTTTCTCATTATTATTTAATCCGTGATTGTTTAGTTATTTGGTTGGAAGTTAGAATACTTAGAAAAAAAAATCTTATGAAATAATTTGTTCCGGCAGAACATAAACAGGACAATCTCGTGAAATAGTGTACAATGCTTTTCATTATTTTAAGCATCTTAATAAAAACAGTTTAATGAATGAATTGTTAGTAAAGTACGCAATCAAAATAATATAATATATCATATCCAATAGAAAAAAACACAAAACCCAACCCACCCAACCTTACTAAAACCAGAGTAGACTAAATAGAGCTTGGCAAAAAAGTCATATTTTTAAACATACTGTATAGTGAAATTGCATTAGTGTGAGTACTGTAAACGCGCCAGCTTTCGATAACCGACCTATACATACAATCCAATGTACGCTTTTCCCAGCATTTACTTGTCTTTCTATGTCAATCGTTAGGGCGTGACCAAACAGGGCGTGCGGTATTCGTAGGACACAACAACGAATGCTCAATGCGAATTAGGGATGCTCGATGATCATCAATGTTCGATGATCGTTGATGTTGAAAGCGAAAACATCGATGTATTTACTCTTTTTCTTGCTCTTTCTCTCTCACACTTCCTCACTACTCTTTATCAACAAAGAAATAGATTAAAAGGTTCTTCTTTTCAAAATTACTTTATATTCAGTCAGTTGATAAAAAATATCGAAATATGTAATAATAAAAAATATCGAATTCTTAATAAATTTCGAAACATTTCACTGTATTTTATTTCTTTGTCAATTATTAATGCAAAAATCAGTTCGGTTTTCGATAAATATCGACCATCGATGTAGGGCTTTCGATTGTGATATTGATGTCAATTTCGATGTTTTTAGGATCATTCCTAATACGATTGACCTGCACAATAAAGTGCGCGGCACTTGCACAAATTGAATGCCGCGCTATATTTGGTCACGCCCTTATACTTACATTAAAAATTTCAATAGGAAAATTCATTTCACGCCCATTACCATGACAATTGTCTTTGATAATATTTTCAATTTTATTTATTAATGATTTTATATTTTTTCAGGTTCAACAATAATTGGTCATTAATATACGTTTAAAAATATATAAAATAGAAATGTATTACAGGACTGAGTCATATTACAAAAATATATGGTTCAGATCCAAAAGTTTATTAAAGGGAAAATTTTCCACTTTACAATAATATCGGAGAATAAACAAAAACAACATAATATATGATCCTACCTTTACTTGAGAAATTCTATTTTTATCCACAACTTCCATAATAGAGCCAATACTGAATCTGGACACAAGACTATCATTTAACTTGGTATAGAAATTAGCAGGCAAAGTTCTTGCGCCAGTCAATTGCTTCACTAGAAACCTTGAAACAAAAATAATATAGGTTATGGTTTGTAACTGAAAACTAAAAATGTATGAAACATACATGTTGGTAAATAATAATTTTTAATAAAATTAATTTTATTTACCTAGAAATAGTTTTTGAAAGGATCTCGGTACTTCAAAAACTGAATTTAATAAGGTTATCTTACTTTTTGTTAAAAGTTATATCCAGAATGCTGCCTAATGAAATCACCCACATCAAATAAGACACTTACTTCTTCCAATCGGTGTATTTATCCTCTATACTCCGGGGAGGTATGAGAGGTTTCCCTCGTGTTGCACACCATCCAACAGGATGTACTTCAGAACAGCACAAATTCACCCAGAAGTCTTTTGTATCATCACTGCCAAAGCCTTCATACCTAAGTAGTCCCATATACCCTTTGACCTGCAAAGGTAATATTATTTTAAAGATTAGTTTACATTGTTAATAACAAATATTTGAACTAGATTTTTGGTTTAATTTTATCTAAGACTGGTTTGAAACGCAGGCATAGAGATTTAGTTCTATATAGGTAAGACAGAAAATAATATAATTATAAATAAATACATATCATTATTCAAAAGAAAAACATTTTGTATGGTTATTTGAAAATAATTAGTTAGCCTATTAATTACTGCATGAGCAAAATTAAATTCTAATTAAAATTATACCTGTTATGCAGTAAAAAAAAATAGAATTTGCTACCAATACAAAATAGATTACGATAATAATATATATTATAGGTTATTGAAGAAGATAATATGCATGTGCACATTAAGTGTAACATGAATGTTTAACTAATTAAAAACAAACTAGAGATTAGAGGATGTTTACTAATGCATGTATATTAATGTAATACTAATGCCGTACACAATTAAATTCTTTGTTACAGTTTGTTGCAGGAAATACACTACATTTAAAATATTTGAACAATAAGAAGGGCAAGGGTGGCCATATAATTTTCAAGCAATCCCTTCATGCAACCACTGTAAGGAAAAGAAATTATTCAATAAGGTGATTGCTAGAAGTGCAAAACTACACAAGATATCCCATTACTTAAACATAAAGAATGGAACAAAACAAAGCATTTATAACATATGTACACAATGAATAAGGACACATGAACCATAGTCTAAAGGGACCAAGTCCAATTAAGCCATTTGTCACTTAAACTATGGAATTCTATTAATAGTAATTTTAATAATCACAAATTACCAACCTTTAACACAGTTGCAACCCAAAAGAAGTCATTTAATTTTTCTGAATAGTTTTCTACATCTGTATTTTTTACCTCCACCTTCATGCCCTCAAATGTATTATCCCACATTTCATGAAGTGGAGCATGTTTGAATAAACTGACAGGGGCTGCAAGGAAGTCACAGCCAAATAGTTCATCTTTCCATTCATAACTATTCGCTAGAACAGCAGCTGACTGCTTAATTGGTCCAGCCTAAGGAGAAGTATAAAAATTAGATATTTGTAGTATGTAGTACAGTATTACAAAAAAAAATTTAATAGTTAAAATAAGTCAAATCACCCATGTATGAAATGTTTTACCTGTAAGTCACTATATGTAGCCTGCCAATGCTGCAGTTGAGGCAAAGGTTCCAAGGGTATCATGCCAGCCATATGTTCTGCCCCTTCCATTAGCTTAAATCTCCAATTACAGCACTTTTTCCTTGTGCTACTGGCATGACATCGAAAAGAACAAAATTTGTTGTTTTTTGGGTAGAACTGATTTCTTCTACCAACTCTACCACACAACTCACATATCGCTAAAAGGTAAATATTTCATTCCAGCATAACTAGAAAAATGTATATAAGGCAAGATATTCAAACAAAAATAGAAGTTTGTTAAAATTATAAATGATGATTATAATTAAAAAGCTCAAACCAGACAATAGCATTTAAAATATCAGATATAACTTATAGTAATATTTCTTCCAGGTTTTAAGATAATATATCGTGTGATTTTTATAAGTTTGCGAGAACCTTTTAGTTGCTTAACAGTAAACTTACCGAAACTATCTTTTTCTAAAGGAACTACAGACAAATCATCAACTATTTCATTTACGAAATCGTTATAATTACTCGAACATACATCATTGCCGGCATTGGGATAGGCCATATTCAGCAAGCACAAAATTCACACATAACAATGAGGTTGTAAACAATACAGCTGTCATTTTCCAGAAGCATTGGATACAAAGTCTCGTGGACGGTGGAATTCAACGTTAAACCCTTGATACAATTTTTGGAAACAATAATATGAATGCTGAGTTATACTGATTATATTTCTCTTTCTTACTACTTTCTACCAGACACATTGGTGATTACTGATTTGTAAAATCAACACAAAATCTCAAAATCAAGTTTACAAAGTAACTTCAAACTTCAAGCTAAGCGTACAGAGTACAGATTACTTTTGATACAGAATGTACATTTGATTACAGAATTTTTACAGAGTATGTGATATAAATAAAATTTACAAAACGGTAAAATAGCTTTAAATTAGTACGTAAATAGTTGAAAATGGATCCGGCATAGAACTATATACATTTATTGAGTAGGCATTTTAAAATTTTTGTATAACTTATAAAATGAAAATTAATGATTATCGTATTGAAACATGGCGCTAGAGACAAAATCACTTTTTGAGACGGGGTCCCACTAACGTACCAAAGTCAAAGTCAAAGTCAAGTCAAATCGTTTATTTCAATTAGACCATCTAAAATGGCACTTTTGAACGTAAAAAAAAAAAATATAAAGATGATTCTAGTTCCAATCAAGTAATTTTGTTTTAAGCCTATGGGCTTTAAAGTTTAAACAAATGAGTTTAATAACCAAATAGTGATGTGACAACACAGTACTATACGATCCGATCAATTTTATTGAACTAATAGTAGTTATATAGCTACATAGCCTTAAATGAACTCAAGTACGATTTGTATCTTTATTATTATTAAAATAATATTTGTTCAAGATATTATTATTTCTTTTAAATATACTAAATTTCAAATACTGCATACATATATTATAGGTACCAACTGCAAACCCGATCCCACGAGATCTCGTGCCATTTTTCAAGATCAATCCCGAAATATGGCGGGATCTCGAAGAATTAACGACATTAAGTAGCACGACTCTTTTAGATAATTATAAGAGACTGATTCTGCGAGATTAGACTCACTTATAAAAAAAGAGATGAATCTGTGTCTATAAGTGGCTGCAAGAGGTAGCTTTTTAATGTTTGCTTATAATCAGTGGCGTAGCGTGCCTTGTCGGGGCCCCGTATAAAAATTTTTTGGAGGCCCTTATATGAAGGTAAAGATTTTTCACAAAAAAAAAAATATTGTGAGAAGTAATATTTATTTATCACATAATTTACCCATTTTACAAATAAAAATCGAATTTTAAATATTCACTCTCCTTGCCTTTTTATCGGCAAACTGATTTATTAAATCATTTATAGCTGATGATGATTTTAGTTTTTCTAAAGTTTCTGCCTCTATGGACAATAGTGAGATGTCTGACAGCCGTTCTTGTCCCATCGAAGTTCTTAAGTAATTTTTTATTAGTTTTAATTTTGAAAAACTTCTTTCTGCCGTTGCGGTTGTAACTGGAAGGGTCAAGAATAAAAAGCATGCTGTGATTACCTTTACTGTATTTAGCAGACAGTTTTCCGGAAGCGTTTAATATCTCTTCTTTAGTTTGAGAAATTAATATATCTAAACAGCAATAGTATACATTGACTTTGAAATAGGATTCCGGGTCGGAAATTCTCTCATCTTGTGATAACTCATCAAAAAAACGCTTCGTTATCTTTCGCCTACTGTTTTTAAAAACAGTTGTTACCCCCCACTTTTTTTGCTAAATCTTTGGATTCATTTAGCAAACTATTAAATGAATTCTGATTTCTTAATTGGCACAGTCTATTTAAAAGATTACTTAATAAAATACTAGATTTCTGTAAGTCATTATTTTCATGCTGTAGAGCTTTAGAAACAGGATTAATAATTTCAAATAGTGAAGAAAAAAATGTAACGAGCACTAAGAAATCAAAACTCTCTAAAATATTAATTATACTTTTACATTCTTCACGTTCATCTTTTTTATTTGAAATTAAATTTAGTTGGTACAAAGTTTTCATGATTAGTAAAAATTTTTCTTTACTGCTAATAAAGCGTCGTTCCTAGAAGACCATCTGGTAGGACATACCTTTTTAAGGGTAATCAAATATTTTTCAGATGAATCGTCACTTAGCATAGCCCAGCGTTTTATACTATTGCCAAAAAAAGTATATATTTTTTCTAAATTATCGAAAAAAGTCGATACTTCACGAACATGTCTCGCAGCATCGTTCAAAACCAAGTTTAAAGCGTGCGCAGCACAATGAACATAATCGGCATTTGGAGCATGCTCTTTTATTAGGGTTTGTAATCCTCCATACACACCCGACATAACATTTGCTCCATCGTATCCCTGTCCTCTACATTTAGTCAAATCAATTCCATATTCTTTAGTCAAATTTAAAATGACAGTTTTCAGACCTGCAGCACTGCAATCGGTTACTGCTATGAATCCTAAAAAGGACTCACAGATTTTTATTTCTTTAGGCACATTATCATCATTTTCTGTAACCGAGATATATCGAAAAACTACAGATAGTTGGTCAATTTTTGACAAGTCTTGTGTTGTATCCAGAATTATTGTCAGAAATGGAGCTTTTTTAATTTCTGAGATAATACTGTTCCTAACGTTAGTACCAAGCAAACTAATAATTTCGTTTTGAATCGTAGGGCTTAAATAATTTATTTCACCTTTCGGTTTTAGAAAAAGTTCTTTTAAAGTTGCATCATAGTTAGATAGCAGACGTGAAATTGCCAGAATCAGAATCATGCCCCCTCAAAGGTAGATTACAAGATACTAAAGTAATTATAACATTAATTATACGATGCAGTACATCTCTCCAGAATGTAATTTTACTATCGATTTCACTTTTCAATAGAGTATCGATGGTATTTCCTTGCAACCAATTATTATAAGAGAGTGAGGCACTAATATGCTGCTATGACTTTTCATGGTCAAGAATAGTTTGTGTGAAATTGCTTCTAACCGAAACACCGTTAACCCAAGCAGAGGAGTACGATTTGTTTTGACGATCTGCTAATAACCAACAGAAGTGACAGTACGGTTTGTTTAAAACGTTAGAATAACATAACCATGGTCTTATAATTTTTATGCCTGCCTGATTGAAATATGAATAATAATAAGCTGAAAAAGGTCGGTTATTTTCTGAAACTTTTGGAAATGGTCCTTGTGGTTTAAATGGACCCAATTTAAAAATTATTTTTCGTTCGCATTCAGTTAAATTGTCACCAAAATTTCCTCTATCTGATGAAATTATATTACAATCTGCATTATCTGCAGATATATCAGAATCGTTGACTTGGGGTTCCTCGATTTCTGGATGGACATCCGATAAAGTATGTGCTTGGCTTTCTTCTATTTCCGGATGGATATGTGACGAAGAACATGCTTCAGAAGAATCTAAAAATAAACGAGTAATTGTTAAAAAATAAATACGAATGCTTTGATACTAAACTAAAAAGAGTTATATATAAATAAATAACGTTACTAAGGGTCACAGTTAGAGAGTGTTCAGTTCAGACGCACACAGATTCTACGCGGATTGTGCTCGTACCTATTAGTAGATACAAAATCACCTGCAGCCCGTCCGTGCATTACTATACACCTGCGTGCTATTTAAACGCAGCGCGTAGTGTAGTGGCCATACAAAACGAGAACCCGAAAGCGAGTCTGCACATCTGAAGTTCTCAACACGCAATTAACGATACGATACGGACTGATAAACAAACAACAAAACAAATCGATCCTATAGATAAGTTAGAATTTTGTTTTTTTTAATCAAGGCACGGAACCCTAAAAACAGTATAATTGTGAAAATCGAGGGGGGAGACAACTTTTTGTGACGGACAGATGGACAGACCGAAATTAAAAGATTTCCTTGTTTATCACTACGGGCCCCTAATAAATGGGTTGGGTAGTAGTGTAGTACTTACCTTTCCAATCTAAATCACTCACAGTATCTTGTCTCTGAAAAAATGAAGAAATTTTGGGCACTTTTTTTATAACCTCGTCCCTTTTCTGTTTAATTTTTCTTTTCTCAGCGCCGCTGGGATAATCTCTTTTCTTTCACTCATTTCTTTTACAAATCGTTACTAATACTGCTAAACCAGAAGAACAATATTGTTTGTACTGAATTACAATGTAATGCACATTTATATAAAGCGCGTAAATAAACAGTGGACTGCACTCCGTGGTTTAACATCCAATGCAAAGTACAACAACGTACACGTACATCGCGATATCGATGAAGGATTCCCGGGGATTCCCCGCTGAGTTGAAGATGAAGTAAGTAAAACGGGGAAGTCCCGCAGCCCGCCATAACGATGTAGTGTTGCCAACTTTTGAACGCACGCTTAAGGCGGGAAAAAAAGGAATTGCTTTATAGAATTTTGTCATTTGTAAAATAAAATAAATTAGAAAGTTTTTATTCTTTTTCCTTACACACTTTGGGGGCCCCCGTGGCCCGGGGGCCCCGTATAATTGATACGGCAAATACGGCGGTAGCTACGCCCCTGCTTATAATATTTATAATAGCTTACTCATGCTGGTCCCAACTAGTGTTGAGTCTGCATGGGCATTTTCAGCTTCTGGGTACGTGGCGACTTGTATAAGATGCCGCTTGTCGGATAACACTCTCGATAGTCTTGCTTCTTAAGAAATTATTTCCTAAATATCAAGGATAGATAGAAATAATTCTTGTAATAACTTTTCACCTCTGCGAAGGCTTGTATTAAAATAACTAATATGTTTTAAACATAATCCTATTATTTAAAATAAATTAATCATAGGAGCAGTTATAATAAATATTTTTCTTTTTTATGATATTAATGTTATTAATTAACCGAAAAAACACATCTTTAGTCGTTTTCATCGTGTTTTAGTTGTTCGATTTAAACAATAGATTTTCGCAACTACCCGAAATCCTGCAAGATTTTAATTCTTAATCCCAAGAGATCTTGACTCGAGATTGCATTCCCTAATTGTAGTACTTTAAGTGAATTTTAATATAAAATATGTAACGGACGTGACGTCGCCAGTCACATCCTGCCAAGCCAAAGCCAAGCCAAAGCCATAGCCAATGCCAAAGCCAAGCCATGCCATGCCATGTTGACCAACCCTCCAGTCAACCGCCATGCCTGCCAACCGCAAATGCCAGCCACTTGGAGGGGATGAGCCTATATAAGCCAAAGCCAGCCATATTAAAACCTACTTTTTGGAAGACGTAAAATAAAGAATAAGTGTGCTGTCACTCTGCCATTTTATTTTGACTGTCAATAATTATATTAATTAAAATACTATTATCAATAAAAGAATAGGGCAATTATACTCAGAAGTGGGATGAAACGACATCGACCACAAGTTTTTCGACCTTCTGACGAATCAATGTCGGAGGAAGATGAGGATACTCCTTCACCGCCGGCACGGAAGCTGCTCAAGAATCTGTTAAAAAAAGAAGTAACAAAGGCTTTACGCGATCTTCAAGATGACTGTCAAGTTCCAAATAAGTTACAAGTACATCGTGCTGCATCATTGATTCCGGAATTCGACCCTGACAGTGAAGAGTATACGGTACAAGCGTGGATACGAAAAATTGAACAAATCGGTGAAATTCACGGTTGGGACGATACACTTAAATCATTTTATCTACAAGATAAACTGCGAGGTCAAGCGAAGAAGTGGTATAATCGCCTGGAGAATTACGATTATACGTGGGAGCAATGGAAAGAGTTACTATTACGAGCATTTCCCCGATATCGCGATTATGGAAATATGCTTGAAGAACTATTGCAAAGGAGGAAGCAACCAACTGAGTCAATGACAAAATACTATCAGGATAAAATCGCCATGTGCTTCCGATGCAAGTTGTCCGATAACGCCAGCGTTTCCTGTATTATTCGTGGTCTGCCGTTATCGCTACAGCTCAACGCTCGAGCCTTTCAATGCCAAACGCCAGGAGAGCTTTACGAAGGATTTTTATGTGCGCTTGACGACTACCGTACTTTACCTATCGAAACAAGGTTTCAGAAAAATTTGGTGAGTAAGCCACTATCTCACCTCGATAAAAAGTCAACGCCGCCCAATGCCGAAACTGACCCGTGTCCGAGATGCAAGAAAACCGGTCATTTACTGCGTGATTGCTCCCTACCTGATACGCGTACTTGTTATAAGTGCGGAACTAGGGGACACATTGCTTCACGCTGTACTATGATAACCACGGATAGCAGAAGATCTACTTCATCTGACAACATTAAAGAAGTAAATGTACTACGTCCTTATAATGAAGTATACAAAAAGGTCGTTAAAATCAATGGCACCCACGTTAAAGCATACATTGATACCGGCAGTCAAGTCAACGTGTTAAACGACCAAGTAGCGAACGCGTTGTCACTGGACGTCAAACCGACGAGTGTCACTCTGAAAGGATTTTCCGGTGGACTCTCGACGAGTCGTGGAGAAGTTGAATTTCAATTAGAAATTGATGGTATTACTATTAAATGTCAAGCCTACTTGTCTAGTATCAAGATGGCCGACGTTAATCTTTTGATCGGTCAACCTATCATCAACAGCGAAGGTATGACATTGATAGTTAGCAAAGGTCTCGTCAAGCTTAATCATACTCAAGACCCCGTTTGCGATATTGAGGCTATCGAAGACAATGATCGTTTTAAAGTGGTCACGGTCAACAAAGAGAAACTCCCACCTGGCTCTTCCATCATTCAAGTGCGGGTTCTGGGGAATAAGGTCGGCAACGATGTGGTAACGCCACCTCGACACTACGAGCTGCAGGGGGTGGCCTACTCTCTTCCCTCTACCCTGCTCCGTGGTGAAGATGGTTACATCAAAGTCGTCAACACGGGGTGCGAGGCTATCGTGTGGTCGCCGGGAGAGGTCCTAGCCAGGGCTGAAAGCTGCCAGGAATTCCCGTTACAGCCGTATAGCCAGGTACTTTCTCTTGCTGCTTGCCATACTTTTGCCAATTATAATGCCAATAATTTAGGTCAACCCTTAACTAATAATTTATGTATAGGAGGTGTAAAATTAGACGACATACAGATAGGACCGTTAAATAATAAACAACATTCGGATCTTATCGGTTTATTAATACAATATAAACATTGTTTTGCTATTGGTACAAAAGATTTAGGGTGTACAGATTTAGTGCAGATGAAAATTAAGCTTACTAGTGATCAGCCAGTTTATCGCCAGCCTTATCGATTGTCACATGGTGAACAAGCGATAGTCCAGTCTAAAGTCAGTGAATTATTAGATGCCGGCATTATCAAAGAGTCCGAATCCAGTTATGCCTCCCCAGTCATCCTAGTGAAAAAGAAAAACGGTGACAGTAGGATGTGCGTTGATTATCGTGCCCTAAATGCTATTACCGTAAAAGAAAGATTTCCATTGCCAAACATAGATGATCAGGTTTCGAAATTGGCGGGCAAAACATATTTTACAAGTTTAGATATGACTCAAGGATACCATCAGCTACGCGTGAGCCATGAAGATACACACAAAACTGCATTCATAACACCTCAGGGTCATTTTGAGTACACTCGAATTCCATTCGGTTTAGCGAACGCTCCTTCTGTTTTTATGCGACTAATGAATAAAATAGTTGAATCTGTGGTAAGAACTGAAAATTCTAAGACTCAAGGTAAATGTGAAATTCTGGCATTTCTTGATGATTTGCTTCTACCATCGAATGACGTGCAGTCGGGCTTAGATATTCTGCAAGCGGTTCTTGTCAAACTTGAAGTTGAAAACTTAAAATTAAACATGCGTAAGTGTTCGTTCTTGCAAAAAGAAATCACGTACTTAGGTCATGAGATATCGGCAAATGGTATTCAGCCAGGCGAGTCAAAATTATTGGCAGTTTCTCATTTTCCGACGCCGACCAATGTTCATAGTGTGCGTCAATTTATCGGGTTGTGTAGTTATTTCCGAAAGTTCATTCACAATTTCGCTGTCATTGCCCGCCCTTTAACTGATTTAACAAAAAAAGAAACTTCGTGGATATGGAGAAGTGATCAAAACAATAGTTTTGAACAACTTAAAAAGTGTTTATGTTCCAAGCCTGTTTTAGCTTTGTATGATCCCGCGCTTTCTACGGAAATACATACTGACGCGTGTAAATTGGGAATTGCCGGTATACTTCTACAAAAGCAGACTGACGGTACGTTGCGACCCGTTATATATTTTAGTAGAGTGACAAGTAAAGAAGAAAGCATGTATCATAGTTATGAGCTTGAAACTCTGGCGGTCGTGGACTCTTTGCGTCGTTTTCGCGTATACATCGTCGGGAAAAAAGTTAAGATTGTTACTGACTGTACAGCAGTTCGCGCTACGCTTACTAAACGCGACATCATACCACGTATCGCGAGGTGGTGGCTTTCTATACAAGATTACGATATAAGTGTCGAGTATAGGCCGGGAGAACACATGAAACATGTAGATGCGCTTAGTAGACATCCGGTTGATGTTATGAACGTGAATCGTCTAGAAGTGACGGATTGGTTTTATACGGTGCAATGTCAGGACGATAAGTTGAGCGCAATCGTTAGTCAATTAAAAGATAATACCGGCGGATCGGAAATAAGAAATAATTTCGAAATTATTGATAATAGGCTTTATCGTAAAACCTTGAACGGGAATAGGTTGGTGGTTCCAAATTCGGCCAGATGGAAAATAATGCAAATGCACCATGACGACATTGGTCATGTAGGATTTAATCGCTGTAGCGAATTAATCAAAAACGAATTTTGGTTTCCTAAAATGACAAGATTTATAAAGAAATATGTGACTGCATGTCTTCATTGTGCATACGGCAAAGGGGGCTACGGCAAAAAAGAAGGTAAACTCCATCCAATTCCTAAGCCCTCTGAGCCTATGAGAATGGTTCATATTGATCACATTGGCCCTTTTACTAAGACAAATAAGGGGTATCAATATATGCTCGTTATGACAGACGGTTTTTCTAAGTTTGTAATAGCTGAGCCAACGCGTACTGTCAACTCGATCGAAACTATTCACGTACTACGAAGAATATTTAGTTTATTTTCCTTCCCTGATCACATAGTCACCGATCATGGAAAAGCGTTCACGAGTAGGAACTTTAAGAAGTTTTCGAATGATAAACAGTTTAGACATACTCTCAATGCTATTGCTTGTCCGCGTTCTAACGGTCAAGTGGAACGTACAAATAGGACAATACTGGATGCATTACGAGCCACAGACCCCAGTGAAGCCTCTAGCAATTGGGCTAACTCTTTGCCCGACATAATTTGGGGAATTAACAACACAATTAATAACACCACCACTTACAAACCTTACGACTTGATGTTTTCTCGGGCTGGTAGATCAGTATGTGATGTTGCGGTTCCCGGGCGTGTTTCTGAACCAGTAGAGTCGCGTCGAAAGAAAGCATCTGATAGGATACTAAAAGCGAGTGCTACAATGAAACGTTACTTTGACAAAAAACGAAAATCTGCTCACATCTATAAGCAGGGTGATTTTGTGCTATGGCGACAAGCACCGACTTGTAGCGCATCCAAAGTTAACACTAAACTTGACGACTTGTATTCCGGTCCTTATGTCGTAACCAAGGTAGTAGGCAATGATAGGTACCAAATGAGAAGTATAAAGGGTTTACGTGGATATAAGAGTTTTACTGGATTAGTATCTGCCGATTCGTTAAGACCTTATAAAAGCATTATTACTGAATCTGATAGTGCCAGCAGTTCAGATGAGCAACTTGAAACCGAAGATCTGATTGATTTATTAGAGAGCTAATTGTAGTTGTTGTTCCCACGGGATCAACTGTTTCAGGATGGCCGAGTGTAACGGACGTGACGTCGCCAGTCACATCCTGCCAAGCCAAAGCCAAGCCAAAGCCATAGCCAATGCCAAAGCCAAGCCATGCCATGCCATGTTGACCAACCCTCCAGTCAACCGCCATGCCTGCCAACCGCAAATGCCAGCCACTTGGAGGGGATGAGCCTATATAAGCCAAAGCCAGCCATATTAAAACCTACTTTTTGGAAGACGTAAAATAAAGAATAAGTGTGCTGTCACTCTGCCATTTTATTTTGACTGTCAATAATTATATTAATTAAAATACTATTATCAATAAAAGAATAGGTCAATTATAAATACGATGCCTTTTGAATATTTGGTTAATCACCCAGACTAGTTTTAGTCGGAATAAATATTAATATGTAAACTCGGTGATCGGATCTCGATTTCAATAGCATAAAATATATTTTTTTAATTATACCACATTTTTATTACTAAATATTCCTCATAAGTTATTATAATGTTACAAGTTTAAAGTTATACGTAAATAAAAATTGGCAGACCGAGTTCCTTGTCCACCAAGTTGTAATATTTTCTAGAAACAAAAAGTGCTTCTAGGCGATATGGCTTAAGGGGCTCTTAGACTGGCCATTATTACACAAAAATGTATAGCTGCAAGAGACTATGCAATACTCGGATATATATTTAGTATGGCCGGGATATATTGCCAAATATTGTTTGTATGTTCCAGGCCGGAACGATCGCTTTGCAATAGAAAATACTGCAATATTTGTCAGCCATATTATTGCTGTCTCGCTTTACGGTCTAAGTGCGTCCCATTTTCATGCTACGTGAAGTTTGCCACGATTCGTTCGATTAGCGCTATGTTCGTTTGTTTATTTCTGTTTATTATGGTTATAAGTACTAGCCAAGCCCTGTATGTAGACAAAATAATGAGCCATATTATACTGTTGCAGAAATATTGCCTAGATATACATTTTTCAGCCTGCATTAAAATGTTTTTTCAGGATAAACGGCAATGATGTAGCCACATATTTGATTAAGAGTGTAGCCCGTGTAGACCCCTTAACACCCCAAATGCGAAAGATTTCGCCGCAATTTTGTTAAGCAGTGTACAGATACCGGCAAACATCAAGATGTTTTTGTTCAAGAACAAATGTACTTGCCTGCGCAGAAGCGATTTTTAGGTATCACTTAGCGGCGGGCGTTGGTGCGCGGCGGCAGGAGAGTGACGTGTCGATCGCGTAATTGGTAAATCAGTTGACGTTTGTGTCCCAGATGCGCAAACTTTCTCCCACTCCCTTGAATAATGCTCAAGAAGTTTGCCGGTATCTAAAGGTAAAGGGTCTGTGTATTGCTCCGTCCGAGTCAACAAATTAAAATTACCTTATCTTACATATTTATTTATAAACATCAAGGGGTTACATAAAATGAACATTAAGACTAATGTATGAATAGTTACATAGCTTTCGATCAAAAAATGCCATTTTTTATATATATGCTAACACATACTGTATATGCTAATACAAAAATGAGTAATTATGGTGAAACATCAGTTATATGTAGACGAATATAGTGTTTTGACATCAACGTTATATTATTTTAGAAAGAAAAATTAAGAACGTTTTTTTTGTATCAGAATGTTTAAATTCATTAAAATACCAAATAAGTATATTATAGACATAGATTTTTTTGCAAACACACAATGGAAATGACTAACATTTAATAAGTGCCTGATTAATCATACGATTATATAAACACATTTTTCGTAAATTTGTTGTTTTTTTTTTTTTTTTGTATTTTTAATTCTTATATAAATTAAACAAAGAACATGCGGCTAAAATCGAGCATCCTGTTCAAAACTTGAAGCCGTTGTGGTCTCAGCTCCAAGTCTCTGTTGTTGAATCTGTCTCCGCTGTGAACAAAAAATAACCACTTTCTATTTCAACATATATTGTGAATATCAGACACGAAAATAAAATATTAATTATAATTTTATGTTTGTTTATGGGAGCGTTCATGTATTACGTAACATATTTTGGGAGGGGGGGGGCCTTTTATAAAACGTTACGATGCGGGGCGGGGATTGAATTACGCGTTATTGCAACGTTACGGCGAGTTACATGGGGGGGGTCAATAATCTCCAAAAATTGCGTAACGTAATACATGAACGCTCCCTATGTTATATGATATGGCCGTAACTTTTTACCGGGACTAAAGTTTAGTGTTACATGTAAGACATTTTTCAATAGACAGTGTCCTTATAAAACAGTTTTTATTACCCTGTCGGTAACACTATAGTTTGTGGTCATGTGGTCGAACTGGCTGTGCACCAATGTATTTATATTATATTTCTACAGATAGCAAAATTTGAGGTGGAAACCCTAAAAGGGTTCTGTTCTAGCTCTGAATTATTATGTATAAATTACTTACGCTGTGAGATGTTTGGCACGAGTACAAGCAAGATGAGCGTAGTACGTGGGCGTGGGATATGACACAGAGCGAGTACAGCGCGAGTATAAATGACACAGATAATAGGTCAACTGCTCTACTTCCTCTATGGGAATGTTGCCATCGTTGCGCACCGCATAATAACGTGTTGGACGGGCCGTGCCTTTTATTGCTTGATGGGACACCTGAAATAAATGTTTGACAAATTTAAAATTGAAAAATATCTAAAAAAATAATATTATATAATAATACATTAAATAAACAAATCACATTAAGTGTAACATAAATTCTATTATTATTCGAATGTTGTTTTTAAATTATGTCCAATGCCGTAGCATCTTCCGTGGGCAACTTCATTCTGTTAATTTTGTGTCACGTGTTCACTCTCATCAATTTTTCATAACGCGCCTAAAGAAGTATAACTTCAAAAATGTTTGCTAAGGAAAACCATTACCATGTAAAAGTCCATTTCGCTGTGGTGCACAATGTCCTTATCAACGACTGTTCCCGGCAGCACGTTCTGTGCGTTGTTCGCGCCCAAAAAGAATCTGAAATTTAACGCAGTTATAACATAATCATAACATATTTGTATATATTTATACGTGTTTTAAACCTAATCACATTTATTTCTCTATTTAAAGGATATCAGTGCCAATATGCATATTAAATTAAAAGTACAAGGAAAACGTTAATAATTAAGAAATCCATTTTTCCATACAAACAAATTTAGGTAAAATCAATAAATTTAACACCCTTGCAAATTCATTCATACTAGACATAGAAGAACGGCAACGCCGCACATTAGCGTGCTAGTTCGGTAGGATGAAAAGAATACCTATAGTCCGGTCAATTTAGACATTCAAAGGTACATATAGTCCCAACAAGCTGAAAATCAGTAAAATTGTTCAAAACATAATTATAAATAATATTTAAAAGTTCCCCATCATTCCCGTGTATGGATTTTTTTAATTCAATGTTAAAGGTAAAAAATAAATTGTTTTTCGCGATTTTCAGGAAAGTAAAACTATCTTTGATCAAAATTGTAGATCATAAAACTATCTATAAAAAATTCGATTATAACAATTACGCTTAGAAGTTATAGAAACGCGACTTATTATTATATTATATGTTAAAAAGATCCGTTGTCTGTAAAGTCGGTTTACTGACGATAGTTGAACGTGACAACGTCATAAAAAAATATTGATGGGATGGTTGCATTTTTCAAAAAAAAAAATTAAATTTTATTTGTTTGATAGGTATTTTGTATGGATATAGAGAAGGAGGTAAATGGAAATCACAATTGAATTGATCAAGTTACATTTATTTGTACGCATAAATACAATTATGTCAATTTTAAATGGAACGCCTCAGAGCGAGGTAACGACTCAGAGCGAGGTAACGCCTCAGAGAGAGGTAACGCCTCAGAGCGAGGTAACGCCGCATGAGTCATGTTTTTTCGTGCGTGCAGCCGGCTCCATCGAATTATAAGACGTTGTCACGTCAAAAGATCCGTTTAGAAGAATTTGAGTGGTTTGCTTTCAAAGGTAGACGCGTTCATTTTCACATTGTATAATATGCACGGAGATAAATACCTAGTGTGATGTCGCTTTTGTACTAAAAGGAACAAAACCTCAGGCTTCACATTGCACCCAGCAAGACGTTCATACGCCCTGTAAACAGCTACCAGCTCGCTATTCATAACCTGAAAATATTTCATATAAAAATGTACTGAAAAACTTTGAAATATCATAACTTTAATAATAGCGGGAGATTCACAACGATCAGAAATATTTAACAGGCTTTCGAATACTTAAAATTTTGTAACAAATACAGTCGACAAATAATTAGAATTTTTTCCGGACCTTTGAAGCATACTCGATAAATTAAATAAAAACAATGTTAATTCATCTGCTACTATATACTTTTACACAAGACTTCATTATTTACACTGCTAACTTTTACTAATATTATTTTTTCTACTAATTATTCTAAAAGACCCAAATAATCTCTAACATTAAACAAGTTAATACCTGAGCGAATTGTCCTTCAGAAACCCCGTCACGGAAGATGAATATTTTCTTCGGGATCGTGTTTTGATGCTTTTTGTAGACTTTCAAGTGTTCCACCATCATATTTTCAAACTCGACGATCACTTCTTTCTGTAAATACAATAAAACTTGACACTACGGATTTGAATTTGTAGTGCTAAATTATTTTTTTCAAAAACAATTTTACTTTATATTTCGACACTATAATATTAAAAGTATATAATTTTTTGAGTAATGTGTTATATTGGTTCGCCATGATTGCCGCTTTTGCCTTAATAAAAACGGACTCAAATTTGTGCCCGTTTTATCCACAAAAACACGGTTATTCTTCTTTTGTCCTTGTTTTATTAGGGCCATCAACATTAAAAGTAGAACAAAGTTCATTACTTCTGTCAAATTAACCTACAAATATCCACGAACTTTAAATTATGAGTAACGAATGGGCGACATGAAAATTTACGAAAATAAAGGACAACTTTATAAAAACTTACCTTTGGAGTTTGAATACTCAATTCGATATTGTACTGGAAGCATTTAGTATCAAACGATGCGGTCACTGCTGCAATACTTGGTATGTCCGTCTGTAATACAAAATAGTTAAAGATTTTATTTTGATCAAGACATAGAAGATGTTGATCAAAATATCTATATGCGCGTATCTATAACAAATTAGGGTACCACAATTTTAACTGATTTATTAGATTAAATTAGTAATGCCATAATTATTTACACAATTAAATTTAAAAAAATCTATAGTCCATAATCCTCTAATTAAAAGCGTAATCACGGAATGTATTATGTCCTACACGTACCCGCTATTGTTTACGTTTGACGTATTTATACGTCCGGCTCGGTCAACAGGTTAATATGGCTGTTGTTTTTTTAATCAATCTATGAATGTAGCGCTTTCATTGCAAATAAACGATTTATTTGTGAGCTTAAAATTTTGAAGCTCCCGTAACCGAGAATTTTTTAAATACCTATTTAATTCTATAGTTTAGTATTATTTAATGCATAAATTTTTTACAATGTTCTTACCTGATCAGGCGATGGATGGGTCACATCAGCTCCGACGACCATGACACCACCGCTTCTAAGGCAAGCCGGCTCGGACGAAGTGCCAATGGTTTGATTCACACCCATCAGTTTTGAATTAACCTAAAAATAAACACTGAACTAAGAACTGGCACTAAATGTAAAATTAGAATTTAATATGTATTTCTTTTTTGACGTTATGTATTGTGTTACCTAAATTAATAAATTATTTTGAATTTGACATGAGAACTGCTGCATTTTCTTTGTCTTGGGTATGGTAGGATACAACAAGTTATATCCTACGAGTGTACGAGGTAAGGAGGGACCTTACTAGAGTCTGGCTAATTAAAGAAGATAACGAAAAAGCGCGGCAAATTAAAAAAAAAAAGTATGGTATCCCTAAAAGTTTGATATCTTTTCTGGATTAAACTTACTTGATTTTATTTTATTATTTTTTACATTGATAGTAACTTTATTTCTATGAAATTAAATACTATACGTATTTAGTCTTTTACTATTGATACTTAAAATGACTAGCATTGCATGGAAAACTAATACTATATGAATTATAAAACACAACTTTATTTGGAACAATCAAAATAAGAATTCAATAAAATCTATAAATCAAAGTTTAGGCTAGGCTATTATACCTGTTAACTATTCGGAAATAATATATAATAGAATTAAGAATGAGTAATTGCATGAAGTATCAAGACAATAAATCATACTAAATTAAGAAATTCAATAACATTCTTTGTTGCCATCCAAAAGTTTTCAAATAATTCAATTATCTTCTTTCATTAGCCAGACTCTACTATCACACTATATTCTTATGATCCTTAGATATATAATCCTGAAATGTTGGAGAGACTGCAAGTGCCATATAATTTAGCTTTGACTTTGTAAGCTGCCGAAATGTACGACATTTACGCGCGCCTTGTGAACTGAATACTATTACATGTGAGACTTATAAATAGTTGCACACTGGCTGAATTGACAAGGATTGCATTATTTATAATTTGTTATAAAAAGGTGTAGGTTTTATGTAATATTATGTTCTTAGTTTCAATTTTGTATTAATAAGATTTCTATTGCATTAGTATTAAGTTAGTGTAAGAATAGTAAGGAAGTAAATAGGTTCAGATTCATAGTTTAAAATAAACTATTTTGTTGTTTCTAAGTAAGGAATTTGGTGTCTCGAACGAACTGAACTGGGCTATTTGATTATGCTATTTGAGAATAACACAAGAAACACTCTCTGTAATAGGGGTAAGGCAGACAAGACCACGTGGATAGTGGGGTGCTCTGACTCGGTTTTGGGTACTTTTTGAATTTTTTTTGCAAAAAAGGTCATGTGCCATCATAACACTAGTTATGGTGCTGAGAACTCATGACAAAGTCATTAAAAAAAATCGCTGGTGCCGCGATATATTTACCAAAACAACAGAATCAATTAAAATTGAATTAGTTAAAACTAAAAATGTATTAAATAAAAATTTTACCTTTAGCAATATATTTCGTATGGTCTGCTCATTCATACGCCTCTCAGCTGTCTGATCCTTAATGCACTGTGTCAAAATACCCACTTCCAATTCCGCCATTTTTTTCACCTAAAACAATATGGAAATAGCAATAAGACAATAGAACATAGCCATTAAATTAGTTTGACGTATATTCTAAACGTCAAAATCTAGTTTGATGAGCTGTCAAACCAATTATTTCTGTATAAAGTTTGACATATTTGACATACTCAAGACGAGATTGTGACCTGAGATATGAAATACGGACGTAACTATCCTTTCTTAACATTTCATTCGCTATTTGATTCACCTTAATACTACGTTCTAGTGTTCTAGAATGTGTTTCAAGTAAAAACGTTATTTCTGTAAAGGGAGCATTCAAGTATTACGTAACGAATTTTCTATTTGTAAAACGTTACCATGCGGGGCGGGGATTGAATTACGCGTTATTGTTAATATTATTTTCGACTTTCCAGTACTTTACACCACATAATGGTAACTTTTAGATATTGAAAAAGTCACTGGGTGGTCACGAAACGTTTTACTATTGGGTACAGAAAAACGTTACGGTGCGTTATATGGGAGGGAGGGTGTCAATAATCTCCAAAAATTGCGTGACAATACTTGAACGCTCCCAAAGTCACCTTAGGCCTAGTACGAGTTCCATACCTTTTGGTAGATATCCCTAGAACGTGAACTGACGATGACAAATAGGAAGTTGATGCGACTGTCAGCCGCTCGACGGAAGATCGTGAGCAACTCATGTGCCCTCACATTGAAGTTGGTCAAGGCTGGATCTTGTACCGACATACCCATTTGGCGACCTACGCCTTGAATCTGAAAAGGATAACCAAAATATTAACATTTCAATTTATTAGTGATTAAAGAATCTACACAAATGGTTATTTTTATTTCTGTTAAGTTTGGCTTTGACACGTTCATTAAGCACAAACATTATACATTAATTATTTTATGAACCTGCCAAATCAGTGCTATAAAAGATGGCGTCCAACCAATGTCAAGTTTTTGAAGTAAAACTTCTTTAGGAGCATGAGGGCAAATTTTTTACGGATGAAACTTCACGAAGATGTGCAGCATCTTTCTCGAAGAAAAGGGAGAGAGCGATTGAGAGAGAGTGAGAAGGGTGAATGAAGTGAGAAGGTGAAGGCCTTATAGAAATTCTATTTTTAAAATTAAAATTTCGTAAAGAGAATTTATGAAATATTAGATTTTATGCAAAATAATTTATTGAAATCTCAAATGACGAATTGTAAATTAAAATATGTTTTTACTATCGAAGAAATAAATTTATAAAATTAAATTAACTTTTTATGTTAATTTACGGCACTTAATATTTTAATGACAATTAAATTCATTAAATTCCTAACATATGTTCCTTTTTATCTCCCTGTAAGTCTCGGAAATCTAAAGTTTTAGATTTGTATAAATAAGAACAAGAGTTAAAAATTAGTTTGCCAAAGAAGTTTCACTTCTGACATGTGTTCTTTGTACACGCACACTTTTTTTTACGTGTGTATCATTTAACGTTTGTGTTTTGACCAATTTAACCTCCAAAATTAAGAACAATTTGTTTTAAAGTTTTATACCTTCTTAATGATGTCATGGCATTGCAGTCTATTAGGATCAGTGTCGACTACCAAGAAGCCCCAAGACTGAAGAGCACTGGCCTTCAGCAGTTTTTTTGCCATCCAAACTCCGCCCCTGTATTTTAAATATAACTCATATATATATAGGAAATGGCGTTGTAGGAGTATTCTGGTAAAACCGATTTAACAATTCAAAAACTAGGAATAGGAATTTAATAAAGCCATTTAGTTTAATTTTGTAACAACACAATTGCAAACAGGTGCACAGGTTAGCAGAACTTATTATGGTCTAGACAAATCATTATAAATTTCACACTACAGAAATACAGCTTAGGGAAATCTCCGCGTTATATGGGAGACGAAAATCGCGTTGTTGGGGTACTGCGTCATAGGGGGATTACTGTATATGTATTGGCTTTAAAAATGTACCAGCTGCCCAACGAAGTATTTCCGAACTAATTTGGCTTTCAATTCTTAAAAGGCCGGCAACGCATTGGCCCTATGGCTATATGAGTGTCTATGGGTGACGGGTCATCACTTATGAGCCTACCGTTATGTTAAAAAAAAGATAAAGCCCTAATTCGAGCACCTAATGCCTTTTAATAAATTTAAGAAATGTATTAAAAAAAACTGTGTAAAAAGGCTTACTATAAAGTTAACAATTATCTAGTTGATAAAAGGGCCTGGGACTAGTGCTAGACAGGTTGCGTCTTATTAATTTGCGATATTTGTTTTAAAATAAGTGTTGTTTGGCATAGTCATTTTGTATGATGATTTGCTATTTAAAAAGAGTACTGAGAGTTCCCTGCCGATGAGTAGGGATGTCTACCGATTCAAATTTAATGACGTGGAAATGTTGATACTTGTATCTTATATTTTTTTAAATGCAGTTTTACTATTGTTATTTTTCATCTTATTTACTATTCCTAACTTCTCATAGTTATGTAAATAATGTAATAAATTATAATAACAACAGTTTGATTTAAATATTGGTTTACCTTGGTTTTACGGTACCCTCGCCGACATTCAAAACTGGCGCATGCAAAACTTTCGCTTCAACTTCGTAGAAATTATTTGAGATCTCCAATCCAAACTCCTTGAAATATTCGTTACTCGAATATTTCATCTGAAAAACATTAACTAAATTCTTATATATCTTTATAGGAAATAAAAAAAAATATGCTCAGAAACATTGTAAATGTTAAAACACTAATAAAACAATATAAAAATCAGCTTATAAATGGCAATTTTCTGTGACTTACGTCTCTAATAACCTCTTCGATCTTTCGCTTTCTGTCACTGGGTGGTGTTGCCGCTTCACGGACCATTTTCGCCAGTTGCCTGTCATTCAACTGTCTATTAAGGGCCTATAATAAAAGAGATGAAAAAATAAACCGAGTTATCAATATTAACATTTGAGTAAAACATTATATTAATTTTATAATATAATAATCTATTTTAAAAGTGTGATTATGCAGTAATCTTAATATATATATTTCTTGTGTGCGTGTGTATGTGACTGAACTTCTCTCAAACGACTGGACCGATTTTGATGAAATTTTTTGTGTGTGTTCAAGGGGATCTGGGAATGGTTTAGATTCACAAATCAGCCCGGCAGATGGCACTGCAGTCGGTACTTTCATACTTTGCTTAATATCCTAATCGCTTTAAATATCATGCAGGACAACGTCTGTGGGCTCCACTAGTAAAATAATATAAGAATTGACTTTAATGATATGATTGAAAATTTAATGTAATACATATATATAATTCGACAATTTAATTATGTAAGACAAATTTGCACGCCATTATGTGTTGCAGATAAAGGAGAAAAGCCTTGATTGTACGGGATAGGCTTTCTCATCAAGAAAAAACCTAAAAGCATTATGAACATCACAGGAATTTCAAATCGTGTCGCTGTACTACAAATGAAATACGACAATTAATTACTATGAAAAATTCAGGCGAACGCCCCAATAGAAAAATCGTCCGTAGAAGCAATCACTTCATTCTTCTAAACCTAAGAAATAGTTTATAAGCTAGCCTAGTTGGAGAACATGTTCTTCTGATTGGAGATTTTAACGCTCAGGTAGGACAAACAAATACGAGCGACAGTTTGGTCATGGGAAAATTCCGCTATGGAACTCGAAGCGACGGAAGAGAAAAGTTATTCGTGAGACTGTGAGAGTACCTACCTGTCCAAATGAAATTTGTAATAACTCCATTGGGTAGTATATCTCTTTATCTCTCGGTCCAACCCAAATACAATTAATGTTTGGATAGCGAAGCCTGAAAAACAATCCATTTATAAATGACAAACAATTTGAAAAATACTTAATGTTTTGAACATATAGCAATCATAAGACACACTAACAATGACAACTAGACAAGCACAAAAACAAAACTTACTAATTACAAGCATGCACTGATATACATATTAGCAAGTAGAGAGTTAGGGGCCTCATAGCCTAGCGGTCTTATTAAGTGGCAGCTAGGTGAGGGGTACCGGGTTCGATTCCCGGTTTGAGGGCAAGTTTTAATTTAATTTAAATTTGTTCTCGGCCTTTGGGAGGGTTGTGCGGTACCGGGCGAGTGCTTAAACCGTACATGGAGGACACGGTCGAATTTCTAAAGACAAGCACGGATTATAAAAAAATCCTATACTTGACGCTGGCTAATGCACAAATCGTGCCAGAGCCATTAAAAAAAAGTAGAGAGTTAAAAAATACATTTCAAAAAGAAAAATGACAATTTTTTTTTTATGATTGGACAATTCACACCAATTGACCTAGTCCCATGCTAAGCTGGTGAAGCTTGTGTTATGGGTACTAAACAACGGATATACATTATACATACATATTATATATAGATAGACCTAACACATATAAATATATATTTAAACACCCAAGACCTAAGCACAACCCCAAATGCTCATCACATCGATGTTTGTCTCAGCTGGGGATCGAACCCGGGACCCATGGATTCGCAGTCAGGGGTACTAACTACTAGACCAATGAGCCGTCAACAACAATTACTGATCAATAATAAAAAAAAAAAAAAAAATATATATATATAGGTGAGATTTCAAACAACCTTATGTTAACGTTTTAAATCAACAATTTACCGATATCCCTTTTCAGTGAAGTATTGCTCCACGGTAATAGTCCGGCTACGCCCCGAATCGTCTTGCATTGTGAATTTGAGGACGTTCGGGGGCGGTTTGACGTCATTACAAATAAATTCACGCTTTCTGAATCCGGTTTTAGCGTCACCAATTGTTGCCACCACCTAAAAACATTTGACATAAATAAACAACCCAAATACCTTTTGAGTATTATTAAATATTGTTGCCATTTTAAAATATTAAATATAAAAATAATTAAAGGAACGTACGTAACCCCTTAAATAGAACCGAGTTATGCACATTTTGTACAATAGCCATAAGCAATTCTTCTAAGAGTGTTTTTAATTAATTATGTAATTATTAATATTTATTCTTCCCTAATACATTAGGACCAAAGTATTAATAACTTATCAATTGCACCGTCTATTAGCTGTAAAAATCAAATCATCTATTTTAAAAACCTAAGGTTAGAAATTAAGTCGGAAACACACTTACGTGTCGTGGCGTGTCGTGACGCGCCACGCCGTAAGAAGAAGAAGCATATTGGTTTCATACATTTAATATGATTAGAAACATATTTGCATGTTGTGTCGTGTCGCAACACGTTCTGTCTAATCATATTAAAATATGCTTCTGGCGCGTCACGACACGTAAGTGTGTTTCCGACTTAAGGTATTCTGCTAACATCATGAGAGTACCGGCATATAAACTAAAATTTACAAAAGATAATTTTTCAATATATATATATATATATACCTGAATTTATTTATTTTACATAACAAAGTCATCATTGTATATTTAAAATACTGTCTTTTAACTCTAAAGCTTTATAAAAAAATATAAAATATATATATACCCTTAAACCACGGAGAAATTTCACAAACAGTTCGCATTCCATTCTGCGCTGCTTTTCAATAGGACAGGTGGCATCCAAACGGAAGTCATTTAAGTATGTGTCCACTAAAGGCTGTGACTTCGGAAAACCTTTATGGGCAACTGAAAACAATTTTAATTTTAATGTATATCTTCACGGTATAAATGTCGCAGCCTAGTTTAATTGGCCGTTCAATTAACAGCCTAGCCTCTTAAATAAACAACGCCGTTTAACAAACGGCCTGAAATATATTTAGCCCTTTGATCAAACAGCTAGGCATCATCATTACTTGCCTAGCCTGTTGACTGGTAATTTAAATTTAGCCACCTAGCGTCGAAGCTCTTCAAACTGCCAATATGGCGTCGGCAAACCACAACTTTGGTGGTATTTTACCAAAGTTTAGTGAAAAATAGTACAATAGAAGAGTGTGGGTGACAATAGCCGTGAGGTGCCAGCTAGGAATAGCACCTCCCCATCGTATTATTCTTTTAACTATATTAGGGTTATTAAGGCGTAGGGCAGTAACGATTCTATCGCCCTCTGGTGGGATAATTGAGCAACAACTATTTCTCCAACAGCTCCTTAGTCCAACTAGTGGGAGTTTCATGCTTCATTAGCAGCCGAATGAGCCGACACGGTCGGGTAAATACCACATTCCCACTGAAAACAAACGTGTAGTGGCCCAAACAGGATGTATGTCGCGTTTCGCTACGGCTGAATATTTGAGGCCGCTAGTTAAACAGTGCTGTTTACTTAGGCTGTTAATTGAATGGCTAATTAAACGAATTGGCTGCGATAGAAATGTAATCTTAAAAAAATGACAGATATCGAATACCTTCAAAGTTTATTTAAGAGGTACTTAATTCCAAAAATGCGTATTCATTCGATTTTAATCAAATTTGGAGGGTCCAATTGGAATATATAGTATCTAATAGTTTCTGACAAACTAGTGAATAATCATACAAAATTCACGCCTAAATATAAAACGATGATTAAATATTATTTTTCGTTTATGATTAATTTTGTCATATATAATCGCCAATAAGTCACTTATAATGTAAAAATCAACAGCCAAGAAGCCGAATTTCTTTTTAATTTTTATACCAAATTTGATTATAGATTTGAACTGCAGGCAATTATCTCAAAAGCAAAGTGTAATTTAAATTACTGACTCAGCATTATCGTTAAGGACTCTAACACGTGCTTAAGGGTTATAATCTATGTAGTTCTTACCATCTATATTGATAAACGGCCTGGAAGTAAAAATGGCCGACTGGAACAGACCAGTCCACATTTCAAGACCATCTCCAAGGTCGATAGGGTTCCTGGGGCGCATGAAGTATTGACGGCTGGCCTGCAAAATAAATAAATAATACTGTAGAGTACATTAATTATAGTCACGTGCTAAGTCGTTGAAGTTACTACTCCAAATTTACTGGCACTGTCTTAAGCATTTGAAAATACTATGAATTCAAAAATCAAAAATCATTTAATCATATAGGTAACACATTGTACACTTATGACTTGTCAGTAAAGAAATACATATTAATGCTTCTAATTTTACATTTAATGCCAGTTCTCAAATCAAGGGCGTAGAACGGAAGAGAAGAACTGGCAATATACTCTCCGCCACTCTTTTTAATCGCCATGTTTTTTTTACACAACGTTTGTAAGGAGCTGCAACCATTACACCATGTTCCACATGACATCTTAAGTATACTACTACTACTACTAGTAATTAGAGATCAAATGTCCCTTGCTGAACGCGTAAATATTTATAATTTATAGCTTCTTCTAGATCCTGGATCTTTAAATTTTAGTCCTTCGAGCCGGATTAATCTTCTTTGAAATCTTCTATGAAGTATATAAAGTGTAAACATTTGAAAAAGTTCAGTAAAAATAGGTTGCTTGCATATAATGAACTATAATTTTAATTAAGCTAGCTAAAATGTTAGCTTGATGTTACAAAGTTTTGCTATAAAGATATCGTGAAAAACCGAATTGATAAATGTGAGGTTAACTTTACCATAATAAAAGTAAAAACATACCTTTACATACTTTTCGAGGGCTCCGTGACGCAAAACAACATCAATACAATGAATTGCCTCCGTTGGTGGGGCTAACGATGTCCCATCACGCATATAACTGAAATTGAAGCCCGATATATATTTATTTTTGCTTACAACTTGAGCCAGGTTTAGGTCTTGAAACAATTTGAGCAACCACTTAGGGCGAGGCCCCACTACTGCGTTGCGTCGCGTCGTCGCATCGGATCGACGCATTGTATGCCTATTGCCTGCGTTGCGTCGACGCACGACGTCGCGACGCAAGAGCGTATACACGCCGTCGCGTCTGCGTCTCAGCCTTCGCAATGGACAGACACAAACGTGTTCTTTTGTTGATTTTATAACGCCACCGCTAAATTAAACTTAGAAACCATAGAAGATTCTGGATATCTCCTCTGATACCATTAAGAAATAGTGATCACCCTACCCCCTGCTTCGTCTCTTGTCCGTCGATCCGTTTAAACGTAGCGTAGTGGGGCCTCGCTCTAAGACTTAGGTATAGGTCGGTTAATCGAAAGCTGGCGCGTTCACAGTACTCACACTAATGCAATTTCACTATACAGTATGTTTAAAAATATGAATTTTTTGCCAAGCTATAAATTTTAGTCTACTCTTGTTTTAGTAAGGTTGGGTGGGTTGTAAAATAAATAAAAATGTGTCAAATTCATATAAATATTATGTGCATACGACGGTGGATCCAAAAGTTCTAAGCCCGACCAAGAACGTAAAAGAGTAGTTTGTTTAAATAATTTTTCATTTTTCGACATAAGCTCCATCTAGCTTAAAACACTTCACTTTTACTTCACTAACAATTCTTTCAATACTCCTCTTAGAAACCCAAGTCGCATCTGATGTCAAATTAAAAATAACATTTTTTCATTAAACTGCTTAAAATAATTAAAAACATTGTGCACCATTTCACGAGATTGTCCTGGTAATGTTTGAAAAAAGATCAACATGTACAGTAAACATAAACAGTAGCATAAACAAAAGCAAAACAATAACTGTCACTTTTATACTCATAAGCTTGACCGAGCGCGAGAGAGACGGACAGTCTTTTCATGATGTATTTGTGATTGTATGTCAGTTTGACATCACGCCTCGCGCTTATTCACAGACACTACACAAGCACAAAGTGTAAATGTGTTGAAGCCGCCAGCTTTAAATAACATACCAATATCTATTTTATACATGTCCTCTTTGAGAAATGTACCCACATCTTAAAAATTACTGAACCTGTTTGCTTTGGTGAAAATTTGACTTTTCTCAACGTGGAGGACTTTCTTTTGACAATTCCAAAGAAATTTGTGGACAAACAAATAGATGATCATATTTAAGTATACAATTCTAAGAATGCCACACACATTAGTCAAACTGATAACTAAATTTTTACTGACCTTTTATTGCTTTAATTATTATAAAATTAAAAAAAAAAGTATTATAATAATTATAATAGGCTAAAAAGGTGAAAGTTTTAACTCTTGTCGAAAGTCAACTTGAAGTTTTGGCATAATTTATTGCTATCTTGAAACAATCAATGAAATATTAAAACACCTGTAATTGCAAGTAAAATGTGTTTTATATATGATTTATCCAATATATACAGGGTGGGCAAAAAGTCGTGGATCAAACGCAACTAGGGGATAGAGGAGGTCATCAGCTGCAAAAAATTGTTCTACGGGAGGTCGTTGAAGTTAACCCCCTGCAGAGTTTAATTTATTTTGGGTTTTCATAAGAAAATTTCAATTTTCTTATTTAATTTCGAAAAAATCTACATCATGTATCTTTATCATATTATCCAATAGATTGGTACTGACGACTCCTTGCGTTAGACATGCTATTTATGTAGAAAAAAAGGCAATTTTCCTATAAAAACGCAAAATAAATTATAACTCTGCAGGGGTTGAGCTTAAGGATGTCCCGTAGAAATTTTTTTTGCAGCTGACCTCATCTATCCCCTAGTTGCGTTTGATCCACGACTTTTTGGCCACCCTGTATAGCAGTCTTTACTTATAATATACTATCTTAGTAATACTTTTGAATAGAATTTGAAGCATAATTTTAATCTGAAACCATTGTTTTGCTTAAACATAGCACACATAACCATCCATAACTAAAAACGATGGACTAAAATCAGTGTTTGTTGGTACAAGGTATTTTCTATGTAAGAAACAAAAAACACTGCATTATCCAAGTTTAGAGAGGCAAACTTAGAATCATAAGCTACTATTTAAAAATTAAGTACATACGCAATTTGATATTAGTTATGAAATAAATAATACCTCAAAATCGTGCCCAAGTCCACCTTTCCAGTCAATTTCAATCCAACTTCATATTTGCATGCTTTGCCATTGTCATCCTTGATTTCAACCTGCAAAAGAGAAACACGTTATAAAAACGCATTCATTCTTAACGGGACTAAATTAAAAAAAAACTTAACGGAACTAAATTAATAATATATATTTAGATATGCGTTACAATGTGTAAGATCTGGGAACCACTTTAAGTAAGAAATACTTGTGTCAGGGTTCCCAGCCCTTCCATAACAAACTTAAATATAAATACCTTAAAATATATTTATATATAATCTAAAAAGAAACAAATTATTGTTCTAGATAAAGCACTGTGGTAATGAAACTGTCTAGACATGTGATAGACACAGCCATATACAGAAGCTATTTATTCTAAGATATATAAAAAGATTTTTTGTCAAATTTAAGCATAAACAAATTTTAGGTACAATATACAGTTGATTTCCAGAACATAGTTGGATACTAGACACTTATTAATCCCTTTTTTTAAATATATTTTTAAACCTTTTAAATTACATGTCATATCAATTATTATTGAATTTCATAATCAATAGTCAGAGTTCTTGTTAGCAAGAAGATCCATTACTTTGTATTTTGTAAAAATATAAAATAAAGTAATGTGTTTATGTTATTAGTGACTGGCTGGCGTGCTAGACAGACTTAAAGATCTAAGTATAAAATCTTACCTCAGTCATAAACCGTTCATCTGTAGTTAAGAGAGGTTTTAGTGCGTAGCAATTCTTCATTTGGTCAAATGCAACTATATGTTTTGGAAAATGCTTCATTTTCATTGCTTGGAATACTCTCGCCATAAATTTTTTTGGTTTGTCAGGATTGATAGCGACGTCGTAGCGATGCTAAAATAACATAATAAAAATAAAGTTTACAGAGTTTCCCCAGACTATGGGACCTTAACGGAAAGTACCTTAAATATTGTAGATAGGTTATTTTGCCGAAAGAAGACTTTATTTCATTTTGAAAAGTATTACTGCATACAATGATTTTCTAAAAATTACTTGACTCAAATTTGAAAAAAAAAAACATCCTTTATTTTTTTGATGCCAATCAAAAAATAATAATTCTTCTTAAGTAACATAGTATTATGAAAGAAAGGAACAACGTAAAATATTTGAGTCATATTTCAAGAAAATTATAAATCTGTGTGAATTGTACTGACATATTATTTATTTAAAGCCGACGACGTTTGTAAAATAGTATATTATCATTCATTGGTTATATTATAGCCAATAATAGCGCAAACATATTATAGCCACTTAATAAAACACTTAGCTACCAGGAGATAATCTGGTACTAGCAGAAGTTGGGGTTGGTCTGATCAAATTCAGACAATTACGGGAGCGGAAGCGTTTTGGTTTGGAAATTTCAATTAAAGACTATGAAGTAGAAATTATAACACTTTGATATGAGAGTTGCCAGTTCATACTAAAAAAAAATACTTTTAAACATGGTTAAAGGCGTTTTTTTGCGTGCCTATGAACTTGGTTTGTTTTTCATAGACAGTCAATCATATTATAAGTCATACTATATGAAATATATGTATTTAGAACAAAAAAATACTGATAGCATGCCTAAACAATTTTGTTTGCTTGTTTAAAGTTTAGAGCTTGCGTCGACATTCACAATGTGCTCTTTGGTTTACAAAATGAGCAATATTTTTCTAACTAGTTAAGTTAACTAGTACTAGTACTCATAAAATATACTTACAATTATTAGTGGCTTTATAGTCATGGGTAGATAATTAGTCAGAACTCTCGTAGCATCAGCAGGAACAGGAACCCTAGCCCGTATTTTTTTCGGTAATTGGAACCGGCACACCACTGATGTTGGTTTTGAACTAGCTGGACGTGGTTGTTCAATTGGTACTTGAGAGGTTGATGGTCTCAGTTCTTTTGGTGCTTGGGAAATCTGAGGAGCACTTTGGCTGGGTGGCACTGGGGCCATTGGTTGAGGTGCTTGCCAGGGTCCTGGAGCTCTTTCTGTGGCCTGCTGTGTAGCCCCAGCTTGGGGATTACTCTGCCCCCAGACTGGTTGTGGTGCGGCACCTGGAGGTGAAATGAATGGTTTTAAGCAAAAACTCACTTGGAGATAGGGGCGTCAATAAATTACGTGAGGTGTTTTTTTAAATTTTCTGTACCTCCCTCCCCCCCCTGGTGAGATTTTATTCAACCCCCTCCCCCATCCCCCAATCTCACGTGAGATTTTTCAAAATGTCGGTTTCTTACGTAAAAGCGTAAGAAGGTATCTTTTTGAGCTCGGAGAACTCAAAATAACACAGAATTCGTACTATTGAGCTCGAAGAGCTCAAAAACAAAATAAATGAAATGTTGAGCGTTTAGGTATGGAGTTAGCGGGAAGTTGCAGAGATGGCATTTAGGGTCAAACGATTTCCAAATTTTTTTTTTCAATCAGAAAAAAATTGCCTGATATTTGCCGAGACCCCCCCTCTCTCCAACGTAAGATTAAATGAGATTTGACTCGACCCCCTACCCCCCTTAAACACCTCACGTAATTTATGGACGCCCCCATACATACAAAATATATTTATATATTGTATATAAATACACTACTGTAAGATGCAATGCAACTTTTATAAAGTGATAAAGATTAAACTTTACACTATGTGAGTAAAATAATATATTACATTTTAATTAGTAAGGAGCCTTACCTAAACAAGTAAGGATACTTAGTTTGAGATTCAGAAACAAGACTCGACACAATCTATTAGTTCCATATATCAAAATCCAATGCACATACAGGAATCAGACTTAGCCAAGTTTCTGCATCTTATTCTTAGACACACACATTTTATATAATTATTACATATTTTTCTTACTTCAGCTATGATTTTAACTCAATACCAATAAAGAAATTAAAAATTCTCAGATAAGCATTCTAACTACTAAACAGAAGAGGCAGCAACAACAACTATTTTATATTGTAAAGGGCTTTGGCATTGTTTGTAAACAATAATTATTTTGACTTGGAATGCTGTACCAGTAACTTATGAAACAAGCACAATTTTTTATTACAATTTAATATACTCTTAAACTTGCCATTGCAACTTCAACATCAAGTTTTTGTAGCATGCCGTCCTAAGCTTGCTCCATTAGCTTTATGGATATTGAGAAGTAATTAGTAATAATATGGATATTAGCTGTTATGTAACCAATACCAGGTACAGGACTATATTGAGCAAAAATTATTAAAGATTTACCTCTACCCCAACCAGCCTGTGGTGGTGTAACTCCACGGCCACATCCACGTCCAGCCGAAGGTACAGCAGCCTGAAGGGCAGGACTTGATTGACTAGGCCCTGGAGCTGCTTGAGTTGGGTTTAAAGGTGCTTCTTGTGGAGGAGGTGCATTCTTTTTCTTCTTTCTAGTTCTCTTAGCACCTCCATCACCCAGCAGTGAAATACCACCTTCATCAGCTTCTGCTTCTTTCTGAAGTGGTGGGTCTGCTTTCTTAATTTCCTGAGTAGCAATAGCTGATGATGTGGAAGGTTGATCCTCCAGGGACAGCAATCCTAAGCCTTCTCCTACATTCTCAGACTCTTTTTTTCCTTTCTTTTTACCTCCTGAAATTTTTTTTTCAAAAATATATTCTAAATCAATAAAAAAGATGATCTCTTTAAAAATATTATATTGTTATAAAGGTGATAATATAATATAGAAGTATTAAAAGGTAAATCTTTAAGATTAATTTATACATTATAGCTATAAATACTATGAAATATCTTACCTCTACCCATAATTGATGTTTTCTGTAACCGTTCCTGTGCAAAAATACATATTTTTAAAATTTAAATATGAATTCTCAATAAATATAGACAATTTGAAAAGCTTGACTTTTCAAGTAACTCCATATTATGTTTCAATATTTGCCTAGATTATATTACACTGAAATACATAGGAATCAAGTGTTTAAAATCTGTAAGTGTTAAAGATAAGAACGATTTACTATTATAGTATTACATATCCCTTTTTTATTAATTAATTACGTTCAACCGATGCACCATATTGGTGTATTGATAGAATTGTTATTGGTATCGAAATTAGAAACAACAAATTACCAAAGAGTCCTTTAGATAAGTAAATTGTGTCTATAATATAAATATACGAATACAATAAGGATTTACTAAATACATAATAGATTATAGAATGTAAAAGTTTACTTACCAAATAAACAAAATTTTCCTTCTATCCTTCTATATATCTTCTTCCCAGTTTACAATGGAGATATTGATTTCGTTGAAACTTGAAATTAATGATTTAGTTGTTCTTTTATCATAAAACTCAGCTCAATTGTATTTATTAAGATCGCACGCATATGTTCATATTAACAAATAGCAAACTGTATAAATATTTAATACAAATGTTTTAACCAATTGTAATAGATATAATTTTTTAGACTGCCAGTTGTCAAGCTATCAGAAATATTGCGTCAGCTTTATGTAACGGGGTATCCCCTAACAAAAACCAATTATCTAGAACATTCGATTTACCGAGCGATGTATAGAAATTACGTTAAACTTTGTAGCATATAATAATTATAATATTTGAATTTCAAAGATATAATTTTATAGGGTTGGATTACTTATATTTTCGTTTATTAGCACAGATTAAGACGATGAGTGATCTGTGTGCTGAAAATTGAAATAAATGATAAATGTCACTATAACGGATACCCAGCGTTACCAACTCGTCGAATTTTATAGAGTAGGTAGATACAATTTCAAAAGTTGGTAGTTTCCAACCATCTTCAATTCGAAAAGTAGAGTCCTTTTCATGAAAGAAGTCCCCCAGACGCAGCGCTGTAATCGCGCGACATAATGTTGCCATTTATGAGTAAAAAATTTACCTATCTTACATTTAGCATATGTAATTTCAAATAATACTATTTTCTGCATACTTCGATGAAACAATATTTCTGTTATGTAAAAAAGTACATTTTTATTTAGCGGTGTTCTACCTACTTACAGGGAAAAGATGAGAAATAGGGTAAAGAAAAGCATTACAATTTTTATTCAGATTTTTATTGAATAATTGTGATCGGCGGCCATAGGAACATTACTGTCTGAAGAGTGGATGGAAACAATCAGATTCTGTTTCAGTATCACTAGCCGTAGATATAATTATTCTTTTTCATATTGATACTTTTTCGGATGTGGGCGATTCTTCAATGGTGACAATTTTTTTTCGAAGAACTCGCCGCTGTTAAACCTTTTGTAAATCTTGTTACATTTCATTCGTTATGTATTTGTTCAAATTTGTCGCAAAATGAATTTATATCATAAAAGTCCCATCAATACAGCAAAAAAATTATTATGTGGCAACTCTAAAAAAGTACCTGATATGGCGGCTACTCTCTTCTGAACATTGTTTACTGGTATTAAAACACCTTGAATATTATTGTTAAACTTCGTAAGGCCAAACGCCTGCCTGATTTTGTTAGCAATGGATGTCGAGTCACGGCGAAATAATAATTGTATCGGCGGGGAATCACCTACTTGCCTTTGATAAATGAAACCCAACGGAGCCACCAGCAATCGCCCGAGCCAGGGGGTCTAGCCATAGGCGAATGCTACACGCTCGATATTTATCGTGATATTTGGATCGTGATCCAAAATTACGATGTGTAGTACATGCGTATCACGATCCGTGATACGGATCGCTGGATTTCTAGAAATCTAAAAATCCACGATCCGTATCAATTATCGTCGATAAATATCGAGCGTCTAGTCTCTGCTCGATATTTATCACGTCAGTATTTATTCTGCCAGCGATGGAAGAGGACGCGCATATATGGAGGCGGAATAATATAGAGAATTCATACTTGTATTAGAAACATTACCTATAAGTATAGGCTGATTTACACGTATTAAGTTGCCAAGTCTTAACTAAATTTTAAGTAACCGTTTACACGTAAAAATACTAAATAATTAGTTAAACTCATTTATTCGCTCAAGATGGACGACCACAGAACAAAATATTATAGGATTTTCTCTTCCTGATTGGGGATTTACTGTATTGTATGCTCCAATACATGATTGTGAAGGTTCTGGGGACTCAACGTAATACGTATTTGAAGAAGGCGAAGGAGTAAAACGGCTACTATTATTCATTGGGGAAGGGGTTATACTACTGTTCATTAATTGTTGTATACGCATATCGGACAAATAGTTTTGGATATGTTTTTGAGCTTCCAGCGCCGAAAGCAAAAGCATAGCTTTGCAATGACTCCGCCAGCTTATGCTTTTCACTTAAATTTAACTAAATTTTGCCTGTCCAAACGTGTCAAGTGATTAGCCACGCCCACCAACTTAACCGAAAAATAGACAAAATTCTATTCTACCTTGTTTACTTGCAACTAAATTTTAACTTGCAACTTCTTACTAAATTCACTGTTTACACGGGTTAAGTTACTTAAATTAAGTTAATATTTAGTAAATTTTTAGTCAACTTAATACGTGTAAATCGGCCATATGGGACACCTCAAATGCAAACTAGGCAAACTACAGAAAATAATTTAAAAATAACAGATTTGAAACGATCTGGTGCTGCAGCGGAAAATGTTTACAATTCAAAGTCTTGGATATTGATGTATATCAGCATATACTGATAATAATAATAATAATAATGGCAACGCAAGCTTTCTTAATATTGTTACTCATATTGTAACACGAAATGTACGAGTGTACTCAATGAAATTTACCGTCGTACTGACGCGATCCGTATCGAGTGTGTAGTATACTAAAAAAATACAAGATAAATATCACGATAATTATCGAGCGTGTAGCATTCGCCATATTGGTGTCGAAAAGTATTCTACATACACTACCGCTTTTGCGTAATTGTACTGTCGAAAACGCTTCGTTCGTAGCCAAGACGCATGTCGATACATTACCGCAAAGTCGACAGCGTAGATGCGAGCTGCTGTTCGTAGCACCTTATTCCGTCATATTGTCTCTGGATTAAATGTATTCCTAATGTCACTTTTATAAACAAATAAAAGTTAAAACTACAATATTATTGTAAATTTGCAATAATTGCAAATTCCAATTATTGGAAGCTGCAAAAGGGACATTAGAATGTCAGCAAGGTCGGAACAATTTTCGATTTAAGTGGAATTTACGGAAGGTGCAAAGACAATATATGAATTTTAATTGCATGTTTAAATTAATTATGGTTTGTTTCATGTTTTCTCAGAAATTTAAGGCTACAAATAAATACAATATTTTGAAATTGCATAATCGCGATATATAATAATTAGTCGTACTCATACTTTGATATTTTTAGGATTAGGAACCTCACAACTAATCTGCAAAATGAAGAAGCAACATATTTTGTTACCGCTTAGAAGAAACAATAGAAATAGTACTGTGGATTGATAAATAAAGAGTGAAAATAAGGTTTACTAGAAGTTGATAAGGAATAGAAGGATAGTCCAAGGAATTAAAAAACAATAGAAAAAAAACGTAGACTAGTGTGAACACTGAAATTAGAGTTTGATTTAAGCTTTAATTAGGTTTGGTGTTTGTGTTTGAACATTTTTAATGTCAATTTGTAAGCAGATTTATATATAAGTGTAGATTTTATTAGTGATTACTAAGTACTAGTTGGAATTATCTCTGTTTATGTCTAACAAACAATTTCAGTTTAAGTTAGAGTCATAAAGGTTGATTGTTTATAATAAATTTATACTTTTAGAAAGTGAGAATTAAAAAGCAGCAAGTACTCAATGAAATGAAAAGAGGGATTAATAAAAATTATAAAATAGAAACTTAGTCTGGTATGAAATTATAACCCTTACTCAACCTTTGATTCCATATTGATGCTCCAACATCTTAGATATAAATTTAAGTTTGATGCTGATTTTAAGTTAATATTTATGTCAATAAACTTTTGGTTATATCAGTGATTTGCTACTAGTGAATATGTAAATGCAAAATCTGTTTAAGTAAGAAATGAATAAACATTGTATGTTATGTATTTGTCAGTTTTATTTTTGGTAATTTACCTGTCTTCTTTAGTAGGAAAAGCCAGTGTAAAGTGGTTAACAATATTAGTTTACTTTACAAGAATATACAGATAATGCATATATGAATGACCCGTACCTACTAATAGTTAGAAATATTAAACAAATAGGTAGCAAAATAAAAATATTTCAGTTATGGTTATTTTTTATTAAAATAAGGCACCAAATATCTTCCTTAACATAATGCAGTCTACATAGAAAAATAAGCATATGTAACAACTTATTAAACAATACAGACATTACTACTGAACACACACAGGTGCACCAAATTCAATGCATTACTACCTAATGTAGATGTATTCAATTATTCATATTTTTATATGTAGATAATTAACTAATAAATGTAAGTGTTAATTTGCAGCAGTCAATAGGTATCTTGTTTGTGTGCTGTTATATACAAAAAATTGTTCAATTCATAAAACCTAACGTTAGATGTTGTGATGATTTCATAAAATTACTATGATACCTACAGTTACTATGAATACATCCTGATTGTTTCCTTAACACAACAATTGTAAATAATAATAGTTAGGTATTTTAAAGATATAATTCTTCCCAAAATCTACAAATCCAGTTTGTTTATAATAATATCTCATTGACATTCAAACTGCTGAACTTATTAAGATTAAATGTGGAAGAACATAGTTTCAGTTACTGTTTCCTGTTCATGAGGTAATGTTACTTAACCAACCATTATTTCATACTCCACTTGTC